AAGGATTTGATTTTTTAGGGAGAGGAATTACATGGGCTTGTTTCCATACAGTGGGAAACACACCACTGGAAAGGGAAAAATTAAGGATATGAGCTAGGATAGGAGCTACTAGGTCCTGTATTGGAGTGATCATATCAAGACTCAAACCGTCATTACCAACAGCCTTCGTGGTGACAGACTTCAGTATTTTCAACACATCTGCTGTCGTAACCTTTCCAAAATCAAAAGAGGCTGAAGCAAGACAAGGTGCATTGGCCAGGACAGATAAAGTTCGCGATTTTATGACAGAATCTAAACATACTGGGGAAGATGCAAAGTAGTCGTTCAGCGCGTTAAGATCGACATTGAAGGGAAAGACATGATCAGCTTTACCGATACCCAGTGACTTCAAATATTTCCACATCTTAGTATGCGGACAACCTTCGATAGTGGAGTGAATATGTTTACACCTGGCGTTTCTACAGAGCTTGTTGCAGCGGTTACGTAACTCGATGTAGGACTCACTATTGGTTTTGGTTGGATTCTTCCGCAATCTAATACGTGTTCTGTTGCGCCTCTCCATAACCACCGTTATATGTGGCGTGAGCCAAGGGGGGGGAAAATGTTTGACTCGGACAACTTGAAGAGGAGCATGCTTGTCAAAGATGGTCAAAATAATAGAGTTAAAAGCTTGAACCATTTCATTCACGTCCTCCGCTCCAAACACTAGTTCCCAATCAGAATTCAGCACATCATCAAAAAGGGCATTTTTGTCTAATTTACCATAATTGCGGAGCATTAAGGTTTTATGTCTGCGCTTAGGTGGACGAATTTTGAACGAAGCATAAATTAAATCGTGTGAAGAAAAAGCAGCAGCATTAAACTGTCCATGAGAACCAACCAGCTCAGGAGAAGAAGTGATGATCAGATCAAGAAGGGAAGGTTGACCATTATGCGGAAAGTGAGTGGGATACAACTCGAGGCAATTCAAAAAAAGTGAGTGGAAGAGTGAAAGCAACTTCCTCGATCGGCAGTCACTCTTAACAAGGCAGGTATTGAAGTCACCCATGAGTATAATATGTTCGTAGCGGGTACGTAGATCAGCCAGAACCGACTCTAGTTGCTCAAAATAGTCAACTCTTAGGTGAGGACTGTAAAAAACTCCCAGTAGGGCCCTAGTGTGGTGAAGAGTGACTTCCAAAAAAAATTTATTTATTTAGATTCCGAGTACTCGGAGCTTTGCGCAGTCGAGCATCAGCCCATGCTTGGTACGCGAACTGTTTTTGTGCTTCAGCACGACTAAAGTGAGCGTTAAACCATGGACGAGCTTGGGGTCCATTGGTTCCATCAGTGTATGGTATGTAATACTCCATACCCAGTAGTTTGTACTTTAGTCGATCATCTCAACCATTTGGTCACCGCAAGTGTGTAGCCGAATCGGTAAACGACCAAATGTAACCGGGCCTTGAGTATTTGCAAAAAAATGTACAGAATTGAAAAAAGAAGTATGCAATCAAAACAAAATATTTTTTTCATTCGTAATTTACTCATAGCTTAAAAAGTAAAATATTAATTATTAAAACATGAAAGATACGATCATAAGTAAGAAAACTGTAGACATGACAAAGAATATTTCGTAAATTACTTACTCATTAAACAAATCTCACGTATATGTTTTTACTAAGAAAACATATACATACATTCAAGAGAACTATGCTGACTGGTTAACGACTAATAAGCAATGGTCGGAAAAAGGTGTTCCACATACATAGATACATGTACAAAATTTAGCTACAAGGAGTGGTATAGAGTTGTTAAAACCACCAAATTAATTAATTCATCACTTTTTTCGAATTCCGGACTTCCGGCAATGGTTTTACGTGTGGTAAAACTCGCAAACCCGGACACTCTATATAACGGTCGAAAGTTTCCTTCCCTTACCTTCTATTACTACATATAGCGAGGCGCTATCTGCACACGCGGAAATGTGTGCGTGAAGTCGCAGGGTTGCCCATCACTATCTCGTACGTATTACGTTACGTGGTCAGAGCGGCAACATAACGGAAATTCTAACGCGAATCTGTTATCTATAATTGTATTAATAGAATTTTATTACGATATAATATTATATTTTTCATGAATTCACTATCTAGAATAATATTGAAGGTTTATTTAAAAAATATATTAAAAGCATTTGAAATGTTATATTTTGGACAGGTACTTTTAAACAAGGTAACCAATGTATTGGGAATTGCGTGTCCAAGTTTATCATTACCTAGTTAATAATTAGGTATATTCACTACGATGTATTCATTGATATAATAAATATGTATTATGTGTTGCTTTGCTCTAAATAAATGAAGAAAACAATAACTGAATGCGTCTCAACAAGTTTTTTTTACTTGTTTTTTTCATGTTTCGAAAAATCGAAAGAAACTCCTCTCTTTATCCCATTTAGATAATGATAATCAGCCGTACACAGCACAATTCACAACCATTATAAATTATTAAAGCTCAAATTCATTTATTCCAAAATTTACAAAATGCATTTATGAACAATAATAAAATGTATAACCTAAAGATCAGCACAAGGCTTCGTCAATAGGTAATCTAATACAAAAAAAAAAAATTATAAATAGTAATGTAAAATGATGTTGTATAATTAACGTACAAATTTCGTAATGAATAAATTAAATTGAAAACTATATTAAAATAAGCAAAGCTGTATGGCACGAAAAACGGCTCGCCGACAGCCTTGTTGGCATTCAGTTAAAGTGATCGGATATGTGCGGGGTGTGGTGCAGCTAAAATCTAAAGCCAGGGAGGGGCTGAGTTCTGTTCTCGTTACTTTTTGTTTCTGATTTTACTCCATCGTAGGACAAAACTATTCATCTAGGAAAACAAAGTTGGATTTTAAAGCAATTCTAGTGGTGGCATGTAAAAAAATGCATTACAGTAAACCTATTTGGCGGAAGAAGAAATAAGTATCCAATATCGTAGGACAAAACTACTGGGTGAGTAGCTTTGTCCTACGATACAGTAAAACCATTTCCGGGAATGCGGAATTGGAAAAAGTAATGAATTAAAATTTGGTGGTTTTAACAACTCTATGTCACTCCTTATAGCTATATCTATACATGTATCTATAGATTTGGAACACCTTTTTCCGACCTATGCTAATAAGAAACATCACTTGCTGATTGACGCTTTTGGTGAAAAGTCAAATAAGTAAAACGCTAAAATACAATTCACTGAAATTAAATTATGAGTTTATTTCGTATTAAACTTAAGCAAAGTTCGTTTTGAAAATACGAATAATAGCTTAGCTCGCCATTTTTGCTTAGTCCTATAAACGGAAGTGGTCTGTGGTCTTATACTATAAAAAGGTCTAAGTAATTAAATGTAGGTAAACAAATCGTAATGAAGTATATTATGAGGCATTACCTTGTTATTTATTGAAAAATTAAATTGAACTTTTTGAAAATGGTTCTAAATATATAATATGAATGTAATATTTCATTAAAGACGTTTTAACACATATCACAACTTTCCTACGTTGAACAATCTAAAATCGCTTTAAAAAGATGACAGCTAATGACATGCGACCTAATTAAAGAGCACAGCAGTAATACGACACATACGAAACTCACTACTAAATATTGTATTTCACCGGTTAACCAAGTGACGTTTACTTTTAGTTAAATTACCCAAAAACCTTTATTATTACTCAAAGTTCGTTTTAAAAATCTTAGGCTACAAACAGATTAACAGTGTCTCCTTAACCATTGTATAAGAAGTATATTCTGTCGATGGACAATTTCTCTACACAAGTTAGTTTTATCTTAGAAAATTATATTCTTAGTTTCCTTGTAAATATGGTCAGATGGAATGGTTATCTTGGTTATTTCTTTTTATTTTCCGGTTTTCGGAAAGGTTGCACGCTTCATTATTATTATTATATTAACAAAAATAGATCGACTTCATGTGTGGATACAGTACGTGTGGTTTAACAGTATGGCCAATTAGACGGCGTAGCCTGTTGCGAAGGACGAAAAATTGTACTATTACTACACAGCGAAAGAGATAGACAGATATCGTCCTGATTGTATAGGAAATGTTTGATTTTTCTCGGATCTACGTTGCGTATATTAGCTTTCTTCACCACGACCATGATCACAGCTGAGTTTGCATGAGCATTTGACCAGAGGTCTTACTCCTATTCTTCGTCCGCCGGCGCCGCCACGTCCGTCCGAAACAATTTCTGTCAAGTGAGTAATACTCGACCAAAAGAAAAACAATTTCAAGCATGAACCTTCATTCGGATCCCGCGTCTTTTAATTTGATCGTATATGACTTACAAACAGTCGCTAATCGTCTACCTTTACACGCGCGCGATTTTAAGCAGCGATGCAAACGTTTCGCAAGCGCGCGACTGCAACGATACCAACGCTCGATTGCATCACTACACTTGGAATTTATAGGCGATTGCATGGAAGCTTTCGCGCGTTTTTAATGATGCAGTCGCGCGTTTGTATCGATTCAGTCGCGCGTTTGCACCGATGCAACGCGATGCAGTAGCAATGCAGTCGCTTATCGTCTACTTTAACACATGCTCACGATTTTAATAAGCGATGCAAGCGCGCAACTGCAACGATACCAACGCGCTATTGCATCGCTACACTTGGGATTTATAGGCGATTGCATCGAAGCTTTCGCGCGTTTGTAACGATGCAGTCACGCTTTAGCTTCGATGCAACCACGCGTTTCATGAACGCGCCACTCTTTTTGTTTTCAGACGGATGTCGGACAGAGAACGGAAGTAGACCCCCTGTAAAGGGCCCGAAATGTTGGTTTGTTTAAAAAAATATATGTGAAACTATTTTTTCATAATATAATTTCATTTCCTACAACAAATAGTTTCATTTCTTATGTGTAACAATCACGAAAACCTAAGAACTCGAAATCTACATTTTTTCTTTTGCTCTGTAAGAAATGAAAAAAAAAGAAGATATTATACTTACCCGTCGACATCCTTGTCTGGTGAGACGGCGTCGGTGACCTTATGGGTGTCGATTGTATGCACGGAATCCAGAGGCAACTGGACAATGATGCCGTGCACCTCCGGGGACTCGTTCAGTGACTTGATCTTGTCCAGGAGCTGAAAAGAACAAGTGTTTATTATTATACAGAGCGGAAAACAGATGCTACAATATTGCATCTGGTCATAGTACTTTTGACATCGAAAATATGAATATTTGTAAAATAATTTATAAAGATATGAGATTGTTGAGCACGTAAGCCCGTTATTTTAGGTATTGTGTCCTGTACTTAGGTCTACGGGAAGAATTTTCTCTAGGAAACAAGCGAAAACTTTTGTTTGTGTTTTATTTATTTATTTTATTAAGGACAATAACAGCTTATTCTTGCTAGGTTGAATTTAAATGATATAAAACAGAACAAAACCGATCAAGTTATATAATGTATTATACGTACCTATATGCACTTACGTATTAAGCATAAAATTTCTCGTAGTAATATTAGTATTTTCCTTTGTTAAATGCGAATTGTGATTGTGGTTTTTCTTTACAATAAATTTTTAAATAAGATTGTGGGGAAATCAATTTCCATACCGTATGGTATTTATAGATTTTAGCAGCAGTAGAGCTCCTTGTGAAAGAGTTCGTCCAGGGTAGTACTGCCACCTTACCTATTTCTGCCGCCAAGCAGTAATGTTAGCATTACTGCATTCCGGTTTAGAAGGATAAGGGTGCTGGTGAAATTACAGACATGTGCCTGGACTTTTCAACTTATGTCTCATGGTGATGGGCGCAGTGGCAGCACTCCTTTTGTTTAAGCTCTGAGTGGCATTGCAAGTGTTGTGGACCGGCGTATAGCTTACCATCAGGCGCACGACTTGTTTGTCCCGTCACTTGATATTATACTTTTTTTTAAATCTGAAAACCTTAAGGGTCAAAAACTACTGAATGTTTATTTCTTAATTTCCACCGCTGATATGAATACGTTGGGATAGTTCTTTATAATAATATTGTCTTGGTCTTTTTTACATTGATGTACTTTCAGTGAGATGTAGACTACGATAGTTTTGTTCAACGTACAACATAAATACAATACAATAAATACAGTAGAAACCAATAATTATAAAAACATTTGTAACAACAATAATAAACATTAATAATTGCATTTCCATCAAACGTTAGTAGGTAATTTTTGTTTTCTACTACGAGAGGCTAACTTTTACTTGTTTTTATTTTTCAATTCACGTAACCGTTGCATCATATGTTCAACCGTATTTCTTTATCAGACCAATAAACAAACCTATATAATCTAACTTATGTCAAAAGGCCAGTAAATATCTAAATGATTGGAAGTAAGTAATTTAAAATATCAATATAGATAGTTATGTAACTAGTGAAATCAAACGACGTTATTACATTCACATAAATAAATATAGAACAACACTACTATTATAACAGCAGCACACAGTGTAACTCGAGGTCATAATATTGTATATTTGCGCAAAGAAGTAATATAAATAAAGAGTTAGTATAAGTTGCGGTTGCTGGAAATGTATATTAATGTAGTCAATGAAATTGATTGGCTGTAAATTAAACAAAGCACTTTGGCCCTGAAAAGCCATGAATCAGAATTTTTTTTCTCTCTTTTATATTAAAATATGTCCAAGTGTACCAAGCATAGAAGTAAATCTCCCGTGTACACACACTCTTAGAAAAAAATCTTTATTAATTTTTTTTAAGGTCCATAAGTAATAAAATAAGTCTATACTATTAACTTACAATTTTGACTAGTTAAGACCTATTTAAAGAAGAAGAGATTAGAACATTTCCGATTTCATGGCTCTTGGGTACACTGCACAACGCACTAAACCGGAGTATCCCAATTGCGCACCTATCTATTATCGTTTTCCGTAAGCTCGTGACCACTGCCAGTGCAATTTCATCAAAACTTTGGGATTATAGTTGTGCAAATACGTAAATATTAAATCGAATCTGTTCCCGTTTCTAATGTAATTATAATGAAACCCAAAATCATCGTATCTGGGACAACCTACGTTGAAAATGTATCGACCAAAAAGCACAGATACCTACCTCAAACTCGGTAATGTCACTGGGCAGTAGGATATGCTCAGCATGGATGCCGATGTTCTTGGCAGCTTGCAGCTTCATGCGGATATAGACGTTGGAGTCTTCCCGGTTTCCTACCTGGACGATAGCCAGCCTAGGTACCCAGCTAGGGGCCTGGGTCTGGATCTCCGACACTTGACGACGGAGATCATCTGTTACTGATCTAGAACATAAAAGAAAAGAATATACAGAATGGTTTTAAAATTCATCAAGCACGTTGAAACGCACGTTCCGGTGACAATCTCTCCGTCGGATTATTCCCAAAGTAAAACCAAAATAAGGTCATGGAAATAGATCAATGTTTCAAGTGATAAATCATACAAACATCAATGGTCACACTATATACCTACAACTTACACACAAACAACACTCACACGCAAGCACACACGCACGCAAGTGTGCACTTATACCCCGAAGGAATAAAATTTGGTATGCAGCATCCCGATAGGCTGCCGAGGCATTCCGGAAGCTGCCGCCTCGATAATCAAAATTTCAATAATAAATTAATTACATTAAGGTATATACTACTATTCGGCACTTAAAAATCCCGTACCGTGTAATAAACTAATAACCTAAGTATAAACAAAATATTACATGCATCGATGTAGTGTGTTTTATTGAAGAAGACACTATATTGATTTAATTTGCTAATTATTCTACGTAAATTACAAGATTCAGCGTCACGGAAAATTCGATGTATTCGTAATTGCTTTTCCTCCACAAAATATATATGGGCATATATGCCTATAAGTACGCATATAGGTACTAGGGTCTATTTCCCTGTAACAGTTTGCGTAAGAACGTAGTTTTATTGAATTAAGGTACGTAATAACTACAATTTTCGCGTGGTTTTGTGGTTTTAATAAAATCTCACTATCGTGTTTCACCTGCGGTGGCTAAGGTTAATAACGCGTGAACTTACGTAACTATTGTATGTCAATTAACACGAAACTCTAATCACTGACTTTTCAACAAAACTAAATTAAACAGGCAATTATACCTAATTTATGAATTAGTTATTTATACTTGACAAATTAATAAATAAATAACGCACAGACTCGTAGCCCCACATTAGAAAAACCCTGTATTGCGAGTGCCATGGACACATAGATAGACAACCATAAATGACACCCAAACTCTGGAGAGAAAAATGTAGGCCATACAAATATTTCCAACCTTGCGTGGCTGACCAGCGTGGTAATCAGTAAGTCATGGAGGCATTCAAATGATCATTGAAAACATGTTTTAATTGATACAAAGAGCGAACAAACTCGAAGAGAAATTCCTTCGATCCGGCTGGACTTGAACCAGCAACATTTAGAGCGCAACAGAGAGTCGTGCAGTTTAATGTGTCGTGACTTACTCAAACTCAGAACTTGAGCATAGTGTCAGTAAGTGCCGAAGAAATAGAGGACTTGCTAAATGAGGGCTAGTTCACTGGCTTAATCCTTGTACACACACACGCACGCGCGCACGCACGCACGCACACGCACACACAAACTCACACGCACACACAAACGCACACGCACGCACACGCACACGCACACACATAATCCTTTATAAAGGTTAATTTGTATTGAATTAAAAATTAAATGAAATCTAATATAATAATGAATCTAATGTAATATACAGATTGATCATAATATGTACAATATTCCAAGAATTGTAAAAGTTTTCTTTGGTTTGGCGTCATTCTTTTAGAGTCGTAGGAAATTGTATATTGAAATGAAGTTGTTCACATACAGTACCTACAACACAATTAACTATAGTTCACGACATTTTTGACGTTACGACGACAGACTGTCAAGACAATGATAACAGCTACAACGACAACAGTCGTCTGACGATAAATAAAACGTCACGATAAAAATATGACCACAGATAATCGCAGCTACTATTGTCGACACGAGTTATTTATCTTTGCTTGCACGTGTCCGCCGTTTTAAAAAGTAATACCTACGTTATTAAAATTTCATCTTCATCCATTTCACACGGGAGCGAACACACTCTACTGACCTCCAAAAAAAAAAAAAATGCACGACACAGTCACGACAGACAGTCGGGATATGAGAACAAGCTAGAAGCGATAGTCGTCTGACGATAAATAAAACGTTACGACATAATGGGAATGCGCCCTAACTGTTGGTAGCTGAAAAGGTACCTGGGCCCAAAGTCTGTTAATATTAAGTCATCTCAGTTGGGTGTCAATAGTGTCAATGGCAAGATTTTGTACGTTTGGTATTCTACTAAAAGTTAAGAGGCTATCTATATCTTTAAAAGGGCTACCAGAATCAACTGAAAACATTTCTTTCAAAAAAGTGTACTACACAATAGAAGAATTTTTTCTGTGATAATACAAAATATAAAATAATATCGGGAAAATTTTAAATAATTAATAATTATATTTGTAATTCACTAAAATTGACATTGTTATATTTAAATATCGGTATACGAGTATTATTTTTATTTTGTTTTAGATTTTGAATGAAATATACATAATTATGCATTACTTTTGTTCTAAATTATTTGTATTTTTAAATTTGAATTTTTTTAATTTTTTTTTATTAATCTTTAATTTTTACGTTTATATTAATATATTGATAAAATGTTAGTAGTTTTTGCATGTAAATTTATTTTTGTAATTTAATGAACAAGAGCTGCGCTCTCAATTTGCGGTGCCCTTGCAGGGTCCTACATGTACTGTAATAAAAATTGTAAAATCTTGATTTACAATGTATCTTGCAAATAAAGATGAATATGAATGAATAAGAGTTGTGGCTTGTCAGTCCATTTGTTTGGGTACTTAACTAAATAATAATAATAACGCACACACTCAACATTGTCCCGCACTCAATAGCGGATTTGCCCTAAGGCCACCCTAGGCCCGGGCCTAGGGCGTTCTAGATTTTAGGGGCGGCCAATCGTGACAAAAAATTCACTAACGATAACAAGAAATAACTCAAAGAACCTAAATATTTTAAAGGCTCACGCACATCGCACGCGTACCGCCCTTCACTGCATCGTATAATAATAATCTTCCTAAATCACTTTCGTACATTTTATTTGTAAAATATAGATATGTCTACTAGTAGGTATGTGAGAGCTGAGAAAGGGGCGGTTGGAGTCGTTCCATATCTTAGTTGGAAGAGCCAGTCCAGCCGTATCTTTTTTTTTTCTTTGAGTTTGTTCCATCTTGCATCAATTATAAGCAATGGTCGGAAGAAGGTGTTCCATATATATAGATGCATGTGTAGATAGATATAGCTACAAAAAGCGACATCGAGTTGTTAAAACCACCAAATATTACTTTTTTTGAATTTCGGATTTTCGGATGAAAGAAACTCTTCTCTTTACTCTATTTATGAAGATAAATAGCCGTGCATGAGCATGACCGTCAAAAATTATACTTTTTCGTCTGGCTGAAGCATCCAGCAGTATTTTTTATAAAAAATATTAAAATAATCTAGTGTGAACATTTTCCTTTTAAAATACGACATATCTGCTAATAGTTCGAATGTATGAACTGTGTTTTTGAATATAATTAAAATATTTTTATTCTCATGCAAACTAAAATGGCCCAAAATTTCCCTCGTAAACAAAATTTTAAATGATTTTTTTTCTTCTTAAGTTCTACTAGCAAGTGTCGCCGTTCCGTCAATGTGACTGTCAATATGCGAGGCGCAGTGCGGTATTTAAAGCTAGGCAGGGGCGGAGAGTGACCATCCTCGTTACCTTTTTATTCTCTGCTTTGGTATGAGGTCAGTTATCTACTGCATTTTTACATTTGGATTCACATATAATGGTTGGCACCATTAGAATTACTTCAAAATCCAACTTCGACTTCCTAGGTCAGTCAGTAGGTAGATCAGTTCCTAGTTTTGCCCTACGATGCAGTAAAATTCGTCCACAATTCGAATTCGAAACAGTAATTAATTAATAATTGGCGGTTTTAATAACTCTATGACGCTCCTTGTAGCTATATCTATACATGTACATAAATATTGTGGAACACCTTTTTCCGACCATTCATTATAATAAGAAATTAATGGAATACACTTTCACAAAAAATATCCAAATAAATCCCTACTCAAAACATATAGTAGCAGGAGAGCTCCTTGTGAAAGAGATCGTCCAGGGTAGAGCTGCCTTACCTTACCTATTTCTGACGCCAAGCAGTAATGTCAGCGTTACTGTGTTCCGGTTTTGTAGGATAAGGGTGCTGCTTAAATTACAAGCACATGAGACTTGTCAACTTATGTCTAGGGTCACGAGCGTAGTGGTAGTGCCCGACATATATTTGCAATTTAAAGCTCTGAGGGGTACAGAGGGGGTTTCAGTTATGGACAGGCATATAGCTTACCATCAGACGCACGACTTGTTCGTCACTTGATGTTATAAAAAAACATAAATAAAAAATAAAAATCACTATACCGGGCCACTTGAGTTCCTAAAATTTTTTGAGCCACCATCCTGACAGTCTTGATCTCCGTGAAGGTCTAGCACCTACTGGTACAAAGACAGCAAACAACATAACAAGATATTGACCTTAGTTGATAACCTCGTGTACCGCGAGGACCATCGTTTCGTTCAAACGTATGTGTGTAAAGTAACATGCCCAAACAAACTTGATATAACTATACAGCATTATATGACAACTTTCCTTTGGTATACAGAATTTCTATAGTCAGAAATGCACTAATTAATCTTAATTCATATCCAGAACAATGAGAAGAGGAGTGAAAGCGGAACAACATTCTATGTATTGTATTTGCTATATGTGACATTGAAGACAAAAAGAAGCCAATGTCGAGTTCTTGGGTTTTCGCGATTGTTACACATAGGAAATTAAGCTATTTTTTCGGATCTAAATAGCACCTATACGTATTTTTTTTACAATTAAACCAACAACGTTTCGGGGTCTTTACAGGTCTTCACAGGTTCTATGGTCACGGCTGACAGTCAGCCGCAATGGCCCGAAACGTTAGTTTATTTGAAAAACAAACATAGATACGCGATTTAAATAAAATAGTGTCATTGCCTAAAAAGAAGCTAAGTCAATAAGATTAAGAATCGTCTCATGCAAGAAACAAAGTGTAAAAATAATCAATCATAAAGATTATAAAATTGTACCTCAAACAGTCGTTCCAAAACTTTCTGTCTGGAATACGAGAAACTCGCCTAATTAAATTCACAATTATTCTCATTTCTGTCGCAATTTCAAAACTTTATACGAAATGGTTATATTATAATCTAAATGTTTGAATGGATACAATAAGCAACAGATGTGTAATGAGAACATCATTGAATTGATTGATGCAGGCCTTGGGTCCCGTTACGTCTTGGAGGGAAAAAAATAGATAATGACAAAATTTTAATAGGCATATCAAAATACTCAGAAAGCATGCTCTTTCCATACTTAGTGTTCAAAATATTAGTATAATTCTGTGTTTAGGTAGCAACATGAACTACAGAGTATTATAGAATGATATTGCCACTATTAGTAGTGGCAATATCATTCTATAGACCTAAGAGACCTAAGTCTCACCATATTTTAGTAAGTGATTAAACTGTAGCATAAATGTAGGTAAAAGTAGAGATGATAAGAGGTGGAGAGAGGAGGAATTTGAATGTTTTACAAACATTGCTTTACAATGCTAAAAATCACGCAATGGAAAAAGACGTTACGTTCTCTATCGTCATTTGTTTTTTATTTAATACATGGGGCACACTGAAAGTTTTGCACTTTTAGCTTTACACAACTGTTTAAATTCCGAATGGTATATATTTTTAAACATAAGGTACTCTGGGCAAAGAAGGCCTAACTTCAAATCGATTTTTCACATGATTTAAGGTTTGATATGAATTTAACTATGCTCCATATACATCTTTATATGCAATTTTGGTGCTTTCGTAATAATTTTTACTTTTTTTAGCATTTTAAAAAACCCTCACTTTAGGATTTTTTAAACATCGTATGTCAAAGGCCCACGTAGTAAACCAGTCATTTGTCGCAATTATATGCCTCATCAAATACAAAAATATTTAAATTTCTAAACTCTACATATAACTCAATCCTACAAAGCTGAACAGGAACTATGACAATATGTAATCAATATGTAACAAGTTTTTTAAACTTTTAAGTAAAATATTAAGAGTAATCAACTGTTCTTTCCTTTTAGACAATATTGTATCATATCAGAAATACTTACTTTGGGCCTTATTACACCGCTACGGGTAACAAGACACGGCAACGGGTAATAAATAGCCAACAAATTAGCGCGTATAAAAATTTACATTGCTCAGTAATTTTCAGGTAAGTTTTTTGTATTCAATTTTGGTGACAATTTTTATTATTTAATTACTCGAATATATCATCGTGAAATATTAAAGAATATTTCAGGTACTACACATGAATATTAAATAATACTTCATGATGATATTCTATAAATGTTTAAGAGGGAGCAGAGGAAAAATTCCTAATCTTCGATTTGATTTTAGAGGGGTATATACACTTTAAAGTTAAAAATAAAATATTGTATGAGTAACTACACGATATATTCAAGCATAGACACTAATCAGAAACATAAAACAATAAAGTTTCCTCGATAGATAAAAATCACGAATTGACCTCTAATTTTCACATTTTTTCGATTCATCCTCGAAATGCTACAGGTTATTAGGACAAAAATTAGATAATTAATTATATTTATGCATGATCGAGAACTGTCACTACGGATTTTTTTTAATCCCTTTAGTTTTAGAGTTATTCCGCTAAAACGAATTTGGTAGTTTTAATGCGCAAAATTCAACATCTCCTGTCGCATGACACGCGAACTTCAGGCATATATTTGTTTCACGTCAAAACTTTTTTGGCATGCTTCCTCTTAAATAAAAAGTAATTGTCACCAAAATTGCGTACAAAAAACTTACCTGAAAATCACCCTGCTCGTTTTTTTTTTATGATGAAGACATTGTGATCGCCTAAAGACAACAAAAGGAGAGTTAAAATAGAAAATATTTTGTTATCCTTCGTCAGTGTTAATGTAGATTGGGTAAGTAGTCTACCTAAACAGAATAAATTATGCACCTAAGGAACTTTTATATGCACTAAAATAATTTGAATGTATGTAACCATTATTTCATTGATTTGCCAATTTTTTCAAAATATTTTCGATTTAACTTTGTGTAACAATGAGGCCCATAACGAATAATAAGGCCCGACTTTGTTTTTTGTCGGGACTTATTAAACAACACGGGTCTTACAACACGATTTGAAGTTTTTGCAAATAAAATAAAACCAAAGTGCAAAATGATGTCTGTCCATAACTCCCAACAGTCTCTTCAGGTATGTATGAAGAGACTGGTGGGAGAACGTTGTACTTGATATTTTAAATCGCACTTGACAACTAACATACCTAGTATATTATCTTAAAAAATTGCGCTATATTTTCTCTCAAAATTGCGTACTATTAATAATTTATCTCCAAAACTTAGCTATATTGATGTGTCATTCATATAAGATTTAATTTCAAAGTGACAGGACAACACTGCTCGCTTTGAAATTATATAGGTAACTAATAATTAGTATAATAGGTAACTAATTTTGAGAGAATACGTTAGTTGTCATGTGCGTGTATGTAAAATGTACTTTTACCTATCAATACAAAAGAAATGTGAAAGAAATACATTCATTGAGACGTGAAGAAATATATTAGTCGAATCGTTAAGAGTTTAGCAAAATTGTTCACCATATTACGCCATTAATTATCATGAGATCAAAGACTACCTTCATTTCATATTTTTGTAAAAACATTTTGTACACTACAAAACTCACCTAACCTAACGAGAAAAACAATGATAGTTTACTAAGTAAAACAACCGCAAGTCCGGTATAGAAAACCACGAACTACTTTTAAGTCCCTTGAACTCATTTCAAGGTCACTGTTTTCAATTAGGTAGTTTTATAAAAGGAAAGTTTATCAAATTCTACTATTATACCAATATTGAACAATCTTTATTTAATAACTGTTAAACGTAAGTTACAGTCCGATCAGCTGATGGAAAAAAAAACATGTTACGTCGTAAATGTTATTATTACACAGCAGTTTTGTTCGTAGTCGTCTCAGTAAGCACCCCCTACAGTAAAACTTCCTTGGTTTTATGTACTAAATAAACGGCCTTAAAAATTATGGACAGAAGTATAAAAGCGGAACTATTGTATATATTACAACCAAATTATACTTACTGTAAAACTGAAGAAAAATTCTCCTGCGAGGTCCACATAATGTAAATAAATTATCACTTCGTAAATTTCGTTTAACACATCGCCAAAAGGACTAAAACACGCTACCGGTCGGCGTGTGCGCATATATCAATGAGATGTTATGTACGACAAGCGGAGTGGGTTAGACCGGTTCCGCAAATTATAGCATGGACATACCCTCACCATGTCATTATAGAAACGACACTATTTATCTGAAACTGCAAATTAAATCCAACAAGTATTTCTGTGACATAACCAAGTCAAATGATTAGAATGCAATACTGTAACTAATAATATATTTTTTTTAACACTTTTGATTTACATTGCTGTGGAAAAATTTAATACATGAAGTTTAATTAGAATATCCATATTTTATAACGAACGTAACGAAATTGATATAGCCATAAGAAATACGTTGAAAGGTTTTAGAACTAATTGTGTTGGCATAAAGTACGTGATATCGATAACATGTTTTTTTTTTTTTAAATTAAATCTGCAAATTTGTTAATACAACAAAATGGTCGAGTCAACTTTAAGCTATTGTTAGGAACTACTGGGAATAAACCTTTTGGGAAAATGATTTTTAGCACACAACTGAAAGTCGAAGAAAGTTGTTGATTAATTTATTTTCTTTTTATTTTAAGATGTAATACAATATTAAGTACGTGTTTGAAAAATTACATGAGAAAGAAATGGAACTTACAGACCCGTTTAAACTTGACCAAGTTTACAATAATAAAATTAAGTAAAGGCTGATTTGAAGATCGCTACGCCAGGAGCAAATCTAGCTGAACGCTGTCATAATTCAGCATGCTGTCATAATTACACTTTGAATGCTAACAAATTGGTAATGTGAAAGAAACTTAAACTACCTACATAATAAAATAACAAAAGTAAGAAACATATTTTCTTGGTAACCAAGGAAAACTTAAAATGAATATAATATAAACAAGCTGTAGCTGTAAGTTGAATTTAATCCTTACACCAAATAGGGGCACGCGGACCGTAACTAATGTCAACTAAGGCAGTGGCTAGACTTATCAATACAAAATCGCAAAAAAAGCCGATCAGGCGTCCTTCTAATAACAGAGAAAAAGACGAGTTTCGTCGAAGCAGCGTCTTTTTCGTTCTTTTGCATTGCATGGACATAATTTTGTTTTCTGGCTGGTTCCAAGCTGATTCTGCGTTAAAGTATGACAACTTCCTAATTGGCACAACGATAGCGAAGTGAATGTAAATGTTGTCACTAATTTACATACACAGAACAACAAGAGGAAGCGCTGTACTCCTCACATAACTCATAACACAATTCCTATTTGTACAATTGTACAACTTAACTTTCGATTTCTTATAATATGAATTTAATAAAAACAAATATTTTTTAATTAACTCGAAACTTTAACGCGACATTTCTATGATTGAAACTTTTGTTCGATCACTATTGAACGTTTACACATTTTTTATGCACCTCTTATAAGACTATGGAATACTTGATGCAGGTTTGTACGAGTAGTTGAAATAATTTTGTAATTTACAAGAATTGTTGTTAATGTCCTATTAAATGGTTCAGGGTGAATTGAAAATACCCCTATACATTAAAACTCACAAGTTTATTTGGTGCATCTATTTTTTTTTTTTGATATACCTCCTATAAGACTATGGAATAATACTTGATGCAGGTTTGTAGAAGGAACCGAAACAATTTTGAATTTTACAATAATTGCTTGTTTAAATTGATAAGAAAGTCGTATTAAATGGTATAAGGGAAATTAATAATAGCCCTGTTCAATAAAACTCACATAATACTCTACTTGATGACACAATTTTTTTAAATCTCATATAAGACTAGAGAATACTTGATGCAGGTTTGAATGAGTAGTGTACAAACAATTTTGTAATATACAATTGTTTGCTTTATTGATAAAAATGTGGTATTAAATGGTGTAGGGCGCATTGAAAATACCCCTATACAATAAAACTCAGACGATAGTCTATTTGGTGAATCTATTTTTTTATATCTCGTACAAGACTATGGAACAGTTGATTCGGGTTTGTATCGGAATTCGAAACAGTTATGTAATTTAGCAGAACTGTTTTTCATAAGAATTTTGTTCCAACAGATTTAAGGTGAATCAAAAATGCCCCTGCTTAGTCTATTTAGTGAAGTAATTTTTTGTATTGCTTAATTTTAAGATTCGAACATGCGGAAGTCTTCTTCCTTTTCCTTGTGAGCGTTTGAGTACAGATGTATTCGCATGGCGTGCGCCGGCATCGGCCCAGTGCCGCATAGCTTGCAAGTTAATTCTCCTGTCGATGATATTGGTGTCCTAGGAAATAAACGTTAGTTGTAGATTGTGAATATAAGATATTAAGGTAAATAATAATTAAGGTGTTATCAAATAATTTTATTGATTTTTTATTTTATTAAGCTTCAAGATGCCGTTTGAGAAACAAATGGGAAATGTGTAAATATTAAAGGATGACGATGTTTTTTCCTATCAAATAGTGGGTGTCCGTTGCAGTTTTTGACACAGTTCGAGCGGTTACACATGGCTACTTTTAGCAGTGCATGTGCTGCGATGCAGTCACCAATCGTCTTACCTTTACTCACATGCACGACTTAAGTAACGATACAATCGCGATACACGTTTTTAATGATTCAACATACGTGACGGCTACGACGCAGTGTTTGCTTCGATGCAACCGCCTATAGAACGCGCATAAACGCGTGTTTGTAACGCTGCTAAATGTCGGCGTGTGTAAGCGCTCTTAAGTATGTGTAGATAGTAGAACAAATTCATTAGATAATTATTCCGCAATTCAGAGATAAGTCGAAATTTAACTTATGAATTAGGTAATATCGATTGCACTAAGGACCTGTGTCAACCGGCGGACAGGATATCAAATTTATTATTAATGTTTCTATACTACTTCGTTATCTTTATGCGGTATTGAAAAGCAGGATAGAGGTAACCGCGACGGGAGGCACCGGTATGCCACCGGATATGCGTCGGAGTCTGCCTGAATGCGCCGGTGTATCACAAGGGTACGCTTTACTTTGCACGCGTGCAGTTCTTTCGCAGCGCATTCACCAGATCTTAGGCACCCTAAGGGATATTCCTCATCAATGTGCGCTGACGGGCACAAAGTACTCTTCGATGCTCACCCTCACACGCCAGTTTGCGTTAATCCCTACCCCGTTCACACGGCATTGCACTGCACGTTTTTCTGAAGTACAAATCCAAACCGAATATGCAGTGGCGAATACATTATAATAGAACCGTTCACACGTCCTTTGTCCTGCAAAAAACGCACACCGCATACTTACACGCATCGAATACTACAAAAAAACGTGCAGTGCAATGTTGTATGAACGGGGAGTTACATTTTTATTTCATTGATATTATAGTTCCGTCGGAACTTTTAAAGTACAGACGATGCCCTAAGATACCTGACCTCCTTTTTGGTTTTGAGTAGATCAGTGTGAAGAAAAGTGTTAAACAAACCTTTCAACCAGTGACCCGTAAAATATATTTTGGTACGACTTCCTTATTGCATTATTAGTGCATGACGTTTTAATAAACATTTTAAGCCCATTCGATCTTTAATTAATACAAATATCAACCAAAAAGTTGGAATTCTTTTACACTGTTCTGTTGAATGCGTAAAAAGAATTTCAGAACCAAAAGGTCAGGTAAGAAATCAGAACGTATCTTAGAGCATCGACTGCACGAATCTTTTTTTGTTCTACAATCTTTGGTGAAATCCATAAGTTTAAACTTAACAGCATATTTAAAAAACATTTTACGTAAATAATTGTTGGTTTTACCTGGCAACGAGCAACTTAAGTTGAGCATTTTCCTCTTTCAATTTAAGCAACTGGTCGCGCGATAATGGCCGGAGCTCCAGCGGTGTGTGCAGCGGGTATATTATCGCCTGATCTACCATATCCGGGACGGAGATCTCTAGCAGTTCGTGTTCAGGTACAGTCTTCCATTCCCATGCGTTCACTACGGATTCAGGTTCGCGGTGCTTGCGACGTTTGCGGAATAATCTACGTACAAATGGCATTAAAAGGTTACTAACTCACGAGCGGGTTCTATACAAACGAAGTTTAATAATATTTTGGACATTAACTAAACAAACTCAATAAACGCATACTAATAAGCAGTGATCGGAATTACTGGAGTTAATTTAACTAAAGAATAACGTCGACATTCCTTTTTACAAATCCCGGGAACTGATTACATTTGCATATGCGTACTTTTTATTGAAATTTGAGTACATTGGCATTAAATTATTATTTCCTACTAAGTATTAGCTACTAATTATTATCTCAAAAAATAATATTGCAGTTGTGTTTCTATAAGTACTTATGTATTTAAATACTTTAGCCATTTAAAAAATAAACATTTGACAACCTATATTTTGGAATGTTCAGAAAATAAGCAGCAAAAAAGACATTTTATACGAATTGACGACGAAATGAGTATGTCCATACTAAAAATATGTTCATACTTTAGGTAAATTTACTCCCTCCATTATGATTACTAATAACAAGACAAGTAGTGCAATTCCTCCTGTTCGGCGCGTCAATGAATACATATCCCTCGTAGCATAGGGTTGTCACATTATTATTTTAATTCATTATATTAACCTACAGGTTGTAGATATAATTTGAAAAAATTAAGGTATTCATTACTGAAAACTAACCTTTGTTAAACGTAGGATCAAGCACGTTTTTGCCAATTAGTGAAAGTCCGTTTTTTAATTAATTCTTTTTTAATACCGAAGGAATTTTTCGGTCATTTTTACAATTTAAATTTGGAAATAGAATTTGACCAAAAAAAAATCCATTGGGATTGGGACCAAAAAATCTGATTTATAATCATTAGCAAAAACATCCTTAATCCCTACACACTTTTGACGTGTGCATTTATACTAGCATCGCGGATTGATATTAAGTATGATTATGAAATACACAATTCTGAATTTGAAGCACTCTTGTTCAAACAACCATAAACACAACAATAAACGCGTCTGCTATTTGAGGTCATTTTTTAAACACCGAGTCGACAGTCAACAACAAGTACATGACCTATTTAACATTTTATGAAAACTGGCAACCCTGTAAACTCAAAATCTTCAAAAAAGACAGACTATACTTGTCTTATTATATGCTATAGTGCGCGCGGAACTAGCTGGCCGCGCCTTAGGTAGGGACAGGGGTGAGGGGGCGGGTTGCTTGCTGCTCGCAACGCACATGAGATTAGACAGTGACGACCAATCTCGAGATATCGTGAACAATAATTGTTCAGTTATTGAAAAGAAAAAATTAAAGCCAATTGAACTTTTACAAGTTCATATTATACCTATCTAATTAATTGCAATGTACAGTCGGCAGCACATCAGGCCGCCACAAACTGTCAGATTTCCTCAATTGATTTTCAACTTAAAGTCCAGGGAATAGAGTATAAAATTGATTGGATAAATTTGACATTTATGTATTGATGGACTTGCTGTTGTCCGTACATTGCAATTAAAAGTAAAATAAACCAAAAACAAATTAAATGAAATTCTTCCGACATATTTGAATCATTTATGAAATTATTATTAATTAATTAGTGTAACTAACACGACTTTGTATTTATAGATATGAAATTACTCTGACATATTATCCTCTGAATCACTTGATTCTGAATTGTCTGAACTTGAGTCAGAATCATCTTGTAAGTTTATAATGAATTCGTCCATCACAGTATCATATCTCATATCATGATTCCAGTATTCTTGTTCGTTTTTTTGTACGTGGTCGTCGCATTTTTGCCATTGTTCGGCAGAAAATTCAGAAAATAGTCTTGTTAGTATTGTAATTTTCTCGTCCAATGTAGCATTAATGTGATCTCTGGCCAGGCAATTTTTTATATTTGCCCACACAAGCTCGATTGGGTTGAGATCTGGATGATATGGAGGTAGTCTTAGAACAGTATGACCTGCACCTTTCAGAAGTTCATCAATCGTGTATATTTTTTCTGATTGGGTCGTATTAATCAAGCCCAAGAGTTCAGCTTTGACCATCGTGGGAGAAAAGGGCACGTTATGATTTTGCAACCAATTCTGCATATTAATTTTCATACAGGACATAGTCGGTTTCTTCTCAACTTGCACACAGTGGTAAGCTGCATTGTCCATAACTATGACTGAGTTAGGTGGAAGTTTAGGTATTAACTTTCGATCAACCCAGTTGTAAAAATTTGTAGAGTTCATGTCTCCATGATAGTCTCCTGTTTTTGAATCTGATTTAAAAATTAGCAGAGCATCGTCAACTAACCCGTTCCGACTACCAGCGTGAACTATTATTAAACGCCTTCCTTTGCCTATATCTGCATAAACACCAGGCTCCGACGAAGATTGCCAACATTTTTGGACATTATGACTTTGGTTAACGTAAGTTTCGTCCAAAAAGAATATATTTCGTTTGTCTTCTCTGAATTTTCTTATGGCCCTCAAATATTTCACTCGCCATTCAACAATGTTTGGTCTCTCTAATAAAAGGGATCTCTTCGATTTACATTTTTTAAATGAATATCCCAGTTTGTGCAAAAGTTCTCTTAAATAAGTTAATCCGCAATCTAAAATATTATCCTCTTTTAACACAGCATTTAGTTTTCGTAGACTTGGATTTGTTTTCTGTACCGTATAAAACTGATTTATTTTTCTTCTTATCACTCCTAAATCAAAATCATCAACTTGTATTTTCTTTTTTATCTCTTTTGGCCTTCGTGGAGAACTAAATTTTGCTTCCCCTGTATTTTGCAAGGATGTTTTACTTTGAGCAATCACTCTCCTTACACTTCGTTCTGATATCCCGGTTGCTTCTGCCACTAATTTATGAATATTCGCATCAGTTTTATATTCTAAACTATTGACATCGGCTTTCCGTTTTTTAAAAAACGTATGCACTTTAAATATTATTTCCTTAGATTGTCTTTTTATCGGCGGACTCATCTTGACATTGCAATCTCTTGTGCGTTTTGTCTAAACTAGCCAGAACTGTCAACGTGTGTTGCCGCCGCGAAGTCCGGCGCCGAACTGAGTATTCTGAGTAATGACATCAAGTGCCCCCGCCTCCCCGTCCCACCGCTCACATACCTAAGGCGCGGCCAGCTAGTTCCGCGCGCACTATAATATCGAGACTCTTTTTTTTTAAGTAAAATAGACGAACATTTTGCCACATATCTCCCGATGTTAAGCGATGATGTCGCCGAAGACGATACGTTTGTCTAGCATATACGTCTATTGACTCTAGCCTTGTATAGCTTTCTATTATATACCAAACTTGAAATTCGCGAGTTTATAACCTCATCTTGAAGTTTCCTTTAAATATCGTCGGTGTTTTCTAGAACGGGCGTAAGCTAAATTTCGTAGATTTGTCAGGGGAGTATGTGGTAGATTTTAACGACAGTTTTAAAAATATTTATATCCTATGTTAAGATCAAGTGTTGGTTTTAATTAAGTATAAGTTTTAAAATAATTTCTACAAAACACCGACGATATGCAAAGAAACGGTTTAAAAAAAGTCAATGTTACTCACTCAAGGATGTCATTGCGGATGGTCTTGGGCACCTGCGAGCGGTACGCGTTGTCCGCAGGCATGTCCTGGCCCTCGTTACAGTACATCATGTAATCCATCAGGTAACGAATATGGTTTATCTAAATATGTTCAAGAAATTGCGCATGATGTATCAATGGTATTCTAGAATAGCAACCTATCTAAGAGCACCTAAACCTGGCGTGTTTATGCCATTAGGTGCTCAACAGGCCGCCTTCGCTTGCCCGCCGAATGCGGCAATCTACCCCCCATTCACACGGCATTGAGCTGCACGTTTTTTTTACAGTATAAATCCAAACTGAATAAACAGTGGCGGATACATTATAATAGAACCATTCACACGTAGTTTGTACTGTAAAAAACGAACACTGCATATTTACAAATACAAACGCACATCGAATACTGCAAAAAAAAGTGCAGAGCAATGCCGTATGAACAGCAGCATTCGCTGTCAGACGACTCGGTTGCCATCGGCAAGCAGCAGCCGACCTAACAAATTACAACGTGTCGGCGGTCACGTCCCACCTGTATGGGGGCCAGGGAATACCTACCTACCCGATCAGTTTGTTGAATCTTTCGTACGATTTGTTGAGTATCCGTACGTAAACTTGTATTTATAATTATTTGGGGCTTTCGACGAAGGCGACAACGATTCTTTGTAAACAGCGGGTCCACTGCGCGGTCTTCGTCAGCCGAATTCGCTTGCCGATGAGGCAGCAGTCGAGTCGGTGTAAACAACGAGGGACCTCCTTACCTTCTAGTCTGATGATGGCAGTCGACCATATATACACACGTCATAATTCATCAAGATGATGGTTTAAACGCCTGAATTGTATCAGGCGCTCTAATTCGACGAATCGTGTACCGGTACAATGTTGTCATGTGATTATTTTAAACAAGTCAAAGCTCGATGTCTTTTTCACAATAAATAATGTTTTATTTGGGTCACTATTTTTGAAAAATGTGATCCGAAACCATGATGGTGGCGGATAACAAATATTAAAATAAAATCAAAATACGATAAAAAGTTTAGAGAGTGGTACACGCAAGTGGTATAGATTTGGCAATAGTACGTATACAGTTTTATGCACAGGAAGACATTTTCCTGGTTCATGGTTGGTTTGTCACGAAACCCATCACAATTTAGTGCATGTTACTTACCGCGCCAATATCCTCAACGGTGAGATCAGCATCGATGTTAACCAACAAATCGTGTTCGGGGAAGTACGGCGTCCCGTCTTCCATGCTGCCTAATCCACATAATACGCTCACGTACCTTGACCCTTCGGAATCCCTTCGGAGTTCCGCACTGTTCGTAATGGAACGTTATTGTCAATTAATAGAACAACAGCAGTACAGTACAGTGACAAATCAAGACACTATAATATCCAAAACAGCAGCAGCAAAAACAATTTTTCTGGTTTTTTATAATTTCTGAGGTTAATAACATAAAAAGGATTTACCTTACCATTATTTACCTAACTTTGTAAGTTAGATCTAATATAATCTAATATACATATATAATATGTACAGATAAGTTTAAATAAGCTATTTCTATTGAAAAACTAACACATTTCTTTTCCTTTGATAACAGCCGTAAGATTTTTGCTGTAATGAAATTACAAAACACTGTACTGACCCTTGCAGTGTTTTGGTTTGGTTTGATAAAGGAGCACCTCATTAAGCAACTTCCTAGCCATGACGGATGGCGTTATACACGAAAAAATCAATTATTTAAATTATTTCTTATTAACATCACGGCCTCTCCACAAAATAAGGTAATTTGTACGTATCGAAAACGTCCAACTAGAGACGAAGATATAGACGCCATGAATTAGACATGCAATTAGACGACACTCATGACCAATCAGAGAGTTTAAAGTTACCCACTGAAGGAGTTTTGGATTGGTACATAAAATCGCTCGGTACTGTAAGAATGTTGGATAGTTGTCATGGAGGGCTGTGTTTACTAAATTTTAATTTCTTACTGCATTTCACTGGGTTGAAAGTCATGTCACCACATGGTCTTTTACGTGATCAATCGGTCAATGTGAATTTCCTACTGTAATTTTAAATGCAAATGTAGTTAAATGACAGTAAGCGTACGTACACAGGGCAGAAGAGTAGGGAAATGATGGCCGGCAGCGCGGGGATGTTGGGCAGCAGAGTGGTGTGCCTCAGCGTCAGTTTGCTGCTGTTCTCATTCTGACCCACTTCCGCAGCCACTAGAAGCCTGTACAGTATTACATAGGAAAAGTTAAATTACTATTGGCTGTGTAATAATGACTCAACAGTACTTTTAGCGCTGTTAAAAATTAATACTTTATGACACTTAAATTAAAACAGACGGCAGCACCTCAAACTATAGATTGGCGGATCTTGGTCCGTTGCACTGGACACGATATTCGAAGAAAAGTGTATAGCTTAATGTGCTGTTAACTGTATTTGGTACATATACACATAGTTTATTAATCTCATGAAACCAAATACTGTCGTAACTCAAAATAGTGGAATTTAATTAAATCAAATCATTTATTGTGTACGCACGTCTAGAAGGTAAAGGAAGGTCTAATATAACATTGTTGTGTCAGTACGTATTGCCAATTTTAGGGCATACAATTTGCTTAATGAAATTAATTTAACAGTACAGTTTTAATTACAAAATGTCAAATCTTAATTTTAATTTCAAGTCTTAATAATATCGTACAGGTCATTACTTTGTCGTGGTTAATTATTATTCTATGTTATTGTCATTTAAATAATCGCTGACTCTGTAATACGCTTTCCTGGTCAATAAATTAAAAACACACTTTTTGAAATTGGTAATGTCATTTGTATCAAGGATGTGATTTGGCAGCTTATTGTATAATTTTGGCGCTATCGCACAAATATTTTCATGAAAGAGGGACTTACTCTTACAGGAAACCAGTTTCAATTCATTGTCTTCGTGTACGTTGTACTTTGCTGAAGAGTGAAGGATTTTTTCGAACAAAAAGAACTGTATCAAATATATATGACGAAGGATCTGTAAACAGTCTCAGCTGTTGAAAGTGTGGTATACAACTATCCATACGGCACAATCAGTAAATCGCCCGAACAATCTTTTTTGTGCGTCCGTACTGTGTTTAGCATTACGCCAGAATATAATGCCGTATCTTATGATTGACGCGACGTATCCGTGGTATGCCACTAGTAATGCATCTTGGTCCACAACTTAAGGTAGTCTCCATAAAGCGTATGCAAATCGATTTATTCTCATACAAAAGATTTCTAAATGTTTTTCCCGTTTTATATCATTGCCTATATAGATTCCTTGAGAAAACAAAAAAATACTGAAAAAATTGCGACCAATGTGATTATTTTCTACTTATATATACTATTTATTTATTTATAAACGAGAATATATTATTGTTTTCATTTAGTATGTTTTTGAAATTTCAAATCATGTTTTCTAAAGGTACGACAAAACAATCGGACTATATTTCGTCTACGAGTAAGTGTGGGGGTATTCGTTGTCACGAGTGCCATCACCACCTCACATTTGGTCGTAACATTTGTTGCACCCGAACATTTCCCAGATCCCTTGACTGATACACAGATGATGACAGATAGATATGTGTGGACCTCTGCCACACACTGAGATCAGCGCGATTTATCATACAAATCATGCAAAAAGTGACATATACAATGAATTTGAAGAAAATTAAACTTGCGCATGTTCAAATGGATGACATTATATAATTTTAAACCATAGTCACGCGAAAGAATTCATAGGACTATTTGACATTGATTAAAATTCATGCCGCTTTATGTGTAAAAATTGCTGCCCACATGTACGTCAATGCCCATTCTTGCTCAAATCAGTTCCTCTCGCCGGAACCGCACACTGATCCAATTCGTACTAATTAACCGCTAACCTCTGACGCAATTAATGATTCTCTTTGTTTACAGTACATGCTATAAAAAGAAAAGAATAGAATTTTTATCAAACAAAGAACAAAGAAGTCTTACAAAATGTTTTATTGAACGCCTTTGTTTTATACGTGTTCTTCGTACAAGCAAAATAGAAACGATAAAGTAGCTTGCATAAAAATTTAAGTTTTGGTACAACAATCAGCGCAACTATGTTAGATGGGCGGGCGCGAAGTCGGGCATGTATGGGTTGGAGTGTGGCGTGAGGCAGGGGTGATTGAGCTCGCCAAGTCTCTTCAACATATATGTACATGAACGGTTTAATTGTTGAACTCTGCAACACCAGAATCGAATGCTCGTTGGATGGAAAGATTGTGAATAATACCAGTTACGCGGATGATATGGTGTTGCTGAGTCCTTCAATAAGCGCGCTAAGAAAACTAGTTGCAATATGTGAGCGCTATGCTGAGATCCATGGCTTACGGCACAATGCGATTAAGAGTTGCTTGTGTTCAAAGCGGGTAGCAATGGCTTTAATAACGTCCCTGAAGTTAAGCTGTGTGGCACTCCTCTTAATAGGGTTACTAAATTTAAGTACCTTGGGCATTGGAGGATAACACTGACATTGAGAGAGAGCGTAGGGCATTAGCAGTGCGGGGTAATATGTTGGCCCGTAGGTTCGCAAGGTGTACGGACAACGTAAAGGTATCTCTTTTTAAAGCTTACTGCCAGACCTTTTATACCTGCAGCCTATGGGTCAACTACACTCAGAAAGCTATCAACTCTCTAAGAGTTATATATAACAATATATTACAATATTATAATATATAACAATATATATTCCGGATGTTGTTGCGGCTGCCGCGATTCTGTAGCGCGTCAGGAATGTTCGCCGATGCTCACGTAGACGGATTTGCCGCCTTAATGAGAAAAAGAGCGGCATCCTTGATGCGCAGAGTTCGTGGCAGCGGTCATAGCATTGTGAGTATTGTTGCTGGCAGGGTCCAGGGTTCTTTTTTTGAACACTGGACTAAATTACATTTATATCCTAAACCCAGCACGTATTTATGAATTTGTATTTTCTAACACTAGTATGTAAGTTTTTTTTGTTATACTAACCAATATGGATGAAATCTGAATTAAAGTATTTCAATTTGAATTTGAATAAAAAATGCCACACGCTCTCATTGAGAGCGCACTTCTTTTCTTGACCTATCATTGCTAGATAAATAAATAAAAATAAGCAATAAGAAAGCCCATAGAGGGTGTATTGTCATTGCGAATATTAATATGTATGCACGAGGGCTGTTCCAAAAATAGTTAGCCACACCACAGAGTAAATATAATCTGTTTCCTGAAAGTATTTTCAATTGACGGCTAATTTCAATACAAATCTTCTTGGTGAGGGTATAGTATATAGGGTATAGGGATATTCATTTATTTAAAAAATATCTGTCACTCTTCTTTTGTTTGCAACAATGGACGTCTCGCGGAAAACTTTCGTGCTATGATTATAAACGAGGGTAACCTTCAAGTAATCTCACGACCGTTTGCAAGCTGCATTTGGGGCGTCTGCTCCTGCTTTTGCAATTTGCTTATTGGTTTCGTGAAACTAATTAAGGGTGGTGGAATCTAAACGATGAACGGCCGACCACCAACTGCAGTAGCTCATGAAAACATCATCAGGATAGAGTAGCTATTGTGGGAGAATAGACACATCACAGATCCGGAGATTCAGGCTAAACTGAAGACCGGATCACAGGTAGTTTCCACCATCCTTCATGAACAAGACACGGTTACTTAAGAGTTTTGAAAGCTGATTCACCCGAATGCATAAGGGATGAAAGGGAATATTTTTAAAAATTGTAAATAAACTTGACTAACTGAGAGGAAACTTGGTTCCTGGGTAGTCAATAATAAAAAAAATAGAATGCTATGTTAACTAAAATTTTGCTGAAAAGATGCGATACCAACCTTTCGTACACTTCCTGGGGGTCGGTATCCAGCAGGACCGAGTTGACGGAGAGCCACTCAATGGTAACTTGTTTCTCCCGGCTCGAGTACATCAAATTGTGGACAATGGTCTCCAGAGGGCTGTAACAACATTGCTTTTAAAGTTGAACGTGTTTCATATCACGTTATGAAGGCTTAATGTGATTTCTGTGCCAAATGTCCGCCAGTTATTCGAGCCCAATTATGATTGGACTAGCATTGATTGATTCGTACTTGTTATCTAAAGCACGTTTAATAGTATACTAGTATACGCCTGCAATTCTGTTCTCAAAAAAGGTAGGTAAAGGTATTTTTTATGATACCAAGTGACGCGACGAGCAAGTCTTGCAACTGGTGCTAGGCGACACGCCTGTCTATAACAGTTGCAGTGCCACTCAGAGCTTAAAGTCGTAAAGATCTGTGGGGCACTACCGCTGCGCCCGTCATCCTGAGACGTTACGTTGACGAATCTCGTGTGCCTGTAATTTCACCAGCACCCTTACCTTTTAAAAATGGAACGCAGTACTGCTCATTTTACTGCTTGGCAGCAGAAATGCGCCAATCTATGGGTTACTAAAACAAATTTACGCGGTTATACTATCGAGATTATACGTACCGAATTCTTACGTTTTGTGTGATTATTACACATTAGAAATATAACTACATTTTGAAATCTAAATCAAACTAAACAACGTTTCGGGCTCTTTACATGTCCTAACATTATATTTTTTTGAAAAAATAAATATAAACTACTATGTACCCGGAAAAATTGTTCAATTTCCAAAACGTGCATATTGGTTTTTTCGTGGTTCAGTTTTTATATTAACTGTTTCGGATCTAAATCGCGTTTATTTGTTTTTTTAGTCAGCCGTGACCATTGGACCTGTAAAGTGACGTTGGTTTGTTTGAACAAACAAATATATGCGATTTGAAATCAGGAAAAAATTGTATAATTTCCAATTAAGGACACGTATAACAAAAAAATAGTACATTACTTAATACAAAAAACGAAATTATCGACGGTCTTACGATTTTCAGTAACTATGTATTTGTTTTATTTACTTATAACGTGTAAGGATTACATAAAAAATATCAAACAAATTAGTTAATTTTTACACTTATTACACAGCTATATTCTGAATAAATTTGAATAAAACTTTCGAGCTTTCCATTGGTAAAAATAATTACGTGACAACAGTGGGCTGGTACGGTATATGATTCATCTAATTTGCTCACTAGATACGTGTCAGTTTTTTTATCTCCCTGACCAATAAGGCGCTTTTTAGATTGAATCTATATATTTATTATTAATTTTAGCTATTCTAGAAATCCAGCGGCTACAACAATAAAGTCGTGAATACAAAAAACAAAGATGTGTAACAAACGCTTAGAGAAATTCGTAAGGTCTACTGACTCGATCTGTAGATGGTCTGTCTAAGTTGGTAGAGCGGTTGCCCTGGATTGGCATACTGACGCAGGTTCGAGTCCAGTCAGTTCAAAATAATTCTTTGTGTTCAAATTTTGTATTAATAATTACAACAAACTAGTGGACTAATTTCTCAAAAAATAAATGCATATCGTGGTTATAAAATATGACATGATATTCAATACGAATATACGAATTTCATAATCTCCGTGGTCGAGTGGCTTACACACCGGTTTACATGGTGTGGCCATCTCTGAGGTCCCGGGCTCATCCCCGGCCGGGTCAATGTAGAAAAATTAACTTTTCTATATTGTCTCAGGTCCGAGTGTTTGTGGTACCGTCGTTGTTTCCGAGGTCCATAACAAGTGCTTTAGTGACTTACTTTGAGATGAGAGCAACATGTGATGTTGTCTAATGTTTATTTATTTATTTAATGTAGTTTGATATTCCGGTCGACTTTCAAAAATGCAGTTAAAAGTACTTTCTATACAGTGATAACTGTGTATACTTTATTTTGAATTAGTTACCTGAAAGGTCCTTTAAGCACGACATCAGTAATGCAGTCCTTGGAGTTGGGCGGTTCGATTTCTCGCAAATTATAGAAGGAAAGTTCGGTCTGCTCCTTATTGAACGCTCGTTTTTGGGCTAGGTTCAGGTCCGTAGCTGTTTGACGGAGATCGTGGTTTATCTATAGGGAAAGTTACAGCTACGTTATATTAGGAATAAACAGAACTAAGCTATTACAGCCCGATTGCACCAGTGTTATAGCGTCTACACTTTCCAGTAAATTTCTTCTGTAATCATATTCATCTGGCGCAAAGCTATGTTGCACGAAACCAATAAGTACTGGATACCTTAGAATCGTAGCTCTCTTCTGCGGGCACGGCAAGACGCTGATTGACGAGTTCCTTGTTGACGCTGATGCGGCCACCATCCGCCAACAGCTCTATAGACACTATGCCGTGTGTCACTGAATATACCTGTCATCATAACATTAAATATATCGCCCAGTGCAAAAGGAGAGGGAATTATGTCAATACCTAATTTCAGGCATATGGACTTGTCAACTTATGTCTCAGGGTGATAGGCGCAGTGGCAGTGGCCCTCAGATTTTTGCAACTTAAGGCTCTGAGTTTTTTTTTTATATGATACCAAGTGACGGGACGGACAAGTCGTGCGCCTGATGGTGAGTATCACTCAGAGCTTAAAAACACAATGTTCTGAGCGGCACTGTCACTCCGCCCGTCACCCTGAGACACAGGTTGATAACTCTTATGTGCCTGTAATTTCTTTTTTTTTATTATTCTAATATAAGTGTGCATTTGACCTCCATCTCACCTGATGGAAAGTGACGATGAGGTCGACGATGGAGCATGCACACCTAGATAATGCCTATTCACTCTCGCCTTGAAAAGGTCCAAATTATAACGTTCAGGGAACAAGTCTGCAGGCAGGGAATTCCACTCCATAGTCCTTCGCCATATAAATGTGGAAGCGTAACGCTTCGTGAGAGTCTTTGGAATATCCACAACACAGGGGTGGAAGCCAAGCCTACGCCTAGTCCCCCGATGATGGAAAGGGGAAGACGGAATTAAATCGTGTAATTCCATCCCACACTCTCCCTGATATATGTATATATCCTGTAAAATACCGATAAGCAGGCAACTTCCACCAGCATCTTTCCCTTCTAAACCGGAACGCAGTAATGCTCTCATTACTGCTTGGCGGCAGAAATAGGTAAGGTGGCAGTATGTCACTGAGAACTCTTTCACAAGGAGCTCTACTGCTACTAAAGAGTGGCACTGCAATTATTGACAGGCGAGTCGCCTACCACCAGGCGCACGACTTGTTCGTCTCGTCACCTGGTATTATAAAAAAAACACTACTTTTTCATGAGAACAGCAGGCGTACGCTAAGAGACTACTGAATCATTAGTAGACTAGATAACAAATACGATTCAATACTAAGCTGGTCCAATCATAATTGGTCGAAGAACTGATGGACATTTAACACACAAATGGCATTAACCCTGCATACGTAATACGAAACACGAGCAACATTACAGCCCTCTGGAGACCGTTGTCCACAGTCTAATGCACACTACCTAACCAAGAATACCTGAACTTCGAGAGCAGTCCAATTATATCGAAGCGGAGTGGGTGAAGCTTTCTTGACATCCACTCAAATTGCACAATCTACGAACGGCCGTTCCTCAACCGATACGGATGACTTGTAAAAACATACATATATACATATGCTTCACGCCTTTTTCCCATCGGGGTAGGCAGAGATAACAGTCTTCCACTTGCTACGGTCCTAACACACATCCTTCGCCTCATCAACACGCAGTGAAACTAGCACAAAAATACAACAAGTCGAGCCGCAGCTCAAATTTTCAATTTTTGATCTCACCTGATGGAAACATGAGCTCGACGATGGACTATGCACATCTAAATAATGCCTATTCACTCCCGCCTTGAAAAGGTCCAAGTCATAACGCTCAGGGAACAAGTGCAGACTTGAATCCCAAGCCATAGCTGTTCGCCAAGTAAATGTAGAAGCGTAACACTTCGTGTGAATAAGGGTGGAACCCCAGCCTATGTCTAGTCCCCCAATGATGGATAGGGAAAAGCGGAAATACGTGAACTCCGAAAATCGTCTATGGCGTCTAGAGCACTTTGGATAAAATATTTGAAACGTTACGTCATCAATCATTTGTATGTATTGTTCGAGTCGGATCACGTACGTTTGCATGATATCAGTGGCATGTAGTAAACAAGGAAAAAACTTGTAATTGTATACGTACGTATGAAATGTCACGGCGCCAACGTACTTTTGTGTACGCATTTCAACATGTAAAACGGTTTTTCTAGTAAAGAAAATAATACATTATGGAGGCAATACTTAAGACGCCACAAAAGTCAGTATTTTTTTAATGGGAAAATTAAATATCTGCTTCAGTCACAGTGAGTGAAAATGACCTGTATGTTTAAAATAAAAACAAATACATTTGATATAAAAGTTTAAAATGCTCTTCTAAACATCTAACCGTTTTAGAAAAAAAAAATCAGTTTCAATCAAAAGTTAGTAAAATAATTACTGAAATCAATAAATAAAAATATTACGTATTTAGATTATATAGGGTTATTTGTAAAATATTTACAACCGTGATTTTTTTCAAAATACATAATAAATTTGCCAAAACTTAACTTATAAATTTGGTAATAAGTTCATACTTGCAAGTGTCTTCTACGACGACTCCAACCCCCGGGCTTGTGTTTTACATCGGGCTGCTATTTACTCTAGCGCTTTCTTTTGTTTTGTAGTTATCAGCATAGAGGGAATTATTTAAATATTTTTATTTTTGTACGAAAAAATTCGATGAATTAAGTTTTGGACCAAAATTTGTTGTTTACGATGTGAGTAATAAAGTCCTGAGAAGTTGTTAGTATTTTACAAAACACCCTGTATATTTTAAGTGCAGACTAGTAAGTACATAATTCAACATTAATTCAACATCATTGTAGCTGGATTCTTGTTAATTCATAAATACATAATGATATTAAATAATTCACCTTGCCCAACAAATGTCCTTTCGCAATAAGACTGTCGAAAAGCTGCCTGGCGCGTGGCGTCCACTGTCCATGTTGATTAATCAGCGGGCTGGGAGCAATCTCAGCCAGCACGCACTCCATGGCCAGCGGTGGAGTGTCTTGACAGATTCCCGGTGGTATGAGGTACAGGTTGCATGTGTTCAGCCGCTGGGTGTTGCCATAGTCGATGAAGAGCACCTATTTCAATGTTAAATGACATCACAAATATTTATTTATTAGGAAACTAACAGAATTACACATAATATGATTATTGTAGATATTACGTAGTATTATTGTTCTTATGATCTCGTATCTGGACCAAAATGCTGACTTGCAAAATATAAAAATTTCAAATATTTAAGAATTTCAAACATGCATTGGACTAAATTTACTAAAACAAAGTAAAAGCAAAATCATGATTAAAATTAACTTTAATATATCATTTAATATTAAGTTTAAATTATAAAGAAATGATAATACAAGTCAATAATAAATATATCATTGGATATTGATTTCGGCGGATCCATGATTATTATTAAACGTAACTTAAAATTTAAAGAGCGTAAAGATATCACAAATCTTTCTAACTGAACGAACTATTGAGTTTTCTTGTGTAGAATTGGATCAGTTTATCGTCTTATGTGTATACAAGCCCCCCTCTACTAATTTTAACGAGTTTGAATTAATTATGGAAGACAGATTAAAGCGGATTTTTCCAACCAAAAAAAACGTAGTAATATGTGGAGATTTCAATGTAAACCTGTTGGAAAACTGTTCTACTTCTGTAAGACTCATTAATTTATTTAAAAGTTTTTACTTGATTAATCTTTTTTTAGAACCAACTCGCATCACTGCCTCCTCTTCTACTTGTATTGATAACATCTTTTGTAACACAGACGCAGTGTCTAAATCAATAATAAATTGCTTAAGATCAGACCATAGTGGCCTATTGGCTTCTTTTAATTGTAAAATGAGCAAGAAGGTAGACCAATTTCTCTGCAGACCGATTACCACAGAACGAATCATTAGATTTCAAAATAATATCGGCAATAGTTTAAATTGCCTACCCTATATACCGGAGGTTCCAAATACTTTATATACCACGATATTTGGTTTAATTAAAAATGAATTTGATAATAATTTAAATCGAAAACATTAACTTCCCATAGAGAGACTAAATTCAACGACTGGGCAACAGTAGGTACTCATAAGAGCAGGTCTCGTTTGTATGAGCTATATGCTATGAAAACTTGTGATACTAATTCCAATTTCATAGAATATGTTGGAATTTATTAAAAAATATTTAAAAAAGTTGTGTAGCTGCTAAGGTTAAGTTTCACAGCGACAAAATTAGGCAATTGATAAATAAATCTAAAACTACTTGGAGCCTAATAAATAAAGAGTCAGGCAGGGTTAAACAACACGATAGAGATATGGTTTTAGAATTAGACAGAAACTTATAAAATCTAAAGATAAAGTAGCCCAAGCTTTCGAATCGTGTTTTTCGGAAATTGCTGTGAACACTACAAAACCATTAAATTCCTCCCCTTCACTTGCTATTGATCTCCTAAAGGAAAATGTTAACGTTTGTGGCAGTTTATTTAATTTCCGTCATGTTAATCCACAAGACATCATAAAAGCTTTTAAATCAATACATGTTAAAAAAACTGAAGATCTCTGGGGCATATCAACTAAACTTATAGACTCAGTTATTGATCTAATTTCCCCACAGTTAGCTGTAGCTTTCAATAGGTGCGTTGACGAAGTTGTTTTTCCCGATTTAATGAAATACGGCAAAGGTTATTCCCTTATTCAAAAGCGGTAGGAAAGTTGATCCTAGCAACTATAAGCCCATTTCAATTTTACCAGCTTTAAGTAAAATATTCAAAAAGGTTATGCTAACTCAATTACTGTCCTATTTCGGTAGGAATCATATTTTTCATAGTGAACAATACGGGTTTACTAGTGGTAGATCGACTAGCGATGCGGGGGTAGCGTTACTAAAACACATCTTTGATGCTTGGGAAAGGTCCCAAAACACTATTGGTGTTTTTGTGACCTCTCAAAGGCATTTGATTGCGTTGATCATATTACTCTTATTAGGAAGCTGAAACATTACGGTGTAAATGGCAAGGCGTCGAAACTTGTCTCGTCATATCTCAACGATAGAATTCAGAAAGTAGACATAAATGGAGTGACTTCTTTGGGTTCTCCGGTAAAAATGGGTGTTCTGCAGGGCTCAATACTTGGACCTTTCTTATTTCTGATTTATATTAACGATCTGCCATTCTTTGTTAAGGACCATTGCGAAATAGGGTTTTTTACTGATGACACATCCATGATTTTTAAAGCAGACAGACATGACATTAACTATGACCATATTAATGATACCCTCTCCAAGGTAGTTTACTGGTTTAATGCTAACAGTTTATTGCTTAATGCCAAGAAGACAAAATGCGTTAAATTTGAATTACCTAACGTAAAATCGACTAATCCAAGCATAGAAATAAACGGAGAAAAGTTAGACCATGTTAATAAAGCAGTCTTGTTAGGAGTGACCTTAGATTGTAAACTTCAATGGTTTCCACAAATATCTTCCCTGGCCAGCAGATTAAGCGCCGCTGCATACACAGTCCTCAGAATACATGAGCTTACCGATGTTAGTACTGCTAGACTAATTTACTTTAGTTACTTCCATAGTATAATGTCCTACGGGATTCTCATGTGGGGTAAAGCGGCAGATATTCAAACCATATTTGTATTGCAAAAACGAGCGATTCGTTCTGTGTACCGTCTAGGCTCTCAGATTTCTCTCAGAGAAAAATTTAAGGAGACTGGTATCCTGACTGTGGCATCACAGTACATTTACTCAAATATTTTATATGCCCGTAAAAATATACATAATTTCAATAAGAAAGAAGATATCCATAATATTAACCTCAGAGCTAAGTGCAAACTCATGGTACCACGATTTCGTTTAACCAAGGTAAACAACTCTTTTATGGGGAATTATATACGTTTTTACAATAAGATTCCGGAGCTATATTAAGTTTATCATTTCCTAAGTTTAAAGACTACATTAAAATATTTTGATCGAAAAATCATATTACAAAATTGAAGACGACGTGTTAGATAAAGATGTATGGAAATACGACATGGCTCCAGAATCCACACAAATTTGATTCAAAATGTATTCCATAGCATTTAAGTTTATTTGAAAACAGCAATCCCTAGAGTTTCTTGCTCGTTCTTCTCAGGGAGGTCAGCGTAGTGAACGAGCAGTAGCTTAAATGTAAATTTATTTTACCTATGGAATAAATAATCTTTGACTTTGACTTTATTGAATATTATGATGTTTTACTACCATGACATTCATTTACCTACATTTTGTCAAATTACTCCACTAGTTTGTTATAATATAATTATTAATACAAAGATCGAACACAAAGAAAAATCTGATAGGACTCGAACCTGCCTCTGTATGCCAAACTAGGTCCACCACTCTCCCAACTAATCTAGTGGCAATATTATTATTATTTTGGATGTCTATTTTAAACTCACGTCTCTCCCATGGCTTAATAGATGAATTTAGAATAAGGGAGGGGTGGTATTCCTCGGCAATGGCACAGTCGACCGAGGTCAGGGCCTTACCATGAACTCTTATTACGATTCAGTTCAGGACCTAACATGAATCATTGAGAGACAGCGCTACATGAAGTGTATCCCGCTTTTTTTTCGTTACGAACCTATATTGAACTGTAATAAGAGTTCATGGTAAGGCCTCAGGGACACAATAACTGCCGTATCAAGCAAGACCGCTTTCTGCATTTGTGCAGCAAGAGACACGCTACAGAACAAGCTTCAAGTTGCTGGCGAGGTTGATTGGAATTAAACCATTATTATTATAGGTCTAGAGACAATTCTCGCATTACTGGAACGGCGTTAATGGTAACCCCATTATGGAAAGGGTTCTGGCGAAGGTGTATAAATAGAGCCGGTCATGAATTAGTTCTTTTTTACAGGTTCGCCTTAGAGTCTAACAGAATCATCAGCATCGTAGTTCTACTGAACTGCGCCATAATGCTGAGTTAGGCCGTTTTTTATGACACAGTATACTTAACTAATCCACCCGATATAATAATTATAACATTCCAGACTGTAACCGCAAACCTAGACTAGTATTTTTTTATCTCTACCATTGTCTACAAATGTAACCATCCCAATGCCACTTCAGCTTGCTTATTCTACCAGCTATGTAGACGACAGTGGTTTTTGTTTAGAAATAGAAAAATGTTTATTTTCTGCCATCGCTAAATACACGATTCTTATTACATACATTAATAAGTACTTGTTGTATTAGCTGATATAGTTTGTGAGAGAGCTGGAATCTAAACTAGGTCGAAACCGGTGCTATAGCTTCCAGGTACCCCACCAAGGACATAATTATGACTTAGAAGGTAAGCACTTAAAAATTAAAAAAAGAATGTATGTGGTGTGTGGTGTGTGCTTACTTGCACGGCCGCGAGACAAGTTTAGTTAGTATGTATTATATAACTATGTTAATATTTCAAATTACTACAATGTAATCTTAAATTATACCATTCAGCTACCTACTTACCTCAAACATGTCTCTAGGTAACAGCCGTTGCACGCGAATGCGGTGCATTGTAGTGCCATGGGTATCAACAAAGGGCCCGGCGAAAATATCGCCAACAGCCACTGGACCATTGTGAGGAATTAACTTGGCGCGGTTTAGGGTGTTTTGGATTTGACGCAGTTCGCTTGCAGTTGACGTATCGTCGTATTGAACCCAAAATTTGCTAACGCTGATTTTCTGTACATGCAATACAACAGAAAATGAATAAAATTATCCCTATGTAGGTATTAACAACACTATAGTATGATATCATCAAGTAAACTTAATTTAAAGCCATACATTAAAAAAAGATCATAAATTCACAACCTAAAAATCCGCACGAAGCTTTGTCAATTACTACTAAAACCATTGACCTATCAATAAATGGACATCGGGTTCGCGCTAAAAAGTGTCCGCACCTACAGGGCGTTAAAATCGCATACAGCGCATTAATCGCGCAACAGTCTTCGTTTGTTCGACTGACAGCGCGGTTGTCACTCATGAAGTACCATATAATAATAACTTGTAAAAATTTCTGCAGTAAAGTGTAAAAACAGGATTTTGTATCATATTTTCACTACACAAATATATTGTGTTATCATAGTTCTCATTTAAAAGTGGTATTTACTACAGTTTTATAGTATTTAATTTATATAGAAATGAATCGTAAATATAAATTACAAAAGCAAACAAAATAATTAAATAGCTAACTGTCCTTTTTCTACACATTGCATGTGCAAAAGATGGAAAGAGACCTATTACGTCAATTTCAAGAAGCTTATATAAACTTCTTTGTCATTTTCAATTGTTCGAACTACAAGCGATTGAAATATTTAGAACAAAGAAACTATAGAGTCACTTTGATTTTAATCTTATTTTTAAAATGATTTTTTATTAAACGTTAGCAATAACTAACAAAATATTGTTGTACTCGTTTTACGGCTTGGGATTGCCTATCAGAAGTAAGAAAATACATTTGTCCGAAATAACGTTAGCTCAAATTTTCATAATGTCAAATGCATTTTTTAGGAAGATTACAAAACAAAAGCTAATTTTGTCTTTGTGAAAAGCATCAAAATTACTCGAAAGCGTAACGGTGTTATAATAAATCGGTTTTCGGAATTACAGATATTCGAGTTTACGTTTAGTTGGAATATCGGTACATTTCTTATAGTACACGCTTATTTTCACATTTGTAGGAATATTTGTATGCAACAGACACATATCTGCCCAACTCTTTATTATTTCTTTAAGTGAATTGTACAAAATTCGACATAATAATATATATAAAAATTAATTAATATTTCTCTCTCTATAAGTATATATTATATAGAGAGACTCTATATATTATATAGAGTTCTCGTAACTTGTCTTAAGCATGATGCGGTACTAATAATAGGTGATTTACCCCTTTAACACCCTACTAAACACTTATAAGATATGAAAGTACAAACCTCAGAAATAGTGAGTGGGAAGTGAGAATCATCCACATCAGGTAGCCGTGGTACCATTTTGTTCCAGGTGTGCTCCATTTTTTTTTCTGATTCAAGCGCTGCAGCGACTTCGTTTGCTTTTTCTAATCTGTGTACGTTAAAAAGTATATCGGATCAGACAGAACGTCATGAAAAAATTAATCATTACAAGAAACACTCTCTTGGGTTTATTTTCAAATTTGAATGTTACAGAGAAGTGCCACGGGACTGCGTTCGTTATACAGTACAAATAGAACAAACGGTACATTAAAACAAAATACAAAGACAAAAGTCTGGCTACAATAGTCCGCGGTATTTTGAGATAAATACCTCGTAAAAGCAACTTTGTTCAAAATCGTAACACAAATTTATTTTGTACCAGTGATTGGGGTGCACGAAAGGAGACTCCCCTCACGACGTGCTATACGTCTGGCGCACGCTGGACAATAATCGGCAAGTACCTTACGCCGATTGGCTAATCTTTTTACCACAATGGCAAATATTATAGTACGAAGAAGAAGACCAGTGATCCCGTATACGCTTTATCATATTTTGTCGGAGTTACACACGCCAGTATACTAAATATGCACGCAGTAAAGGGCAAATTGAGAAGTGGAAAGAATTAGATTTTTTTGTAAGTCGATTCATACAATATCTAGTATTGCATTGACTTATTTGCGTCCCACTGCGGGGTCGAGTGTACTCTTATGAACTGTTCAAGTCTCAGTACACCATACTGGTGCAATACGGGTTGGGGGCTCCATATTGTCTTTTATCTTAAACAGCTTTTACCACGACATAATTGACGAAGATTTTTGGCTTTCTGTAAGGGTTTTTTTAATGAAATGTAAGAATAAGTGCGCTTTTGACCTCCATCTCACATGATGGAAACTCACGATGTGGTCGGGTTGTTCTTCAAAAGGGGCAAAAAACGTCTTCCGGTCAATTATTTTAATATACTAAAATTTCATGACACAATTAATAAGCTTTTTATATATATTTACCATTATTTTACATGTTACCCAGTTTAAAAAATACATCTTTGGTTTAATTTATGAAAAAAAAATCAAAAATGTCGCTAAACGTCATTTTACTCCTATTCCTATGACGTCTCTTAACACAACATTTGTTCACAAATAATTTATTAAATACTTATACATTCTAAAAATTTTATGAATGAAAGTTTAATAAATTAACCTTCGTTTAAAATAAAAACCTCTTCAAATAGTTTGCATGGTTAACTTAAACTTCAATTCAAATTATTGCTACAAGAAAAACGTCATTTGTCGCAGTAACGTTGTTAAATCTTATTATTGAACGACGCATTTTCGAACGCATCTTTAATACACCTTCCCGGGTGTGCGGGAGGGGCCTTCAGTCGGCGGAGACCTATTGGTGAACGAGCACGTGCGGGTCTGAGAGCTGTAAGTAATTTTTTATAGTTCTTCACATTTTGTCATTAAAAATATCATTTGTGTTTCAACCTAAACTCCTTAAATGCACATACGTAATATTTTCGTTTGTATTTTATTCAATAGCCAGTGGCAAATGAATTCATTTAGTCTAATCATAACGGTTTTTTAATGCTCACAGACAAGTCCATACAGGTTTTTTCCTCAACTCGTCATTCTATGCTACATCATTGTCGGCACTTATCCGATTCGCCGTCATCGCAATACCGGAATAAATATATGTTTTATATTATCAGTCAATTGTCGTCCCAACACAGTAATATAACTAGAATAACCAGGAATTATTCTGAAGCTGGGCACGGAAAGGGTGCTCCTGATGGCGTTGGTGGTACAATAAAAAGAGTAGCAGATCAAATGGTGCATTATTGTTCAGATGTTGGAAATTTTGATGAGTTTTACAAAATCATGGAATCAAGATTAGAAAATATTATAATTCAAAGAGTTTCAGAGCAAGACATAATTCAGAGGGAGAGATTGATTCCTGAGCAGTTGAAACCATTCAGGGGCACCCTTTCTGTACATCAGGTTCTTTGGGACGCGTTCAGACCTAAAATCACTATGAGAAATATGAGTTGCTTCCTATGTGATGCTGGTGAAATTTGCTCCCATGGTAAGCATCTGGGTTATATCAATAATAAGTCCTTTAGAAATCAGAACGACGATCTTGATTCTTGTGTAACTCCCCTGGCAAACACTAAGCGTAAATCTCAAAATCAAAACAAAATTCAGATTATTTCTAATGTTCTTATTGATGTCACTAATAAGACTCAGCTTCAGTGAAAATTGACCCATTTTGATTATTCCAATTTAGTTGATAATAATTGCGATTGGAATTAAGATGATAATACGTGATATTTTTTGCGTGAAATCTTTTGAATCCTAAAATTGTAAGTAAAAGTATACTATTTGAAACTTAATATTTGTCTATCCTGTGTGTAGATCAAGGATATTACGGGGATGAGGACGCAATGCGGATGCAGATATGAATATTTTTAAGAGATATACATCACGTAGCTAAAATATGTGGAACTCTCTTAATAATTATGTCCTTAATTGAAGAAGTTAATCTGTGATTTTTTAAAATAATTACCAAATTACTATTACCAAAGAAAAACTAAATCCCGTATTACAGAACATAGCTCAATACTAAAGCATTACTTAAAACTAGATTCAAGCCAGTTGATTGGTTGAAACTATTTTTTTTATTTCATCAGTACTCAAGAATTACTTAAAAGTAGATCCAAGCCAGTTGATTTCTTGAAACTATTTTTTTTTTATTTGATTAATACTCAAGCATTACTTAAAATTAGATTCAAACCAGTTGATTGGTTGAAACTATTTTTAAGTAACGCTTGAGTCTTGGTAGACGTTCTATCATACGAGACTGAGTCCTTTATTAGCTAGATGATTAAGTTATTTGAGTGTGACAGTTTGTTTTTAAGAAATATCTAAGTACCTACTTAGCTTCACAGTTACGTTATCGCCTCACGCTAATAATTTAAGATTGTCATTTACTTTGAATCCTTTGTTTAATAAATAAATATTATATAATATACTTAATAAATATTTTGATTACTTAAATGTTTTTTTTATTGTTAAATACCCAAAAATGAAAGATTTTAGATCATTGTCTGCAACACGGCGTCATTATTATACAAGCTAAAGTCATTCTCAGTGCGTGGTGTCATTAGTATCAACGTGAATAATTAGAAATTTACAAATATTACGAAGAATAATGAAAATTAATACGTGCCTTTCATAAAATAATCTTTTAGAGTATGCTTACATTGCATTTAGCTTGATAAAAATAGCTTACATAAAGGTTCTAAAAAATATATGAAAACTTAACAAAAATAATTTATTTCGAAGAACAACCCGGTCGACGGTGGAGCATGCACACCTAAATAATGCCTATTCACTCTCGCCTTGAAAATGTCCAAGTTGTAACGTTCAGGATACAAGTCTGCAGGCAGGTAATTCCACTCCGTAGCCGTTCGCCGTATAAATGTGGAAGCGTAACGCTTCGTGAGAATCTTTGGAACATCCACAACATAGGGGTGGTACCAAGCCTACGTCTGGTCCCCCGATGATGAAAAGGGGAAGGCGGAATTAAATCGAGTAATTCCATCGCACGCTCTTCGTGATATATCCTGTAAAATACCCATAAGCAGCCAACTTTAAGGCGGTGTTCACGGCTCTGCAGCTTCGCCTTCACCAATTCTGAGTCACCTACAAGCCTCTTGGCAGGGTTGTTGATTGAATCCAAGGTGGCCAGTTGGTGTGTAGCAAAGCCATCCCAAAGGTGGCAGCAGCACTCCATGCACGTCCGGACTTATGCTTGGTACAGCTGGAGCAACTGTCCCGGTGTAAAGTAACGCCTCACCCTGGAAAGGATGCCAAGCTTCCTTGCTGCATTTTTGGCCATAGATTCAATGTATCTGCCGACGTTCAAATTGGACAACAGGTCCATTCCGAGTAGCTGGAGACAATCGGCTATCGGTATGAACACATCACGAAAAGTCGGAGTCAGCTCAGAGAGACTCCGTTTTGTGAAGAATAGATACGCCTGAATTTTGGTAGCGTTAAATTTGACAAGATTGGCATCGCCTCAATCGGAGACTGCCTTGAGTGTCAAATCCAAACTGCTAACCATACACTCCCGACAAGACTGGATTTCCTCTCCACTGACCCTTGCATTGGTGAAGTACCTATCTACAACTGTGCTGTCATCAGAATACGCAAAAGTACCTGGAATTAACATATCATTGCTATGCAGCAGAAAGAGAGTTGCAGAGAGTACGAAAACCTGAGGAACTCTCGGCATCTATCGCTATATGTTCGGAAGAGTAGCCTTCTAAGACTACTCGAATCGAACGTTCGCTCAAGAAATCCGAGACCCAATTACAAAGGTCAGCGGAGAGCGCATAAGAAGGAAGCTTACTTAAAAGGCTTGCGTGCCAGACCCTGTCAAAGGCTTTATTAGAAATGTCTAAAGACTCTGCAAGTGCTTCGCCTCGCTTTTCTATAGCCTCGCTCCATATGTGACAGGCATACACAAGAAGATCCCCAGTAGATCGCCCTCGTCGGAATCCTACTGGCGATCACTGAGGAGTTCGTTGTCTTCAAGGTACGACAAGAGACGGTTGTTGTGCACACGTTCCATAGTCTTGCAAAGTATGGAAGTGCCTGAGATAGGTCTCAGTTCTAGGTCTAGGTCTAGTTGACAGGGTCAGCTCTGCTTCCTTTTTTTGGCATAGGTTGCACATTTGCAAGCTTCCACGGCCTGTGAACTACACCAGTCTCAAGTGAAAGGCGGTATAGGCGTGTGAGAATAGGAGACCACTCAGGCGCACAGTTCCGTAGAACTATTGCTGGAATTTCATCTGACCCGCTAGCTTTATTCATGTCTAGATTCCGCAGAGTTCTAAGTACCTCTTTTTAGCGTATGCGAACTGGCACCATAGTGCAGCCAGTATGAGGTAAGGTAGGGTTTCTTCAAATTAGACGCTCGAGAAAGCCATCGTGTCACAATTGCACCGTTTTGACGCGTCTCGCGTGCCTCTGAAGCCCGACAAAATTTTTAGTGACGTGAAATCTTTCAACTCAGTTGCGCTATGGATACCGACAAAAAACCATTACTTTTATTTATTTTGTTGTAACGGAAGAAGAAATTAAAAACAATATGAATATACAAGGTCCTACCTTATACTTTATACCTTGAGCCGCGACTGCGCTTTTAAAAAATGTATGAAAATTTGATATTTGTTGCATTACCATTGCAACGCTAGAAGCGTGTAATTTGATCGCGCCTAATGTAGTGCGTGTATGAAAAACGAAAACAAAATTCGTGTAACTGTACTCACGGCAACAGCTGTATGCGGATGTCCATCTTCAACTGTCGCGCCTTAATCGCCTTGTAGACGGGCAGCACCACTTGTCCAGGGATCGTGGGGTCCGTCTGCGTCTCGTTGTGTTTGCCTCGCCCGCTATTCACTTGAAATGTCAGATATACTTTCCTGTGCAGAAAGCAAACAAATAATTAACGCTACACGTGAGTGCCATGGACACACACATAAACAACCATAAATTACACCCAAACTCACGAGAGAAATAAATAATAGGCCGTACACACATTTCGAACCCAGGCAGTGGCAGTCCAGCATGGTAACCGTTCGGCCACAGAGGCAGTTTGGCACTAATACGTTTGTTTTTAAAAAATGCATATTTGTCATCAGTACTAATGCCTGGTATTTTGTTACATGTGAGTAAAGCGGTATAGTAGGGGGCGGATTTCAAAATATTTAAAATTATAATACATACCTATTAAAGAACTTAGTAGCTTTTCGTAGGCAGAATAACAATTTCGAGCTAATAGCAGTCAGTTTAGTAGCAGTAGAAGCTCCTTGTGAGAGAGTTCGTCCAGGGAAGTACTGCCACCTTACCAATTTTTGCCGCAAACCAGTAACATGATTATTACTGCGTTTCGGTTTTGAAGAGTAAGGGGGGCTGGCGAAATTACAGGCACGTGAGATTTGTCAACTAATATCTCAGGGTGACGGGCACAGTGACAGCGCCCTTCAGATCTATGTCATTTAAAACTCTGAGTGGCCCTGCAATTGTTATGGACCGGCGTGTCGCTTAACCCCACGTAGACTTGTTCGTCCTGTTACTTGGTATAAAAAATGCTAACCTGCTGTTTTTATCGAAGGTAACGCGTGGTTCGTCGCCGATCTGTTGACGCACGGCGCGCTTAATAGACGCCGCGTAAATCTCGCCCGGTTGATTGTCCGGGAAGTTTTTCAGGTACACCTGCACAACACATAGCCTTTAAGATTAACTACTATCCAGTTAGTAACTAGAGTTACCATGTCAAGAAAGTAATGGTATTGAAATAATATGACAGATGACTTGATGACTTGAAGCAGATGACAATTGTACACAACATTGAAATGAAACAGATTTAGTTAAATATTCTATTTAAAAATGAAAATGCACGTTTATAAAATTAAAAAAGTTTGAGCAAATTAAAAATCTACAAAAAAATAAGCAAAAAGAAAGCACCTAGTTTTCATTTTATTTAATTTCATTTCACGTTATTGCTTATCAGCATTCCTGTACGACACGTTTATAAAGGAGCTGTCTACGCTGCTAATTCTTTCAATAGTCGATAGAGATGTTGGTGTTGAATATTACTTGAAGAGTTTGGTGACGGATATGCGATGGAACTGCACTATTCAATTCCGCTTTTACTTTTCCATCATCGGGAAACTAGACGTAAGCTGGGGTTCCCCCCATGGTGTGGATATTTCAAAGATTCGAACGAAGCGTTACGCTTCCACATTTATGGCAAGAGGAATAGGTATTATTTAGGTGTGCATGCTCATCGTCGACCTCATCATCACTTTACATCAGGTTTTTTTTAACGTACTCACTCATAGCCCCGGACTAGGGAAAGCCTGTATCGCGGGTGCCACGGGTACACACACAGACAACCACAAATTACACCCAAACTTACGAGAGAACTAAATGTAGGCCATACAAATATTTATCCCGGTCCGACCACGGATGCAGTTTAGTTAGGTGAGATAGAGGTCAAATGCGCACTTAGTCCATAAAAAAAAATGGATTTCTAAAGAGGAAGACGACATGTTTAAAATAAAGTAAATGTACCGTGTTTCTCGGGTCATGTCCGCCAAGTATGCGCACTGCATCGCGCTCGCGTGATTCGTCCTGCGACACCTGCACGAAGTACTGAGGGTACACCGCGCCCGCCATTATTATCTAAAACAAAAATAGCGATGATAAATATGATCACAAATATCACTTAACAGTTCCCTTTAAATCTTCGAGCAACGATTCACTTTTGGTTCTAGCCCGGGCCCGTACTAATTAAGGCAATATGGCCTGCAAGCAATAATTTTAACATTCTATGTACTTCTTTTGATCTGAATCTTTTCAATACGAGTGTGATTTCGGCGAGGAGAGCACAGATTTCTTTGACTGATAGTCAGGCTTGTAACTGCGGTTATATTTTTATATAACTAGCAGGAATTATACGTTTGGTACTTTGCTAAAAATTAAGTCGTCGAGTATATCGATTCCTGACAACTTATCAGGCAAATGGGCCTTGTATGACTTTTAAATATTAACTCTCGTTTGTGCTATAATCACAAATTAGAAAACTAAAATAGTACAGCGCCAACAACTGACCTGGATGTACGTCTTCGTATATTCCAAAAATATTCTGTATTTATTGCGATAAAGATAATATCTCTAACAATAGGGGCTGTTCCATTCGGTGTTGAGGGAAAAACAGCAAAACATCTAATTACAAAACAAAGGGAATCACATTTTATCGGTAATTAAATATGTAATTTTGCAATTTTCGTCCATTATAGCAAAGCTCAAGTTAAACTGGTCGATTTGAAGTTAATTGCCGACACTCGTCAATTGACGACACCCGTGAATTGTTTCGAATTCACAGTAACAGTAATGATTTGGCAGAACCATTGTCAAACAAATTAAATGACATTTCGTCTCTATTTCTGGTTATATAGTCGATTAGTTAAGTAGTGACTTGTCAGTGGCAAGCCATTTTTGAATAGTATACAACTATTTTGCAATTTTTTGGTATTCTGATCTTGAATGGCGAGTCGAAGGCATATCGAATCACCAAAGGTGTAGTCTACTAAGATTATATATATTTTATTTAAAGACTAAATTGGTTATTAAACGAGATAAAATTAGGATGTATTATTTAATATATTTCAGTTGAACAATTCGCCAAAAACAATATTATATCACAAATATTATAATTACCAAAATTGACATTTGTATTCCGCTGAAGAAAACTATACAATTTATAAACAACAATTCATGAATAAATGAGAATATTTTCAATTTGAAGTCATTTCTATTTGATCTAATTGAATTAAGCAATAAATTCCCTAATGACTTTAATATTAAAACTAAAATTGTCGAATGTACTAAATGATGTCATAATTTACTTAAATCGGAGAGGACAAAATATTTTGAAAAATTTATTGCAAATTAAATAGTAATAACAATATTAAAACAATGTGGCGAATAGTAGCCATGGAGGCTGGCAAAATAAAAAGGACAAAGTTAGTAGAATACGTAGACGTCATGAAACGGTAACGACTTCAACTCGAAAAAAGAATTGATTAATACTCTAAACAGCCAGTTCGTAACGGCGGCAACACAGTATTGAAAGCTCAGCAGACACTAGACACTTAGCTAACCAGTCAATTTGGTTACTTTATTTTACACCACGACGTACTTCGCGTCGTATAATTATGATAAAAGTTGTCAATAAGCGTACGAGAGACATCTACGGCGTACCCGTTGAATTGCTACGTTCAATCGCGATGACGATGGCATTACCACTGACAACTTTGTTCAATAACTGTATTAAAGAAGGTATCTACCCTTAATACTTCCCAAAGGTCAAAGTCTGTCCCCTTTACAAAGGTAAAGGTAAAAAAGCTGACCCCAGTTCCAACAGATCAATTTCAATAATACCCGGTGTGGAAAAGGTATTTGAAAATGGGCTCACCGCAAGGCTTCCTAAGAAAACTGGTAGTATTTCAGATCGGCAGCATGCCTATAGTAGTGAGCATTCTACAACACTCCTCACTCGTAAAATTATTCAGGCCTTTCTCGACGCGCGCGAATCTCGGCAGGAGGTCGCAGTTATCTTCTGCGACCTTTCAAAGGCCTTCGACGTCGCTGACCACTCTGTACTATCGATGAAATTCCAGCACTATGGCATCAACAGACGTGTGTCAAGTGTGTTACTGGAGTTCATGAGTGACAGAGTACAGTATGTAGTAAGTGAGGGGGGCAAGGTAAGGTCCGACGGGCTCCGTGCCGCAATAGGTGTCCCGCAAGGATCTTCGTTGTCAAACCTTGCTTTCTCTATCCTCCTAAATGATCTGCTTCATGCCATAGAGCAGGCAGAAATATATATGTATGCAGATGATGTAGCAGAAGTTATTACTGGACCGACTCTTGACGCGTTAGAACGGCTGCTCAACTCTGTTGCATATGACCTGGCTGGCTGGTTTCGGAGCAACGGATTGATACTAAATCTTACAAAGACGCAATTCATAAGTTTCGACCTTTCTTGGTTCCCGCCGACCACTTATACTCAGCGTAGACGGTGTGCGTATAGAGCAAGTGTAGGTGGTATCCTCTCTTGGTCTCCAAGTAGATCAAGCATTGACCTGGGAGCAACAAATTGACCATCTTTGTGGAAAACTGGCGAAAGCATGCTTTGCTCTAAGTCGTCTCTCTCCGACACTTACAAAAGCCGCGTTCGTGCATGCTATTCTGCCTCTGTACAATAGGTACTAGAATGTGGCATATAATTTTGGGGAAATGCGGCGGATTGGGATCGTGTTTTCCGGCTGCAGAGACGTTCAGTACGGGCCGTGGCGCGTATTTCTAATGAAGTGCTCACGGTCGTACCATAGTACGATAATACATACGACATAGTATAATATAGTAGTCCTTAGGATACTGACGCTTCCCTGTCTGCTGATACTCCAAATAGCCATGTATGCACGTAATCACTTGTATCAATTCGCACAGAGATCTTCGCCGGCTGGAGAAGGCGACGCGGACCATTCATGCAATGAGCTATCACGTATACAACCACCTCCCTGACAATGTCACCAGCGCTCCGGGCACGTTTTCCTTTCGCTTTAGGCTAAAGATGTAGCTAATCCAGCGCTCTTTTTTTAATATATCGGATTTTTTAATTTTAGATAATGTTATTTTATTGCGTGTAAGGTTAGTATTTTTTTTTTAATATCAGTTTATAATGCAACTCAATACATTTGTTTAGTTAACATTCTCATATTGACATGTAATGGAAATTATGAATAAATGATTATGATTATAGACTATGCATTAGTAATTTTCATGATAGTTTTAGTAAGGCAATATCAATCCTTAGTGATTGAATGAATGTCAAGACTCAACTGGCATTGCAACTATATTTTAGCAAAATAAGAAATAGTATCATAATTGCAACAAAATCTCAGTGGAGTCTCGATGGAAATACAATGCCCAGCGGTTTCAAGAAAATTAGCAGATTTGGGGTCCTGTAAAAAGCCTGACACATTGGTTTGCCTTTGAGATTTAGATCCGAAAAAATTGTAGAATACATAGACTATATTTTTTATAGTCTAACTGCAACATGTGATGCGTATTGCTTGGTTAATAGTTAAGTTACGTTTCATTTTAAATTGTATGATTTTGTCACTTATATTCTGGAGACCGAACAAAACATGTCTCTTTAAACCAATGTATTTATTATATTTTATCACCTACGTCCATTCTAATAATACGAGATGACGTCTCTGTCAGGATCACACGTTGCAGTTAGACTATAAATATAGTCTTTCTATACTACAAAATAGTTTCATTTCCAATGTGTAACAATGGCGAAAACCAAACAAAATATGGGACCGCCAAAAACGACACATGTCAAGTTTTTAGCAGCAGTAGAGCTTCTTGTGCGTTTGGCCAGGGATGTAATGCCACCTTACCTATTTCTGCCGCTTAGCAGTGATGCAAGATTACTGCGTTCAGGTTTTGTAGGGTAAGGGTGCTGGTGTAATTGCAGGCACATGGGATTTGTCAACTTATGTCTCAGGGTGACGAGCGCAGTGGCAGTGCTTCTCAGATCTTTGCGATTAAAAGCTCTGAGTGGCTTTGCAATTGCTATGAACAGGCGGGTAGCTTTACCACCATGCGCACGACTTGTTGAGCCCGTCACTTAATATCATAAAAAAAGCATCTCTCTTTAGCATTCGCTGACCTGGCATGTACGCACTAACACATGATTAGTAATAAAATAACATGATTTACCTTGAGTACGAGCGCCAATTCATTTTTATCCCATGGCGACCCCTCCTTACTGATGTCAATACCCTCGCGACTGAGGCGAAGTTTAAGCTCTCGCACCAAGTCATCGAGCTCTTTTAGCGACCGGATTTGGACGTAAAACCGCCGCGCCCACTGCACTTCGTTGCCGTGCTGTTGGCGGAAGTATTGCTGCTGCCGCAAATGGGTCCACACCTTTAAAGAGAAAAAAAAATTGTTACAAGAAACAATAACCGTTAGACGAATGTAAAACGTAATTGACAAGAAGTCTACAGTAATTAAAAGAGTAACTGTAAGTAAAATATGCCAGTTTTATTTAACCCACTTGGAAAGGTTACAACAACGAACAGAAATAAAAAACTATCATGTTGTGGACACATCACTTATAAACGTGAAACGCCTTTGTAGCGAATGCTTGGAGAGTTTCTAGTTGTTTTTATTTTTTTGCCTTTTCAAATGACAAACCATACAATTAAAGATAAGTTTCGGAAAAGTTTATAGGAAGGAATTGGTTATTACGCTTTGCATTAGGGACACCTAGAAATGCCCTGCAATGCATTACAAGCAATGCAACACAAACTTTGTCCTCTAAGACTACATTACTTTAAACAGAAAAATAAAGCACTGGATGAGTAAGTCACGGGTTCGATTCCCGGTGGTACCTTTTTGCAAATGAACTTGTTGGTTCTGGTCTGGGTGTTTTGGGTGTGTCCGGGAGTAAATTCTATTGCTTTTTTTTGGGACCTCGGTCCCAAACCCATTATGTGTAAGTGAGAAATAAATTCTTCTTTTATTGTACTGCTCATTCCTCGTTAGCAATCGAACACCATTTTTGAAGTCCGCGATACAAACTTTGTAGACGTTGAGGAAGGCAATGCAATCGCTAGTAGAGCCGTCGGCCCAGGTCAGCTTGGAGTTGTAAGCGTTGAGACGCTCGCGGAACGGGTTGCTGAACAAATTCTTCACGGATATTGACGCCGCTGCAACAATAACCATTTAAAGCTGATGCGGTTTGCAGAATTAAATAATCTGTTTCTAGGTATTGAAACCATTTTTCCGGACCTAAATCGCGTATATTTGTTTTTTCAAACAAACCGATGTTTCGGGCCCTTTACAGGTCCCATGGTCACGGTTGACTGAAGTGGTACAGTCATCAAGTGTTAAGTCTAATATTAATGCAAACCACCCTACTTTTTCACAATAGTTACAAAAGTTATTAATTAACCTTCCAGTGGTCGTACCCTTGCGCCGAACATAAGCAGTCGCGTGCGGTCTGTGAGACCGCAACTTTACGCGTTCAGTTTGAGAAGACAATTGAATATTTTCATGACATTGTGTAGCACATGATAAAAAAAAGTCTCTCATCTATTTAAATGAAAATAAGAAAACATTATTTACTTATTATTTTTTTATTTGTACTTATTAGTTGAACAGTTTATAAAAAATTCAAAATTTTAGTCATATGACACAAACAACGTTAAAAATCAACAAAATAACAAAAAAAGATGAAATTTTGTATCTTAATCGTTCATAAGTATAACACAATAATATTTAATAATACTTGATTATTATCGAGATCAATCAATATTGTCATCAATTGCACAATATTGTAGGAACTGTAAAATCACATTAATTTATTAATGTTTTTTCATGATGTTCTATGTAATATCTCAATTGTTATAAAATAAAAAAGTAAACCAAAATGAAAACCTTCTAAGTTTTTTTAGGAGCAGGTAGTACGATAACCTACTTTTATCAGCAGCAATGGTTTTACATCATCAAAATCTTCATCTTCTGTCCGCTTCCTCTGCAAGCCATTCTGATTTTTTGTAACTCATGTTGTGTCTACAACAAGTACTGAAATAACGAATAATTTAATACATAAAATAATGTAGTTTAGTAAGTAATATAATACAAATAACATGAAATACTCACCCAGGTTTCAGTTTCATTCCATTAATTTTTCTGGCACACGACCGGTCGCGGAATCTGAGACCGCAAACACAAATAAACAAAGCGCACATGTGCTTGCGGTGAAAAATCACAGGGCTACTAAGGGGAAGTACCTCACCCCCTCGAGGATATCACGGTCGCGCAACCGTTTATTGTTTATAGTTTTTGTAAAATGACTAAAATAAGGTCGCTGCGGTCTCTGTGACCGCGCGCGACAGCTGGTAGGTTAGATACCTTATTTTTAATATATAATGATAGTAATTTAGGTTTAAGACACATCCACCGTTTTTTTTCCGTGAAATTTACCTATGTAAATTTTATGCTATTTCAATTGTAATTAATAATGAGGTATAAATTTCAATGCATAATGCCCTGGGACCGACCACGGAGTACCGCAGCGCATCTGTCTGCGTCTCAGAGCATTGAAGTTCATACTTTATTACAAGTGTAATAGTATAAAATATACATTGATAAATTTAATAGTATAAAATATACATTGATAAATTTAATGTCCACCGCTTTGCCGTCCTCCAGATAGCGCTGGCTTTAAGCGTTCCTAAGGTTCTTAAGGTTAGGTTAGATACCAAGCAAGCAAGATAGGAAGCATTTTCAAAACACGAGACTTGATTCCCAACGCCATCGCTATCGCACATGTTCGTCTTACCCATAACAAGAGCCTCGTCAAGGCAGCCGAAGATGTACCCAAGTACGATAAGCTTCGAGGCGCGCACATCTAGAGGCAGCTTGGCCATAATGCGCCCGAGATATGTTATGTCACCGTCCGACTGACTCCATTCACCAGCCAACGTCTTTCTTAAAGCTCCAATCTTAAAGATACATTAAAAGTTTTGTGGTTATAAATGACATCTATATCATCAAAACATCCTAGCAAAACGCAAAACAATTGCAAGCGTCGAAGTAACTTTTGTACCTAATTCCATCCTTACAAAAGTGTTAAGCTTGCGCCCTTTAAGAGTCACACATTTGTCGACGCGAAATCGGCTTGAGGGGATCATGTTTTACCGTTGTCGTGTTAAGCCGATTCACCGTGAACGCAACCGTTCGAGCATCTCGACCAAGGCGTTCGTGCGTCAACGCGGATGTTCAGGCGTCGACACGGACGGTCGGGCAACGACGCGGCCGTTAGGGCGTCGACGCGGACGTTCCGGCGTCGACGGGGATGTTCGGGCGTCGACGGGAACGTTCGGACTTCAAGGCAGCCGTTCGGGCGTCAAGATTGCTGCGGATCATCGGATCGACGGGACGGGAGGACGGGATTAAAGCGACTCCGTGTCGATAAGTATGGTGACTCCTTTATGCGCCAAATGTTCAGTAAGAAGACTTCTTACAATGTAAATTCAAAACGCAGAATTTAGTTCTATTACATGGTCTTAATACATTATTCCACGTAATAGGTTAAAATTGCACCGGAAAGATAATGTTTAACCAGTACCGATTTGTAGCACAAGTGTCCTAATTTGAGAATCAGGTGACTCTCAGTTTTAACTATTTCCAATTTGACTTTGTTATTTATCGAACAATGAAGCTTAGTTTCATGTTTACCTCTTTGAGGACGAGTATGGTGCGATGTATGTTGGACATGTCGGGCGGGTCCATGGCAAGCGCCAGTACGTCACTAGGCTGTCCCATATCCAGCATCTTTGCCAGCAGCACCAGCCGCTCTAGCGGGCATCGTAGAATCTCTGGACGACCCTCTTGAGAAAGACCCTCCTACAAATTACATTGTTATACTCCCTAAAATTTAGCATAATATAATTAGAATGACACGTGTCAATCTTCTTAAACCAATGACGAGACACGATCAGGGAAATTGAGGATCGATGTTAGAATACAGTGTTTTTTTTTTAAACTGGGATAGTATGGGGAAATCCGAAACCAAAGGAGATAGTTATCTCGGCAGGAACCACCACGTCTTTTTTTGAGAAAACAATTTTGGCATAGTAAATTTTTTTGTCAAACATAAGTTGTCCATAAAAATTAATAAAATTGATTAATTTTTTTGAGGGCTGTTTGACTCAGTTTCATGTAAGAATCATTTCATTGTATTAGAAAAAAAAAATCGGAACAACAGAAGTTAGTCAAATTTAATAAATTGTTTTTTATGTTTGAATATATTCCATTTAAATTATCCCATCTTCAAAATTAATAAAATAAATAACACAAGCGCAACTACACCCACATATATCACCAACAAAAATATACCCGACACGTGTTTCGCTTCTACGACGCATTCTTAGGGGTTGTTGATAGATCAACGCTCCGATTAGGTAGCAAATTAATTTACTTCCATTTTTATAGCTAATATTTCCTTAGCATAGTCCAACTTATGACAGTCAAAATATACTTACGCAGGCGCAATGTAAAGTAAGCCATTTTTAATAAATAAGTTGACAATAAACATAAGTCCTCACATAAAACTTGTCAGTAACAAGCCTGTATACACGGCCATCTCTCACACGGCCGGCGCGACCGGCACGCTGCTCACAGTTCGTCTTCGAAGCCCAGCACATCTGCAGCGACGTAAAATTGGTGTGCTCATCTGCCACTAGGATTTTTATCAGGCAGAAGTCGATCACTGGATAGAAAGACGATGTTATATAGTGTATTATTGCAGAGCCCGGAAGTAAAGTTTTACCGGACGAGTAAGTTATAGGAGTTAGGCAATCCCCGTTCCCGCCGAAGTTTATACAGGATGGAACAAAACGACCGACAAAGCCGAAAATTGATAAAGAGTCTTAAATATGTAGTTAATTGTACTGAATATCTTTTTGCCCTAAGTGTAATAGTTTCCGAGTTATTCAATGATAAAGACTTGCTTGAAAAGTCCGTGTTGTCAACCCTACACACAGTTATTGGAGGCAACTACCAGGAGGTACTCAGAACAAAATCTTTGTAATTTAATAGGTCGTTGACCTTCGTCGTTGATCAGCACCCCATCAGTGGCTTTCTTTGATCAATCATCATGCGGATGATGATTAATTATGCGGGTATTTTATTATTTACATTCACCGAAAAAATGCACCTTTCATAGAATCTTCGGGAGACATGTGTAAATTAAGTAAACACGTTCTACAACATGCGTCAAGTACTCAAATTACAATAGTCTCGTAACCCTTAATGCGGCCTTAACGTAAAATAGTAAATAAAGGCAAGCAATCACGTCACTTATCACCGCTTAGAGATGCACACTTGATACCTGTTATCTGTTTTTGGTAGCATAATCGGGAGATCGTTTTTTTTTTGTACTATTTTATTTTATGTCTATTTTTCAATGCATTTGGAAATACTTTTAATTTACTCTATAAGAATTTATTAACTTTAATACGAAGAATTCATTTTAATGAGATCAACATTTAAAACAAAATATTTTGTTAACTTGAGCCGATTGAAATTTTAATAAATGTAATGTAAAAATAAATAAATCGGTTCTTGGAGGTCTGCACACCACTTCCACGGTTCGTTTTCTTGTTATTGAGTATCGATTGTCACATTGCTAAATTGTTTACTATTACAATTCATTAACCGACCTTCATTTAACTTACTTTTACTTTTGAATTGCTTATGGTACTTATACCAGACAAGACGATTATTGTCAAACCTATTTCTTTATCATAATTGTATTTATAAAATTAACATTTAGATATTTAATAATCAACGATATCCGACGCGTACGCCGCCGCCGCGCGCATCTATATGCAGTGCCAACTAAACGACTTTGTCCCTTTATGTGACATTTTGACATCAAAAGCGTCTTTATTTTTCTAGCGACAAAAAATCTGCTGTTTTTGGCGCGTATTTAATTAGGTTTAATCGTTTAAAATTTAATATTTTTTTGTCTTAGTATTCAAGAGTCTATTGACTGTACTGTGACCATAAAGTTCTGACCAATTAAATGGACCTTCTGTTTAGTGATATTGGCTTTAGTCTAGTTGGCAACACTTTTTCATTCATAAATTAGTTCAAAATGTCTGGTTGTATGGTAACTCGTGGTCTCATGTTTTTCTCGTGTTTACAACACAAAACAACGTTTACTTATTAATTGTTGGGTTGTGACATCAACTGAAATAGTGCCGTTATTAAGTAGTGTTTGTGTTAAGCAAGTAAAGTGTATTAGTGTGTTTGTGTGGAAAAACACATCGGCGTGTGATCAGCACAACTACAACAGCTGTGTGTAGGGTTGACAACACAGACTTTTCAAGCAAATCTTTATCATTGAATAACTCGGAAGCTATTACACTTAGAGCAAAAAGACTTTCAGTACAATTAAGTACATATTTAAGACTTCACAGTTTTCGGATTTGTCGGTTAAGGGTACTCTAAAACGAGCTATTTTTTAGGATGATAAACGAATCAATTATCTTTATTTTACTGTTGTTCCTGTTACACAATAAATAACTCACCGTATTTGATATCTGGCACGGTGATAGAGCTCTCGGCGATGTTGGTGGCGAGTATGATCTTGCGGTGGCCGGGCGGCGCTCGTTGGAACACGCGTACTTGTTCGTCGGCCGTGATCGTCGAGTGAAGTGGTAATACCCACCACTTGTATGTCGCGCACTCTGCGTCTGCTACTTTCTGCCTAAAACAAACAAATAAATTGTGATGGCACACCTCCAGCCGCACGACGCGCTAAGGCTCGAGCTATAAAAGCATTAAACGTTCGGTACTGGCACCAACCACTTTCATTTAGTTGATTAGGGCACTCCCAAGAAAATAATAGTTGTTTGTGTCAAATTTTATTTATTTACTGCCTAATGGTGTATTTTCACCGGCGAGGCGAGACAATTTTTAAAACTTGTGTGGCAAAACATCAATTTTCTCCTAGCGCATCTTAGGTGGAAATGGTCGGGATTGACGAGGATGGACGAGACGATTTGAAATACTTGTTGTAACATTGAACCGTATTGCTGCCTACATATACTCTTTATAAACTCAGCAACGACAACACGACACACGATGTCTCGTACGATATCGCGCGTGCTCGCGATGGCCAATAATGTAAATCGCGAGATTGTGGGATACAGTCGCGTGCATTTAAATGTAAACGTTCACACATTTTCAAAATTATGTAAATTAGAATTAGATTAGATAAATAAAAAAAAAACCTTGTGCTGTTTTCAAAATTATGTAATCACGACACCATTTTAAAAAAGTTATACTTTTATTCCAAAGAAAAATAAATACAGTCAATAAAAAATATATAGTCCTGGTGTCATAAATGTATCCATATCATTTTCGTAAATATTTATACAATGCATATTATTTATTTATAATTGCATTAAGATGTACACGATTAGGATTGTGATTTTATCATAATTATGTAACCACTTTTAAAACATTGCATCGTTTTCAAAAATATATATAGTTGCAATATAACGTAAACATACTAGCGCCAGCTGTAAACTTTTTTATATGTTTTTTGCTGGTTCGTAATATTTGCCCTGGGATAAAAGATTATATAAAAAAAAGTTATTAGAGGGTACAAACAGCTTATTTCTTCAACATGATTATTTCTTCTTACAGTATCTTCATCTGATACATACATAGTACTTTAGCCGCGTGTTTATGGCTTGACGAATTAAACAGCGCTGTGTCTTCACTATCCATAACCTTAGCGCGAGATCGCGAGTGCTCGTGAGTAGTGATTTTTGTACCTAAATATGTATTTGACAGGCCATGGCAGAATAATAGTGAGGGCTATGTAATTAGCATAGTCACATGCTGAGATATGGACATTTCGACATGCGTTTTTTTTTTATTTTAACTTGAATTTATTTTTATTTCTTTTTTATTTCTTTGTTTAATGATTGAAATTTATGTATTTTACAAGTCAAATAAAGCCGATTTTTTAAACCACGTAACATAGATCTGCAACAAACGTAGAAAAACTGATAAGGTCGTTCGTTCCGTAGCTCTGTAGGGAGAGCGTCAGACACGGTATGCTAAAGGAGCTGGTTCGAACCCAGCCGGTTCGAAGGAATATTTATTAGTGTTCGATCTTTGTATTAATAATTATAACAAACTAGTGGAGTAATTTCACAAAAAGTAATTGAATAGCATGGTAGTCAAACATCGTGATGTTCAATAAACTTAATACGAATAAAACAAATAAATAATGTAATGACATAATTAATAACGTTATCTCAAACTAGGGAACATACCATTCATTAGAGTAAAGAAATTAAATCCGGAGTACTAACCAGAACACACAGAACAGAACCAATTAAAAGATTCGCTTCTCAAACTGGTTGTACCAGGAATCCATTTCGGGACGCCTTCGTCAAGCCCCTACAATGTCCATTAGTCAAGACAATTACTATTTTTTTGTGGCAGTAGAGCTCCTTGTGAAAGAGTTCGTCCAGGGAAGTACTGCCACCTTACATATTTGTGCCGCCAAGCGGTAATGTTAGCATTACCGCGTTCCGATTATGAAGGGGTAAGGGTGCTGGTGAAATTACAGGCAAATGAGACTTGTCAACTTATGACTCAAAGTGACGAGCGCAGTGGCAGTGCCCCTAGATCTTTGCGATTTAAAACTCTGAGTGGCACTGCAACTATTATGGACAGGCGTGTAGTTTACCATCAGGCGCACGATTTGTTCGTCCCGTCACTTGATATTATAAAAAAAGAAATTTATTAACCTCTTTTCTAAATTTATTGACTTAAAGCAGTCTCCGATTGGGGCGATGCCAATCTTGTCAAATTTAATGCTACCAAAACGCAGGCGTGTCTTTTCTCCATTAAATGGAGTCCCTTTCACCTGATATATCCAAACATAGCCGACCGTCTTCACCTACTTAGAATGGACCTGTCGTCCAATTTGAACTTCGGCAGATAAATCGAATCCATGGCCAAAAATGCAGCCAGGAAGCTTGGCATCCTTTCCAAGGTGAGGCGTTAGTTCACACCGGTACAGTTGCTTCAGCTGTACAAAGCACAAGTCTGGTCGTGTGTGGTGTACTGCTGCCACTTATGGGATGGCTCTTTTAAATACCAACTGGCCATCTTGGATTTGCAAAGACAAACGTGTTAAGAGGTTTATAGGTGATTTGGAATTAGTAGAAGCGAAGCTGCAGAGCCTTGAACACCACCATAGAGTTGCCAGCTTATCGGTATTTTGCAGGATATATCACGGAGAGTGTGCAATTGAATTGCATAATTTGATTCTTCCTTCCCCTTTTCATCATCGGAAGACAGGACGTGAGCTGGTGGTTCCACCCCTATGTTGTGGATATTCCCTGGATTCGCACGAAGCTTTTCGCTTCCACATTTGTATGGCGAGCGGCTAGGGAGTGTAATTCCCTGCCTGCAAACTTGTTCCCTGAACGCTATAACTTGGACCTTTTCCAGGCGAGAGTGCATAGGCATTATTTAGGTGTGCATGCTACATCCTCGACCTCATCGTCACTTTCCATCAGGTGAGATGGAGGTCAAATGTGCACTTATTTTTCTATTAAAAAAAAACGCTCTTGTCAACTGACAAGTTGAACATTATTATCAATCAGAATTGTACAAATTTATTTCGACAGTTTAACAAAGAACAATGGCAAAATCATAATGAAAAGAATTCGTTACTATCTTTAAATGTCTTAATTACAAGTTGAAAAATAAATTCATAAGGTTTTTCAAATTATTATAGCGGCCTATCTAAGTCTGCAAATAAAAATTCAAAAGAAACTCTAATGACTAATTATAATAATAATAATAATAATAATAACGCACACACTCAACATAGCCCCGCACTAGGGAAACCCTGTGTCGCGGGTGCCATGGACACATACATTGTACGGTGTTCCATACACTTATAACTGATAGTATTATAACTGTTAAGAATGTTTATTAGTTTTGATTTACAACTAATAATGATACATTTGATAGGTGTGAAATGAGTACACTGCGCGATGGCTGATTGTGAACTAAATATAAATTATAACTAAATGTCGCATGAATACGTAAAAAGCCGCATAAACACAATGTACGATATTGCACCGTACATACATAGACAAACACAAATTACACCCAAACTCACGAGAGAAATAAATGTAGCCCATACAAATATTTCTCCCGGCCCGGGAATCGAACCTAGGACCTCTGCGTGGCAGTCCGGCATGGTAACCGTTCGGCCACGGAGGCAGTTATCGGACTGATATCTACAACCTTTTTTTTTAATATATAATAGACACAAGCGTCGCCACAATCGCACCTGATATTAAGCGACGATGTGACAGACGATGGGACGCGTTTGCCTAAAAAATGCCTATTCACTCTAGTCTTGAATAGCCCCAAATTGTACTCTTCGGGAAATACAGATACCAGTAGAGCATTCCATTCCTTTGCCGTACGCATCAGAAGGGAGGAAGCGAAGCGCTTAATGCGAATAGGTGGAATATCAACGACATAAGAATGGAGTGCTCCGGACCTTCTAGTCGACCGAAGAAGGAACGGTGAAGGTGGAACTAAATTGAAAAGTTCCTGCGCACACTCCCCGAAATGTATCCGATAGAAAACCGACAAGCAGGCTACTTTTCTGCGATGGTCGAGATTTTGTAGCTTGGACTCCACAAGAGATTTATTGTTAATAAGTTTTTTTGCTTTTCGCTCCACAAAGTCCAAGGCAGCTAACTGGTAATGGGCAGAGCCGTCTCAAAGGTGGCAGCAGTACTCCATACACGATCGAAATGTGCTTTATACAGATTTAAAAGCTGTTCAGGTGTGAAGTACCGCCTGACCTTGTAAAATATGCCTAGTCTTCTGGCAGCTGTTTTTGCCAAGCACTCGATGTATCGCCCAAAGTTGAGGTTGGATGATAAGTCCAGACCAAGTAGCTCAAGATGGTCCCTTATCGGCACGGATACATCTCGGAAAGCCGGAGTTAGGTGTAGGGGACTCCGTTTTGATGTGCAAAAACACGTCTGTGTTTTAGCCGCATTAAACCTGACCCTGTTAGCATCTCCCCAGATGGCACGCTTCGCAAAAAAATAATTTGTGTCCGAGTACCAGTGCAATAGTCTGTGGTAAGCTATTAATTTACTCAGTTTTTTTGATATGGCTTAACTTCATGCCTTTTGATCATACCAGTATACAAAATAATTTCCTCTGAACTTTCGTCACGTCACAAACCCACGGCACCATTCAGCTTCTATTAACTCTGTTTAAGACTTCTGTAGTTTATTTTGATATAATAATACACTTCCATAACTTCAAGTTGAAATATCTTTAATTCCTAACTTCTTAGAATACGAAATCCAAAACAAAATTTGCTCTGTCTGTAATATTTTTACATATTTTTCATAAACAGACACATACAAATTATGTCAACAAAAATTTATACGGGAGTTTGCCATCGTCCTTTGAATATTTTCCACAATGCCACTTTTATTATAACTCGAATTGAATTGTCACATCGTCTCTTCTTGAGATAGCACAGAGCCCAGATTATTATGCTTTAGTTTGTTCTTTGACCATGATTTCTATTTTCACCTTAGGTATGTTCTCCACAATAGCAGGTCGTCGAAGAGGTTCGTCCAAAATTAAATACCTTACTGCTGCCTTAACGTTCGCTTTCTTGATCAATATTAACTGATTGCATTCATCGAAACTGACACTGGCCCAAGCCTAGTAACCTCCATTAAGGAAAGAATAATTGACAATAATAAGATATTTTGCTTCATGGAGATACCCAGATGAGCCAGTAGGGGATAGGTTTGTATTATATTCAACTTAAAGAGTTACTCTTTTGAATTACGAGCCAAAAATCTTTTATCTTCTTTCATATTCGTACTTACCTCAATTTAAGGTCGCTCAGACATAGAAACAAATCCTCAATCTCGTTAATGCCAGGCAAAAAGATGAGCACCGAAGGCAGGTCGGCCTGTGAGCGGTCCTCGTAGTGGTCCTCTTGTTTGTCAATGTGTTCGAAGGCGTTCAAGAGTTTAATCACGAGGTGGAACATTTCTGGTGCAATCGTTGGATCGCCTTTAGGGGTTGATTGTAAAAGGATCTGGAAAAAGAGAGCTTAGTAAAAGCTGTAACAGAGGCAAACCCTTCACATTCCCATGGCTTTATGAGCCATCTAATTTAGAGCTTTTTCCAAAATGCTCTTTCTTGATTCACTGCAATTTCTTAAATATGTCTCATGCCTAGAGAGGTCTTAGACTGACATTGCGCAGCTATTTATAATCTTTAGTGAGTCACTAGTGCACGTAATGGCATCCACAGGTCCACAATCGGCGACCGTGCGCCATCGAGGAGTAATTAATATTCTTTCTCAAAACGTGGTTTGTTAGGTAATCACTTTACACGTTTGATAATATGGATGTGTGAGGCTATTTTTATAACAAAATTATAATGTGTGTTGTATAATAATAGACTAATTTATTAGTATTAATTTAACTTGTTTTTAATTGACTGATTTATATGTTTTACTTGTTTGCGTTTGTTTAGCTTATTATTGTTATTATTTAATGAATTATATTTAAGATCATGCGTTAGCAATGAACTATGTACTATGACTATGATATGAGTCAAACGACTCTCGTTGCATCTGCTAGGCATCTTCAGCGAGGTAGACTAGGGCTTTTAATCTTGCTGCATTTCCGCATCCCAGGAAAAGAATATTGAGACTCGGTGCTCGGTAAAAACGAGACTTTCGAGACTGTTTTACAAGTAGGTTTCCATAATAATAGACTAAGCATTTAGGCATTTAAAACTAGATATATTAATTAAATTCTTTATTATCACAAATTATAAAATGGAAAATTATTAATAAATTTTTTTTATTTTTTCATTTTATAGTCGTAGGTACTTAATAAACAAAGGGCGTTTAGTAGTTTCAGACGTAAATGACCTGATTTGTTACTAACGTCCTTCAATCTCCACAAATTATACTTAGCTGCACTCTACAGTGTAGCCACGTACATGTACTTTTTGATTAATGACTAAAATTTAAAGCGTGAAACGCACAGAGAGTGGGTGCGAGTCGGGCGCGGGTCGGGTCGGGACCGCGGCAGGTTTAATTCCGCGCCCGCGCTCGGTGTGTTGTCGTCCATATAAATACACGGAATTAGACCCGCTGCGGTTGCGATCCTACGCGCGCCAGACCCGCACCTGCTCTCTACGCTTTTAAAATCTCGATATTCCCAACACTGAGAACGTCAGTACAGTCTCGAAAATGCCAAAAAATCGTCGAAACTCTCAGAACTTTCAAGACCGGGATTCCCGGGATGAAAGCATTAAGGTAGACATGGTACAACCATAGTATGACACAAACATAGCAGTTTGTATGGAATTACCATACTCGTCTTATTATAATATAATACTAAGGTACAACTTTGCAGCTTCCCACCCAAGTGCAACAGCCTCTGTGGCTGAACGGTTACCATGCTGGACTGCCATTCAGAGGTCCCGGATCGGGAGAAATATGTGTATCGCCTACATTTATTTCTCTCGTGTGTTTGGGTGTCATATGTTGTTGTCTATGTGTGTGACCGTGGCACCCGCGATACAGGGTTTCACTAGTGCGGGGCTATGAATGTGTGCGTTAAAAAAAGGTGTAGCAGCAGAGCTCCTTGTGAAAGAGTTCGTCCAAGGAAGTACTGCCGCCTTACCCGTTTCTACGTTCCGGTTTAGAAGGGTTAAGGGTGCTGGTGAAATTACAGACACATGGGACTTGTCAACTTATGTCACAGAATGACGGGTGCAGTGGCAGTGCCCATAAGATCTTTACGATTCAAATCTCTGAATGGCACTGCAACTGTCGGATAGGCATGTCGCTCTTACCACCAGGCGCACGGCTTGTACGTCCCTTTACTTAGTATTATAAAAAAATATACCCGCTGTCAACTATTTAAACGTATTTAAATGACGTAAATGTAGCCAAACAATAACACGTATACATAAAGACTTTAAGACTCGTGGTTATTCACTAAATTATATACTTACTGATCCGAACTTTGTTAAGTTATTCAAGTAGAACGTTTTCACAGTGAACGTTGGATCTTTCTTCACAATATTTATAGCCGAAGCCATCTGTCCGTCTATCGTTGGAATCAAGAAATAGTCAGCAAAAGTTCTCCATTTGAATGTCGCAGACATGAGAATTACTTTAACCTTTGGCGACACGGTGTATAGAAGCCTCTTTACAAGTAGAAGAAGGAAATCCATTTCCTGACCTCTTTCGTGTACCTCGTCAAGAATTACGTGGGTATATTCGTTCATGGTTTTTGCGGCCACTAAGAGAGATAAAAAGATATAGATTTGTATGCATATACAATAAATACAGGTTACATATTTAAGGTTACTCTATAACTGAGAGTTGCTCTAGTGTTGACCTACAAAGATTAATTATACCTTTCGTATTCATTCTTAATTTTATATAACTTTAATAATCTTGTTATATAATTAATTGATTTATATAATTAAAAATAATAATCTCAGTACAGAGTACTAGAAAAACCGACCTCAAAAATTCGTGGAATTATATCTATTTGCCAAGTTTTATTGAAATCGGTTACCGGAAAGTGCGCGAAACCGGATTCATCCATTAGTTTGCCGTCCTTAGAAGTGGAATATTTTCTTCAAATTTAAAATTAAAAAAATTACAGTCGAACTGAGAACCTCCCCTTTTTCTAATTCGGTTAAAATAAAAGTACAATATCATAATGAAAAGAGGGATGCATGTCAAAATAATTAAAAATAATCAGGCTTCAAAATTTAAATGACAATAACGTATGTACAGTGTAAAAAAACTAGTAACAAGCAATAATTTATTCTAAATATGTATACTTTTTCAATAAAATATTTAATTTTATGATTTGTGCGTGTTGAATCAAACTTAACCTCATTTATTTTAAATTTTTATTGAATTGATATACAATTATTTTTTTGTGACATTACTCCACTAGTTTGTTATAATTATTAATACAAAGATCGAACACTCAGAAATATCTACTATATAACATACAGGCTGTATATTTGAAAGTGGGACATACTTATAGAGTGCGTTATATTCCTGATTCTGAACCCAAAGAAATAATAAACTAATGAACTTTACAAAAAATATTTTTTAAATTTTTTTTAATCAACTACTACGACTACTTGATAGCAACATTAGTTCTCGAAATCTATGCACATCACTATTATTGCTCCGACGCAGCGGCGAAAAACAAAGCCCAGGTCGGGGGTGGGGACGCGGGCGCATACGCGAAATTGCTCAGTGCACGCGCGACCTTGATCTAACGAAGACACGTAAATTATTTGTACTTCCGCTCGCCCGATCGCCGCAGAATAGATATTTATTCTAACGTCGAATTGACTGAGATGGTGCGACTTTACGCAATAAGTGGTGATAGTGTGAGGCAAACTATTGAAATATTCCCAAATCGGAGTTTACGCGGAGGAGGTGAACAGTGTTGCGTGAGAGGATTATCTCAATATTATCATTATCGCGTTGTACAATTTAAAACAAAGTATACTATGCCGTGCTAGACTATGCATTGTGGACAACAGTGGACATTTTGAACACTTGCTCCGTAACACGTAAGTGTAAATAAACTGTAAATAACTAAAAAATCAATCATTGTAAATAATTTGATTTCACATTTTTAACTACGCCAAAAACCTCAATTTTTATTAAACGATAACTAGTTACTAAATCATAAACTTATCTTTTTTAGTACGTAAAACATTTCGATGATAGTTCAAGTAAAAAATAATTAACATAAGCTAAAACGTAAATGTGAAATCATTGTTATTGTTGCTATCTCACTCGGCACTCGCTTGGTAGCGTTCCCATTGCACAAATGAAATCAAGCGTAGAGGGACTCGGTTTATTCCTTGTACACTTCAAAACATTTGTTAATTTATTTTTTGTTCTATCCCATATCCTAATTTTATTTTAGTCTATGTTAAGTTGTAATATGATTTACTATGGCATGTATGATGTCTCACTTTCAAATATACAGCCTGTATAATATAAACTCAGAGTAATTTCACAAAAATAATTGAATATCAATTCAATAAAAATTTAAAATACAGTGAATAGCGCGTCTCTCGCCAGGGCATCTAACTGGTGCCGGGCGGCGTCGTGGTGAATGTTCACTGATCCCACGGCGCCGACTCAACCGGCGAGAGGGAAACCCGGGAGGGTTTTAGTGGGGTAGGCCTTCCAGTGTGGAGGAAGAGTCCCCACATAACCCCTGAGTCTCCCTGGGCTCAGGGGTATCCATAAAGATTTCCCCCCCGTCAAAAAAAAAAAAAAAAAGGCATCTAACTGGTAAAGGTATCTAACTGGGTGATAAAACTTTCATAGATTTCTCATAGATGGCGCTACGACTATAAAGTCGTTGAAAACCAAAATACAAAGACACGACAACAGAAAAATTCGTGAGGTCCGTTGGTTCGTTCCGTGGCTTAGTTGGTATAGCGTCTAACACGGTATGCTAGAAGACGTCGGTTCGAAGCCGGCCGGATCGAACGAATTTTTTCTGAGTATTCGATATTTGTATTAATAATTATAACAAACGCATTTTATTTTACTTAAATTCCATACAAATTGTACTATAAACTAAATTAAGTATTACATAAGTTGACATTTCACTCACCCAACTTTTGTAGCAGCAGTCCTGTCGTGACATAATGGATTCGCGTGTCTGTTGTGGTTCTGTTTTCCAGCCCAACCTGTACACAGATTCACAAGACATTACGTTTCTTTCGAATGTACGAAGATCTTCCCAGAATGGAAGGCACAGGCCACATTTTATGTGCCCGTAAAAATATACATAATTTCAATAAGAAAGAAGATATCCATTATATTAACCTTAGAGCTAAGTCCAAACTCATGGTACCACGATTTCGTTTAACCAAGGTAAACAACTTTTTTTTTGGGAACTGTATACATTTTTACAACAAGATTCCGGATCATATAAATATTAAGTTTATCATTTCCTAAGTTTAAAAACTACATTAAAAATATTTTGATCGAAAAATCATATTACAAAATTGAAGACTACGTGTTAGATAAAGATGTATGGAAAGGCGACATGGCTCCAGAATCCACACAAATTTGATTCAAAGTGTATTCCATAGCATTTATGTTTATTTGAAAAAAGCAACCACTAGAGTTTTTTGCTCGTTCTTCTCAGGGAGGTCAGCGTAGTGAACGAGCAGTACCTTAAATGTACGTCACATTTAAATTTAATTTCAAGTGTAAATTTATTTTACCTATGGAATAAATAATCTTTGACTTTGACTTTGACAACCAGAGGACACAAAAACTGTCGGAGCCAGGAAGGTCCTTCAGTTCTTTAATACTGTTAGTCTTGGCTCTGAAGTGTAATTAGTGGTGATACAGCCGGTCGCAGTGATACGGAACCGCATAGCCCTGAATGAATCCGCCCTAATAAAATACATTTCGTTTGTTTCGCTGCAATCCCTTTATACTATGCCTAAACAGGTGCTAAAAACTTGTGACTTGTAACTAAAACTAGATGCAACCTTGAACAGTTTGGAAAGGTCAAAATTACTCTAGAAAGATACCTAAATCAGAAGATTACAATCAGCTAAATAATGATGACTGAGGAAGAATACCATCAGTCTTACATTAAAAATACAGCACGGATCTGTTTATATTTATAGCTCGAGGACTGATCACAGATGGATACAAAATAATAAAATACACATATATTTATTAAATGTACCTGATATCCTACTAAACCTCCTACATCCCAACCCCGCTCCTGCGCTACTCGTTTAGCTATTGAAATAGCAGCAATTCTCCTAGGTTGTGTCACAATAATCTTGCATGGTTTCCGCTTCTGGTAGCTATCGTCCAGTATCCACTGCGGCACTTGGGTAGTCTTACCACAGCCAGTGGGACCTTCTATTATGACTACCGAGAATCCACCAATTCCATCTAGAATCTGTAAAAATGGTGTATATAAGCAAAGTATGCTATATATTTCAGTAAACAAGATAGACTTCTATATCCCTGTCCAATAAAATTTACTGAATCTACTTCATGGGTACTTTAAACATACAAAACTTTGAGGAGAATTATCGTGAAGACAATTCCTGATACAAGAGTATCAGGAAAAATATCAGTCGTGCCATACATTTTACGAAGTGTTAGTTTTCATCTTCATCAGTATGATGTTGACCACTGTTGGGCATATGCCATGCTCTGTATAAGTACATTCATCGTCTGTATGGTTTCTAAAACTGTGCTTATACCACATGAGTAAAGGAAAGGAACAGAGACAAAGCTTCATACGACAGGTACTACTACAAGCTTGAAGCGCGTGTGTAAGCAACCGGCGGCGGTTTTGTCGCGTACGGCGAGAAACCTGTTTAAACCGGCTCTGACGTTGCCACAGCTCAGGGCTGGCGTGTACGTGTGGCGCACTATAAGTTTCCTGAAATAATAATAAAAAATACTATAAATGGTCAGAAATGAATTTTTTGTTTCTCAAAATATTCTCCGTTAGCGTTAATGCACTTTTTCTTACGAATGAACCAATTTGGAAAACATTTATGCCACTCCTCCACGACTATCTCTGAAACATATTTTTCATGCTCTTCGACAGCCTCTTCATGTGATGAAAATCGTTGATCGTGTAACTGGTTCGTAATTTTTGGAAATAAATAAAAGTCACAAAGTACCAGGTCGGGACTGTACGCCGAATGGCTCATAAGTTCAACGTTGTTCACCTACAAAAATTTATTTGTCTGTCTGGCCGTGTGAGAACTGGCATTATCGTGATGCAAGATGATACGGTGTTTACGGTTATTTTTACGGAGTTTGTCAATTAACTTCCGGCAAACATGGCAAATAGTCGTATACCAATCACTATTCACGGTACGATTTTCCAAAGCAACGGTAGCCTCATGTTCAGTTTTATTTAAAATAGAAAAAAAGAAAAAGAAAGCGTGTCTTTTCACATCAAAACGGAGTCCCCTATACCTTACTCCGACTTTCCGAGATGTATCTGTGTCGATAAGGCAGGCAGACCTTGAGCTACTTGGTCTAACCTCAACTTTGGGCGATACATCGAGTGCTTGGCAAAAACAGCTGCCAGAAAACTAGGATATTTACAAGGTCAGGCGGTACTTCACACCTGAACAGCTTTTAAATCTGTATAAAGCACAAGTTCGATCGTATATGGAGTACTGCTGCCACCTTTGGGGCTGCTCTGCCCATTACCAGTTAGCTGCCTTGGACTCGGTGGAGTGAAAAGCAAAGAGACTTATTAACAACAATTCTCTTGTGGAGTCGAAGCTACAAAATCTCGACCATTGCAGAAAAGTAGCCTGCTTGTCGGTTTTCTATCGGATGCATTTCGGGGAGTGTGCGAAGGAACTTTTCAATTTAGTTCCACCTTCACCGTTCCTCCTTAGGTCGACTAGAAGGTCCGGAGCACTCCATTCTTATGTCGTTGATATTCCACCTATTCGCACTAAGCGCTTTGCTTCCTCCTTTCTATTGCGTACGCAAAGGAATGGAATGTTCTACCGCGTCCCATCGTCGGTCACAACGTCGTATAGCATCAGGTGAGATTGTGGCCAAGCGTGTGTCTATTATACAGGCTGTATATTTGAAAGTGAGGCATATTCATGCATGTCATAGTAAATCATGTTACAACTTAACAAAGACTAAAATAAAATTAGGATATGGGATAGAACACAAAATAAATTAACAAATTTGTTTTGGAGTGTACATAGGAATAAACCGATTCTCTTTACGCTTGATTTCGAGTGCATTAGGAATACTACCAAGCGAGCGCCGAGTGAGACAGCACCAATAACAATGATTTCACATCTCTCTCTCACCGACTCATTTATGTTATGATCAAAAAGTTGTTATCGAAATGATTACGTTGTAGCTTATGTTAATTATTTATTACTTATGAACTAACATAGAAATGTTTTACGTACTAAAAAAGATAATTAAGTTATCAGTTAATAAGAATTGAGGTTTTTGGCTAAGTTAAAAATGTGAAATTTATTTACAGTATATTTATACTTACGAGGTACAGAGCAAGTGTTCAAAATGTCCACCGTTTTTCACAATGCATAGTCTAGCACGTCGTAGTAAATTTTGTTTTAAATTGATCAACACAAACACATTTTGTCTCAACATAAAATGCTCAGATAATCCTCTTATGCAACAACTTCGACACCGTTCACCTCCTCCGAGTAAACTCCAATTTGGGAACATTTCAATAGCTCGCCTCATACTATCACCACTTATTGCGCAAAGTCGCACATCATTCAATTCGACATTAGAATATATATCCATTTTGCAGGCGCTAGGCGCGTTCGCCGCCGGCGCAGTGTTCGGGCGAGCGGAAGTACAAATAATTTACGTGTCTTCGCTAGGCCAAGATCGAGCGTGCTCTGTCTCTGCAAACAGTGCCGACCTGTGCTTTGTTCTCGCCGCTGCGTCTGTCGCAGCCAAAATAGTGATGTGCATAGATTTCGATAAGTAATGTTGTTCACAAGTAGTAGTCGATAAAAAAAAAAAAAAAAATTTTTTTTTTTTGTAAAGTTTAATTTTATTAAATTATATATTAATTGTTTGTTTGAAAAAACAAATATACGCAATTTAAATCCGGAAAAATAGTTTCATTTCCTATGTGTAACAATCGCGAAAACCTAAGAACTTGATATTTAATTTTATTAGTTTATTATTTTTTTAGGTTCAGAATCAAATATAACCCCCTCTATGGGTATGTCTCACTTTCAAATATACAGCCTGTATATGAAAAAAAAAAGCAACCATCCGCTTAGAGGCACTTTGCACGCGCGCCACTTTGGTTAGTTTCGGCTCATCTCGAAAGACCCATACGTTCGATTGCTGCTTTGTTTTGGGATCGTAACTATAAATCCATGTTTCGTCACCTGTTACTATGTCCCACACCAAATTTGATGCCCCTTCGTTGAATCTGGTAAGCATGGCATTGCACCAAGTGACGCGATTAGTTTTTGAGCTTCAGTCAAATTGTGTGGGATCCACCGAGAGCACAGCTTTTTCACACCCAAATATTTGTGTAGTATTGATTGTATTTGACTCATGCCTATGCCTAAAGATGCCCGAATCTCAGGGTATGTCACATGCCTGTCTGTTTTGATCATACGGCGCATAGCATCGATGTTTTTGTTATTCACAGCAGTAGACGGCGACCATCAGAAAATTCGTCACTGAGACTCACACGATCGCGTTTGAATTCTGCAAACCAGCTATAAATAGTCGTCTTGCATGATGCTTCATCGCTAAAAGCAGTTTTAAGCCGAGGGAAGCTCCGCTGAGCTGTTACATTACACTTTAAGTCGTAGAAAATTATACTACAAAAATTTTCACGAGTTAAATCCATGGTGATGTAGATAACCAATTTCTAAAATTACGCCAGAATGTAAAAACAAGTGAGTCAGATGAAACAAATATTATCCTACAGTCAAAGAGTTCCATTTTCAAATGTTGTAATTACTTTTTAAATATTGTTTATGTAAGTGGCCAGTTCCGGAAACTTACAATGCGCCCTATGTACACGTAGCGCGTCGTATTCGTTTTGGACTATATAAATTAATGTTTTTTGACATTATGTATACATTACCAAGTAACGATTTAAGTTATTCTATTATTTTACTGAGTAATACAAAATGTGCACATCAAAATTGATTTACTTATTTTACAAACATAATATTTGTAATAAGTGTTTACAAAAAAGTGCAAATATGGTTTCCAGTACTGTCTGTAAAAACAATAACAGAATGAAAAAAAAATATTCATATTTTAGATATCCTAAGGACTCAACTAGGTAAGCAGGAACTTCATTACAAATTTTTATTTCTAATGTGGTAAATACCTTAACATCGAAAGAAAAATCAACTCGGTTCAACACAACAACAAAAAACGTTTTATTATTGACCCTACATGGTAGATTGGATTTTTAACAAGCTGCTCAGAATAGGTACCTTCGTCACATAAACAATGTGTAAACAAGCAAAAATAACGACAATTTAAGAACTACTTTCTTTTGCAATTAAGTAATTTTCGATTTGAAATACGTAAGTACAGTCAACAGCTTGCCAAGCTATAAAGTTTTGTTCGACTATCGTCTCCAGAGCAACGGAACAAAATCCATCAATGTATTGCTTTGCTACCAGTTGTATGAATTGAAAAACCTGAACCTTCGTATTTAAATCAATAAACAAAATTATGAATAAGTAGGTTTATGTATATAATATACATAATTCAAAGTTTATTAATTAAAATAAGATATTTCATGTTATTTTAAATGTTTCAGACTAAAGGAGTGGCTAAAAGCAGTAGGGCGAGAAGATCTCCCTTTAAAACTTGTTGATGATAAAACGAGGTCAATTTACAGAATTAAACACTATCAGTATTGGTAGTGACATACTAAAATGTATTCAAAATGAGTGATTTCCATTGTATTATTTAAAAAGACTGTTAGATTAAGAATATACCATTCAATTAAGGCACAACAAATTATTGAAAAACGAAAATTATAAAAAAATATTTAGAATAAATCATTTGTAATAAAGTATGCTATAACAGCAAACGTTGCACGCTCTTTAGAAGTTAGCATAAAATATGTCTTCCATTTTGCACATTACCATAACCTGCCATTACCTCCTGTTTATATTCTTCAATAGCCAGCTTAATAGTGTCCTCTCGTTTTTTAAAGGTATACTTATTATAAACAGTCGTCATGGCCTCTTCAGTTAGTTCACCAATGTTGGGCATCGACATGCCCCATAAAGATAGCTGTTCCATTGACTCCAAACCTCCAGATATACTCTCCCATTTGTCTTTTTCTGCTTCATTCTGTAAAAAACAATTTTGTTATATACAACTTTGTTCTCTAGATAAAAACCCATTGAAACAAAATGTATGAATAAACTTTGGTTACTTTCGTAAATATGAAAGTAAAACCTTTGTGGTGGTAAGCTTACCTGAACACCTGGTACACGGTTATCGTGGAACATGTTCCATGACATGACTTTTCAGTTAGGCACGATCTACCTCCGATTCAGGTCAAAGAGAGGATTGTACAAGGATGTGCCGCCTGAGAAGGCGAGCACATCGACTAATAAAACGGATGCCTCCCCGGTACCCTCTACCTCCACTGGCTTCAGCAGGGAAGGAAAAGGGCCCTCCCTGATCCCCGTCCCGACGTCGCCAGCCATACGGTGGCGTCCAATAATGAAGACGAGTGTGTGTCGACGTTGGGAAACATCTGCCTGAACGAGGATGAAGACGACGAATTGCTATCGGCTGATGGCGGTGTCCCCGTCGCCCAATAATTGTACCGTCATCCAGTGCAATCTCCACCACAGTCAGACCGCAACGGTGCAGGTTCGGAACTTCGGGCTCTCACACCTGAGAGGTAAGCTATTATCCACTACAATCTCAGATAAACCACGGACATGTATATATTACTCAAACAATTTACACATACAGCCACTAACACAATTCTGTTCCAGAGACCTATGCGCCGTAAAGCTTTTAGCTGACGCGGCCACGAGCCTGCCTGAAGTGGAGCTCGCCGCTGTCTATATGGCGGAGATTGATGTGCCACCACCAAGGGAAATGGTACAGCTAATCAACCACAGCGAGCAGAACGGCCAGCACATTGTCGTGGCCACTGATTCTAATTCCACCATCCGCTGTGGGGCATGGAACTCGCAAATGACAGTAAGAACTTACAAGAATACTTATTTACAACTAACCTTCAAATCCTCAATAAAGGTACAACACCAACTTTTGTAAACAAAAGATGTAGAACTATCATATACCTAACTCTAGCGTCAGACGGAGCAGCGAATCTTGTCCATAACTGGCACGTGTCCGAACAAGCATCTTTCTCAGACCACAGATGGATAAGATTCAATTTAGAAACAGTTATCAAAGTACAACAACCGAAACGGAACCCTAGAAAAACCGATCGGAAAATTTACACTGAAAACTACACCAGAACCGGTAGCACCGGGAAGACTGCTGGACACAGCACAGATAGAAACACAGGTTAAAGAACTAACATCAAACATATTGAGAAGTTATAACTCCGCATGCCCATTTAGTGACCCAGTCCCGCGACAAGGCCATCAATGGTGGGGGCCTGAGCTTGAAAGGCTGCGAAGGGTAAGGAGACACTTCAATAAGGCAATTAACACATGCGCGGATGAGGACTGGGAAAACTACAAGACGGCCAATTCAAAACTAAAGAAACGCATACGATTCAGGAGCCACGCGTCAAGGCGAGGCTACTGCGGGAACATCACGTCTTGTGCACAAGCGAACAGAGTAAAAAAATCCTAACGAACTCAAATGACACATTCACAACTTCCCCTGAAGAAACGGAAAGAACCCTACTGGAAGCACACTTCCCAGGATGCAGGTTCGTCCAAAATGACAGGCGCGAAGAAATGAACTACAATACATCGACCCCTAACTGGCAATACGCTGAACAAGTAGTAAGATACGAAAAAACAAAATGGGCAGTGAACACCTTGGAACCTTACAACGCTCCGGGCCAAGATGGAGTTTTCCCCGCACTCCTATAATGGGGCGGGGACACACTGGCCCAGCACCTGGTCGACATCTTTTGGGCCTGTCTAGCATTCGGCTATGTGCCCCATAGCTGGAGAGAAGTATAAGTTATATTTATACCGAAACCAGGTATAAACGACTACACTGATGAAAAATCCTTCAGGTCTATCAGCCTCACAATGCTATTTTTGGAGACGATAGAGAGGTTAGGTGACAGAGAACTGAACGACGGAGCCCTAAAGAACATTGTGAGATTACACGGAAACCAACATGCATACTGCCAAGGCAAGTCCACCGAATCGGCCCTACATGCCGTTGTCGGCAAGATAGAAGAGGCCCTTCAAAGCAAGGCAATCTGTCTAGGCACCTGTGACGGTGTGACCTCCTTACGCCGTCATCTCACCTTTTTGTATCGCCTCTCTCCTCTTGTATCTTATAATTTTTTTACTTGTATTTAAATTTTAAATTTGAATTGTTCCATCTTCCTTCACTTTCTCATTTTGTTTTCGTACCACGGTCACTCCCAGCTCGACCGCCACAACAGTCAGAGCTGTTAATAAGCTAATCATGTGTAATAATTTATAAGTCTACACCCTTCATGTATCTATATCTGTAATTCAGTTTCTCGGTCCATTTAGGGGTAAGTGCCTTAATAATAAAGTGTAGGGAGTGTTTTATACTGTTATACCTGTTTTTTTACATTTACCTTATATTGTTACAGCCTTTCTTTAAACTTTACTTCTTTAATAAATTTTGTGGAAGTTTCCCATTTCATTGCCGTGAACCTGTTCACGGCTAGTTAGGGTTACAACCCTTTCACACCTTTATAGATATTGAAGGAGCCTTCGATAAAACCAACTTCTCCAGCATACCATCAGCACTAAGAAGACACGAAGTGGATGAATCTCTGATCAGCTGGATTAGCAACAACATCAAATAAGAACAATAAGAACAACAGCAAAAGAGACCCCATGGGCCGTAGTAGCGAAGGGGTGCCCTCAAGGAGGAGTACTGTCGCCTCTGCTGTGGAACATGGTCGTAAATGATCTCATCATCAATCTAAACAAAGAACATTTCTATACAATAGGCTATGCTGATAACATAGCCATATTGGTAACAGGCAATTATGCCAGTACACTCTGTGACATTACACAAGCTGCACTCCGGATTGTGGAAAGATGGTACAGAGCATATGAACTATCGGTTAACCCAACAAAAACAGAACTAGTAATGTTTACAAACAAAAGATTACTGGGTAACTACCTACTACCCAAACTCTTCAGTACAGAAATACAATTATCAACCGAAGTCAAGTACCTAGGAGTAATACTGGACAACAAGTTGAACTGGAACAAACATCTGGACAACAAACTTAAAAAGCTACTATCACCTTTTGGCTTCCATAGAATGGTAGGTAAACAATGGGGACTTTCACCCAAGATAACATTACTCTCTAGACTCTACACAACGGTGATAAGACCTATGATTAGTTACGGCGCGATAGCTTGGTGGCCACGAATCAAGCTAACGACTGCAACCGACAGCTGGACAGATTCCAAAGGTTAGCATGCATGGGAACGACCGGCTGCATGAGGACAACTCCAACTGCGGCGCTCGAAGCGATGCTGGACCTGCGACCCCTCCTACTGTTCATCAGACAGGAAGCGGCGTCAACAGCAGTGCGACTAAAGAGAGCCGACCTTTGGAAGCACATAAGGACCCTGCATGCGGGTATCCTCTATAAGATTATCAAAGAGGAACTGCTATTGGAGGCGACGGTGGGTAGTATCCCAAAACAATACATTTTTGACAAAAAATAAAGGATACAATTGTTTGAAGATCCCAATGAAGGACTAAACCTCAGAGAGGTCCACGTGTTCACTGACGGATCAAAAACAAACTCAAGAACAGCTACTGGGCTATTCTCAGAAGACCTTAATATCAGGAGATCAACACCGCTTGGTGACCACAACACAGTATTCCAGGCTGAATGTATGGGTATCAAGTTGGCAGCAGAAGCAATGATAGTGAGTAAAGAATCACTCCATTCAAATACTCTCCGACAGCATGTCAGTACTTCAAGCGCTGAGCAGCTATGACATTAACTCAGGGCTTACATATGAATGCCATCAAGCACTCATGGAGGTATGTATAGACAACCACGTAACTCTACGGTGGAACAAAGGACACAGCGACTCACGTGGCAATGACGCAGCAGACGAACTAGCTAGAAAAGGGTCGGAGACGGATGCTGTAGGGCCAGAACCCATAGTGTCCCTCCCCTACCAATGGTCAAGAACAACTATACACAAAGGTACAAAATCTTCTCACAATAACATATGGACAACCCTTACGGTTTGTAGACAGGCTAGGGAAGCACTCCCAACACTCAACGCCAGTCTATCTCGTAAATTATTTAACTTAAAAGACAAGAGCTGCGCGCTCTATCTGCCGCTCTAACGGGTCATGGTCCAGACAATAAACACCTTTTCAATTTAGGTATCACAGACAGCCCTCTATGCAGAGCGTGCATGGAGGGGGAGGAAACGGCCGCGCACATTCTACTAGAGTGCGCCGGCGTGGCCAACTACAGGGCAAAGTACCTTGGAGTGCCGGGTCGCTCCCCGAAGTCTTCACCAAACCGAAGAGGCTGCTGAGATTCCTGGAGGAGCTTGGGTGGCACGAGTAGGATTTTATTATAAATGTAGGTGTTACATACTGCAACAGTTAAATACCATTGAATAGAGTGAATAGACTAGATGGCAACATCTCACTAACTCCTTGGTTTTGCTGTCACTCATAAAAAAATTGGATTGCTTGTTTTCATTACAAGTGCTGATACTGTGTATTGCATGCACAAGAGCTAAGTACATAAAACCCATCTAACTAATGTAACATGTTGCTAAAGTCCCAAAGGATGGGTAAATGAGGTTACTTACACTTGAAATTTTTGGCTGCATAAAAGATTGAAACAGGAAAATACATGTTTCAATAACTTTTACATCTGTGCAAGATAATGGAAAAAAATGAGTGCAACATTATCGACTTGTTTTTATTATTTTTAAGATTATTGTGAAGCAGTTACAATGTAGAATAAAATTATAAGTGATGAATTAGAAACAGTGGAATATAATAAGTAAACTCAGAAGCTTCACAAAAAAACCTGATAAATTTCGTCCAGTCTCATAAAATGAATTTGTCACATTGTATTCAGACCCAAGCATTTGAAAATGTACAAAAACGGCCATATGGTGGGTGCACAAAACGTGCAATGTATAATGTATGAATCGTATTCCTAGTTCGGCTGGCTCACCTAGGGCAACAATCGGTGAGTATCTTACACCGATAGGCAAACCCTTTCATCATGATGGCAAACATATGCCATGCACAGTTCAGCATGGCACCTATTTGTGGCGTGATCAGTGTGGCAAAATTCTGAGTCACAATAATATAGTGTATGCCATTGAAGAATAAGCCTCATTGAAAAAGAAGTACAAGTAAAAATATAACTTTCGTTCTGATGCTCTTCAATTATAATAACTATGAGTGCAAACATGGTCTTGAAGAGATTTAAAAACAAAATTGTACATGTATGTCAATTTATTCAATATTACAATTGTAAGTCTAAATATAGATTTTACAGTATGATGTTCTGATTCTTACCGAGTACAATACAAACCAGACAACTTACTAAAAATTAGATAGTGGCTTGAAAAAGCACTGTCACATATCAGGCAGAAAGAGAATAGGGATTGTAGATTCTGCCACGAGGCGGAAGAAACTCCAGTGCATCTCCTAACCCAATGCTGCCCACTGATGGGCTTACAAAGTTCCATTCAGAAAGGCACATGCCACTACCAGAGGATACAAAAACTTTCAGTCAGGAAAGTCCTTGACTTCTTTAATGCTATTGACTCTGGCTCCGAACTGTAATTAATTAGTGATGCTCAGATGATGGTCGCAGTGATGAGAGGCAGCATAGACCCCGAAAGAATGCCACCCTAATAAAAATAATAAAAATAGATACAAGAGCTCCTTGATGGATAAAGCCCAGTTTGGTGTGGAATAGTAAACGCAGACAGAGCGGACTGGTTTCAGTTTTAGCGCCTACATACCATGTGTTTTGTAAAGAAATCTTTTAAAAAGTGATTACAAACCCTTTTGTACATATCTGTTTCTCTCTGTTTGATTTCACGAGCATAGTCTGTACCGGAAGGTACCACAGCGCGCCGATGCTCTTCTCGTCTATTCAGCTGCGCTGTCGTGTCTTCCTTTGTGATCCGCAGCCCACCAGTCAACGGCCCGCGGATCTTTTTTATCTGCGAGCTCGACGGGCACGGGTTGTTGAAAAAACTCTTCAATTCATCCATTTTGCCCGGCCAGCAAATTCTTTTGATAAGGTCGACGATTCACAACAAGCAAGCTGTTTATATAAAATGTAAACAAAAATTTTTAAGTTTTGAAGCCCAGCAGAAAAGTTGACTGTAAAATAGGAACAACGTAAAAATACTTGCTTTAATTCTTGAAAAAAAAACTGGATGCTGAAGAAGTAACTAACATAATTGACACGAAATCTGAAAATTACAGCAATAACCGCAAAAAGTTTCTGATTTCCGATTGGTTGGTTGTAGTTTTTTCAATTCTTTCCGTAAACGAAAAAGTAAAGGTTTCACACCATACAGCCAAGATGATTGGTTGGATGAAGAAAAAGAAAAGTTTTATCTCGGAAGAGATCATAAACAACGATTTTTTTTCTCCTATACTTGAACGTAAGGGTTAAAACACAGAATTGCGATGCGGCGTCGCATCGCAGAAATTTACGAGCTCGCACGACGCATTGCAAGAATTTACGAATAATTCAGTGTTCTTCATCTGTTGTTAATCTTCTTTCTGTTTTTTTCCTACACTTTCTTGTCAATAACAGCAGTGCAATATTCTTTTTACAACCTATGTCGCTAACTTTTTTTATAAAATACATTCAGTACGGCTAACGATCGTTGAAGGAATTTTTACCCGAACCGTGGCAGTAAAATAACTTGCCACACAAAATCGCATCGCAGCAATTCGCGTCGCAGTTTTCTGCGTTGCGAATTCGCATCGCGCCGATTTGGAGTTTTGTGTTTCGACCCTTAGGCCGGCCACATACAGTCAGACTTAGGTATGCACACATACAGGGTGTCCGGTAATGAATGTATCATACTGAAATGGCTTATAGCACAGCTTAAGACTGTTCTAAAAAAAAATGCAAAAAAAAATCTATCCCATGTAAATGGTATGACTAAGTAATGTACATTTAAAAAAAAAAAGTTTAACTTCATTTTTCAGAGAAATAATTTATTTTTTACGAAGTTTACGCGCCTTCTGTATAAAAAAAAAGTATGATAACCTGTGTGGCCAAGTACCTTAAAATAATGTAGGTTTAATGAGGATTTCAAAATGATATCATTTCTCATTGTATCTAATGTAAATATGAAATTATTGCTATTAATGTGCAAACGGAGTAAATTTTACTAAAAAACTATGTTTGCAAAATTGGAACATTTCTTATCCTGAATTGTTCTTGACTATTGAGTTTTGATAAAAAATAATATTAGGCATTAATAAAACTTTATTTAAAACTTATTTACAGCAAAATTACATAAATAACAATTCAGGATAAGAAATGTTCCACTGTCGCGCCGTTATACAAATACTAACCACTCTTCATTTGGGCTACTCTATGAAACAGGACAGTTGAGCGGTAATAAATTGAACTATTGCGTATCAAGCAGCGTCAAGCAATGTGTAGGATATAGACGTGCGGAAAACAGTACCTCGAAAAGTAATGTGATATCACATTAAATTTCCGTAAAAGTGATATTACACTGTGATATCACTATTACCCACAACATCACTGGATAGGATGGAGATGGAGCACGCCGACTAAGGAACGTTTCTCGGTGCGGTGTTGGTTGTATATACCACATATTCGCACGAATCGTCTTGCTTTCGTAACAAAGTACCTAATGCGTGTGGTGTGACAAAGGAATGGAAAGCTATAAGGATATTCAAGGCTTGAATGAATATGCATTCTTGCGACTAAACTGTTATACAGGGAGATTCAGGCGAGATAACAGGCCAAGCACTTGTTTATATAAGAAAAAATACCACAATTAATTTACAATTTCATATATTTCTTACCATGTTCGGCATAACAAAAATATTCAGATCATTTATAGAAGACACTCAACAATGATAATTATATGATTACTGATAATAATTATACTACATACACAATCTTAATGTTCCATACAACATTATGCTCGATTTTTTTTTTATACGGACATGACAAGATCACAATACAAAGTTAATAGGTACATGTTAGGTTAGGACATATTATTATAGTAATTGGAATTAATAAAAATCGGAAATATTTATGAGATAATTTAACTATGTTGTTTATAAAATAAGGCCACATCTAAAATTAATAATAGCAGCACACCGAGCGCGGTGTGGTGACCCTATAAAATTGAGAAAATTGGCAACAACATCGGCCTAATTTGACCGTGGCGCACTCGGTTTAGCGGAGTCAATTTAGGCAAATGCAAACACAACATAATAAAATAAGTTTCGTGCATTTCGTTCGACACGGAATTTTTTTAAATTTAGATTTATTTATGATAATTAGTAGATACATAACGATGTTATACAATTATATATAACACATATAATTATACCTTATTTACAGAGTATTGTCATAATTATGATCAAACTATATTCGAGAAATAGATAAATAACAATTGTCACGATTGCGCACATTAACAAAAAATATTTTTTTTAATGCCGTGATTAATATGTAACATGTAAAGTTTTTATAGTGTGAGAAAACTGGACGTACAATTCAATAATAACGGAGTCCTAATACTAAAAGTAGTTGATATGTTCTAAGTACAGGCCTTCTAGACTAGTGGTTTTGAAAAGTAGTAAGTAAATATTTCATAATATTATGACGGATGTATATAATAATAACGATATTATTTGTTCAAACCAACCTATAAAATACACCACAGCAAAAATAGCAACTTATTCAGCTCTACGAATACGTATACGAAACAAAAAAAAGTGTAACGCAAAGGTGCGACTGTATTTCAGCTAGAGACAAAATAATTTGTAACAATTTGAAAAATTAAATTTTTAATTTCTTTAGTACGAGCATTGACCTAAGTTTTTGAGTGTGGACCAAGTTAAAAAGATATCTGGTGTTGGTACGACCGATAGTTTCGTAGTATGCAGAACATTACTAAATATTGTAATATAAGGAGCAAGGTAAATTTACCTGAACTAGGAAGTAATACCATAGTTATACTATAAAACAAGTACAGGCCTACCGCTTAATTAAGTCGGTTCCTGAGGTAACTGCGCAGTGCGGGAGGAGTGACAGTTATGTCGCGCTGCACACGGGATAATTTAAACAAGATTTTTCTGACGAAATTCAATATTAAGTTGATTGAAAAAAGCCAAATGGCTTGTCTGTTCATTTCAATTATCAATGAAAAAGTTTTTTTTTGTTATCGTTTCACATAACAACAACTGACGAATTTGGTAGGCACTTCTTTCAACCCGCTTGCTATTGACAACTGTTTTGTAAACCGTTAACCCTCCCGCACTGCGCAGCTACCTCAAGAATCGAATCGGTTAAGTGGTAGCCTGTAGTGTAATAACTCTAAATAAACGTTGCAGCGCGGCTTATATAAGCGCGCGCCGTTCGCATACATTCGCATAACCTCGCGGTGCACTCGAGTTGCACAGAGCGGGGCGCCACACGCGACTTTCATTATAGAATTGAAGCGTAAACTTGGTGTTTAAAAAATTACATAAACAAGAGACATGATTATGGTTGTTTAAACAAAATTACCTCAAATTCATAACCGTTCAGCATTTATTCTATTTCATGATCATACTCCTATAATCGAGTCATCAATCCGCGATGCGGGCAAAAAGCTATAAGCGCGTGTGACCCGCGCTGTGCAATACGAGATTATGCAAATGTGTGCGTCATACGCAGTGCGCGACGGGCGGGCACGCATACGAATCACGGTGGTATGTTGTTATGGAGTTACCCTACTTGTCTTATTACACTAGGTATTACCCACTATCTGTTTATTACTTCAAGTTTAGTCGAATTTTTTTATTCAGTTGTTTATCAAGGGGACGATCACCAGCTGAATATAATTGCACCTTTGTTACACCTTATATATATCTTAGAAACCCTACCCCCTCCAACACCAGCTTTCAAAACATCTACAAGTATTAAGTTTCAATATTATTTCCAATTGTTTGTTTTTCTGAAGATTCCATTGAAGTCGTTATTCCAGTGACGCAGATATGCTATTTCAGACCACACAGAATAGTACCGTGTATTTCGTGTCATCTTTGGTTTTTGACTAGGTGTATTGTTCCTATTGTTTACTCTGGTTCTTATAAACATGTTATGATACTTTAAAAAAAAATCACGTCAATAAAATGAAAAAATAAAATTATTCTGTTTCTTGTTTTTTTTCCTCAAGTCTTCAAATTCTCGTTTAAATGAAACATCTTTTATTTTCAAATTACCTATTGGCCTTCAGATTTACTATCGTGGGGCTTTCGTGTTTAGCTCTTTCAGTACTGAAAACCCACCTAGCAAGACAATAGGCACTATTTCTCGCGTCGTGGATATTTTGCATAATCACTCTTTTTATTGGCACGGAAACGAACAACCATTTCTAGACCAGCACTTAAAGTTAATAAACAGTTTGGTATTGGTTTTTTAATATTCAATTTTTTTTTGTGATTACTCCAGTAGTTTGTTTATTATTATTAACACAAAGATAGCCGAGTGAAGAAAAACTTTATAGATTTGTCACAGATGGCGCTTCGCAAAAAAGTCGGTAAAGACCAAAAACAAATATCTGCATCATGCACATAGGAAAATTCGTAAAGTCTGCTGGTTTGTTTCGTAGCTTAGCTGGGAGAGCATTAGGCGCGGTACGCTGAAAGCGCTGGTTTGAATCCAACAGGATCGAAGGGCTGTTCGTCACTGTTCGATCTTTGTATTAATATAACACCATTAACCAACAGTTTAGTCGTACAGTTTACATATCTTGGTAAGTCTAGAATTTACAAAAAAAAAAAGATGAGAAAAAAGATGCAAAAAATGTGCGCGACTTGATCATGATAATAAGTAAACCACCAACTAAAGACGACAAAGCTTAATTATTAAAGATATAACGCAAAAATATGCCCTAATACAATACTCAATACTGACTAACCTTTTTTTCTTTCCCTTACGAATGTTAGTTTCCCCCGCAAGTTAATAATTTTCTACACATCAATCACATCTAAGATATTCTAAATCCATTTGGCCCGAGGTTCATCTATCTATTTCTATCCATTAGTTTACCAATCCCATCAACAACCTTTACCCTTTAATTTAAGGTCAACTCACACTGTTCGATGACGATCCGCATTTTGCCTATGCAAACAAGAGTGCAATTCGCATCCTTTCTAACAAAATGCCAATCGCCCTGGATCCCGTGAGGTTCACTCACAACAGTTAATATTGGACGAACAAATCTAAAACACGAATAAACTACTAAAAACCAACAATATTCTTAATACACAATAACTATTCAGCGCTTTCGCTTTAAAAATGTAATAATAAATTTAAAAAGTAGGAAATGAAATTATTTTTCCTGATTTAAATCGCGTATATTTGTTTTTTCAAACAAACCGACGTTTCGGGCCCTTTACAGGTCCCATGGTCACGGTTGACTGAGGTGGTACAGTTTTCAACCAGTTATGTCTAATATTGATGCAAACCACCCTATTTTTTCACTATAGTTACAATAGTTATTAATTAAATACCTTATTTTTAATTTTACAAAGAAAACATTCCAATTGACGCTATATTAAGTTTTACAAATTATTTTATTGAATGAATTTTTATTAAGTTCAATTTATTTTAATTATTAATAGAAATTAGAATAAACTAAAACATATTAATTAGTCTTATGTCTGTTTGGGATTTTTCATTAGAGGAAATACTGCCGCTAGCTAGGCCGAAGATTTTCAAACGGTATGTTGACGATACTTTCGCAATATTACCTAAAGATAGCATACCTTCTTTCTTGGACCATCTTAATTCTTTTAGTACTAAGATCCAATTTACTATGGAACAAGAGAATTGTGGTACTTTAGCTTTCTTAGATGTTTTAATTAAAAGAAATCCTAATAACACCTTAGGCCATACTGTATTTCGAAAGAAAACTCATACAGATAGGTATCTCAATGGTAATTCCCATCACCATCCTAGCCAGTTAGCTACCGTGGGCAAATCTTTGTTTCAGAGAGCACATGGTGTCTGCGACAGTAATTATCTCGCAGGGGAACTTTAACATATAGAGCAAGTCCTACATGCGAATAAGTTGAAGATTCCACGCCAATGCCACAGGCCCCGTGTGAAACCACCAACAGTCAAGCGAAGACCTGCCATCTTACCTTACGTGAGAGGTGTTACAGACAAGATCGGAAGAGTCCTCAGGCGCGCATCTATCAAGACCTATTTCAAGCCCCTGAGGAAGATTTCTCAGTTCCTGAGACCCGTGAAATGTAACATCCCCTTACAGGATTCAGGTGTTTACAAGCTTGACTGTGAGTGCGGTCTCTCTTATATTGGACAAACAAAGCGAAGTATTTGTACCCGCGTCAAAGAACATATAGCTGATGTCAAACACCGTCGCGTAAACAAGTCTGCAGTCTGCGAGCATGTCATGGATAAACCTACACATTCAATGAAGTTTGACAAACCGCAGGTCCTTGCAAAAGAAGTCCGTTATCTACCCAGGATGCTGCGAGAGGCCATTGAAATTAAAAAACATCCTAATTTCAACAGGGAAGATGGTTTCTCCGTACCACCAGTTTGGGATCCAGTATTTCCTCTAATGAAAAATCCCAAACAGACATAAGACTGCAGTACTAATTAATATGTTTTAGTTTATTCTAATTTCTATTAATAATTAAAATAAATTGAACATAATAAAAATTCATTCAATAAAATAATTTGTAAAACTTAATATAGCGTCAATTGGAATGTTTTCTTTGTAAAATTAAAAATAAGGTATTTAATTAATAACTGAAAAAATAGGGTGGTTTGCATCAATATTAGACATAACTGGTTGAAGACTGTACCACCTCAGTCAACCGTGACCATGGGACCTGTAAAGGGCCCGAAACGTCGGTTTGTTTGAAAAAACAAATATACGCGATTTAAATCCGGAAAAATAATTTTAATTTCCTATGTGTAACAATCGCGAAAACCTAAGAACTCAATAAATTTAAAAAGTATAAATTTGCAATTGATTTCAACATCGATTGGGAAAACGGAATGATTCGTTTTTATTGAAACTTTGAAAGCCTTTGAAAACTTTATATTTCGATAGTAGCAATAATATTTTTTTATCGATGCTGTTCGGACTTGATTTTTTTAAAACTGCACATACCTTGCAAAACGGCTACTTTATGTGTAGTGTTCGAATAGAAGTGGTAAGTACATACATAAAATATGAATATTTAAGATTTTTCGCAATTCTTTGAGCTTACACCACTGTAAGAGTAAACGTACATATTTATGGAAGCACGCTTCAACTGTACGCGTCATGCGTGCAACATAAAGTATGTATCGCCCTGAAGACAAACCTTATTTATAATTTACAAATACCGACAGTTGCTTTGTATAGTTTTGAATTGGTTTTTTAAATAATTTTACCATTATAAAGACGCGGCAGATGAAATGTTCCGGACGGATCCGAATAACTGTCCACACGCTCGGACAAGGTTTGCTATACTCTGAAAAAAAATCGAAGTCCAAAAATGGAAACAAAGGTGATACCATTACAAAAAAGATTTTAGGAATAGTGGTTTATACACGAAAATACATTATTTAACCCTATTTCGCCCGAGTAAAAACTAAAGGCAATGATGTCATTGCCTTTAGTTTTTACTCGTTAGCCACTGATTCTAATCTGAAAAAAATCAGTTACTGTTCGTGACTGAGGTAAATTTGGATGAACCGCGGCCCTTCTCATTTCCTCATATCATTTCTCAATTGAAAAATTTTTTTATGACACTGTGATTCTAAAGACTTATGTAAGATGTTTAACCAAAAATGTTTTTTTAAATTATTATAGTTATTACTCGTATATGAAGAGTAGAACCTGTAAATAAACGAACCGGAAAAAAGGTTTATGATCTATGAGATATCACTTTGACAGATACAGTTGTTTACATTTTGGGACTTCGATTTCATCTCAGAGTGTACCGACCAAATGCCGTGTGTTGGGTACGATTAGATCCTTCAGTAACTTGCGCTTTTTTAAAGTTTTAATAGAAGTTATACCAATTCCTAATGCATACAGTAAGACACTCATTAGCATATTGACCACACATCAATATGTTAATGATTCAGTTGTCCTTTGAAGGCTGGATAGACCAGCCGAGGATCCGGCGGTCGAAGCCGCAGCTGAAGAAGTTAATGTTTGAAGATATGTCTTCCGCCCATGCAACTGACGTCACCATGCGACGATGGCCCTGTGAAGGTAAATTATTAATAGATCAAATTATTTTTATTTCATTCTTAAAACGCATCCTTGGTTTAATAAGGTCCATCTCCAAAATGACAATTTTCAGGACGGGTTCGATCCTCAGGCCGGAAGAAATATTTGTGTGGTCACAGTCAGATTCACAGATTCACAAACTTCAAATACTTTCAAAAGTTATTTCACTATTAATAAACAAAACTTTAATTACAAACCCGAACACTGTGTAACTACTCTTAAAGTGTTTTCCACCCGCAAAGCGAGACGAGAATTGAAATCTCGTTGGCCTATTTCCACCGAAAATTGCCATTAAAATAGCTCGCGCAAGCCATCGCGACCTCGCCAAATCTCCATTATACTCGGTAATTGCTCTACGTTTAAATGTTTGTAAGTGTTTGTTTGTGTGTTAAAGTAATAAACTTTAAACGAAAGTGAAATATGTGTGATTTCTTGTAAGAGGCACTGTTTTATTAAATACAGATAAAATTTAATCGAAATCAGATTTCAATTTATTAAGAATAAAGTCAGATCAGAGGAGGACCTCCACTGCGCACGTCACCCTGACATAAGTTGAAAAAATTCATCAGCACCCTTACCCTTCAAAAACCGAACGCAGTAATACTCTCATTACGGCTTGACTGCAGAAATAGGTAAAGTGGCAGAACTTCCGTGGACGAATTCTCGTATGTGTCAGTTTCATTTATGCACGAGAATTGAGCGTAGCGTAGCTTATTTTCCGGTGTGAATTGCTGGCAAACGGCTGAAATGACGTACCTGTCGGCTGGACCTCGGAAGCCGCGCCAGCCGCTGCCCTTGCAGGTCGAAGATGCGCACCTGGCGGTTGTCATGAGGGATGGCGATCAGGCCACCCGTACTCACGCCTACGCGGTTCACCGATGAGTCAGACCGAATAGTCGCTAGGGCAGAACGCATGTTGCGGACATCCCAGACCTAGACAAAAGGAAAGGTTCAAATTAGACCGAAGTTTCAAGTAACTGCCTCCGAGGCCGAAAGGTTATCATGCTAGTCTGCCCCGCAGAGGTCTCGGGTTCGATCCCCGGGCCGGAATAAATATTTGTGTGGCCTACAATTATTTCTCTCGTGAGTTTGGGTGTAATTTGTGGTTGTCTGTATGTCTGTCCATGGCACCCATGACACAGGGTTTCCTTTCCCTAGTTGGCTATGACTGTGTGCGTAAAAAAAATACTAAAATACTGTACATTTTAGTGTAGCAGCCGTCAAGGTAGCCTAATGGTTTGACCTACCGCCTCTCAAGAAGAGGGTCATAGGTTCGGTGCTTGCACCTCGTGAGTTTTTTGAAATGTATGTGTCAAATTTAATTTCAAATTCCTTATTAGCTTTTCGGTGAAGGAAAACATCGTGAGATACCTGCACACATCCGCAAAGCAATTTAGGGTCGTCGAATGCTCAAGTCAGGATTTGAGTATGGTTTAAAGCACTCGAAATCATACTCAAGTCCCTACCATTAGGGTCGTATTTCCAGTGCTTGAAATCATACTCAGATCCTGACTTGAGCATTGAGTAGAGTTCTAGAATACGACCCTAAATGTGTGTGAAGTTCCGAATCTATAATGGCCCCGCGTGGAAACTACAGCACAAGCCCTCTCATGCCCAGCAGTGGACCTACATCTGTATTAGCCAATGCTAATTATTCTTATTATATTTTATTGCAGTAACTTGAAAATCAGAGTACAGTTCAGTGTAATGAAACCCTTTCACTATGTTTTAAATTTCTTGTAAATTTGAATACCAAGTTAGAAATAGGGGCTGGTTTTTTCATGAGTCACTTATTTTACATTACTGGTTAAGTATAGAACTTACTTTTACGGATCGATCGTCAGATCCGGAGACGACTTTATCCTCACGTGTGAACACCGCTGATGTCACACTCCTGCAAGCATTTGAAATATTTTCATTGCACAAACAATGTATAGGCACCATTATGATATATAACATTCAATTGCTTAAGCATTTCAGATGTCGTGAAAAATTCCAAAAGTAATTCCCGGTAAAACTTGTTTAAAGGCACTTTGAAATTGGTCAAATCTGGGTGCGGTTGGTAGTACTGTTTTAAAGTTCATTTGTATGGTCCTTAACTAAATGGATATAAAATGTTTAACAACATTAATAGTTGCTAGGTAACCGACGATGACAGGTGTAAAGAACATTTTTTGTCAATGCTAATTATTTAGGCTAATTCTGCCCACGGCCTGATCGCGTATTAGAATATTAGGTAAGTAGGTAATTGGGTTATGTAGAAGTAATACGCACCTAAATTAAAATAAAGTTTATAACACCTAATTATACTCCCTGCTGCTAATGCTGCAAAAACTGCTACGATAGTAGATTAATTATACAAAATAAGATTTTTATTTTATATTAATTTTCTACGTATGTCATCTAGCATCAATTTCCATCGTCAGGGATGACACAGTTTTATAAATAATTAATTAGTGGTAATTTTTATGTAGGTTTGTGTCTATAGGTAACATCGATTAAACGAAATTATCACAGATTAGTATTATCAATAGCCCAAACGAATTTCGGGGAGAAATATTGCAATTATGGTGACTGTAAATTGTTTGAGGTGAAAATTCTAAAAATCATGTTTTTGCTTGTTGTGACATTCTACGTCGAATTTGGCTATAGTATAGAGTGAGTAGCCCCGGACCTGATGGTGCGCCGATGTTCCATCAAGGTGACTGGAAGCCAATTGTTGCGTAAAGATAAAGATCAGGCTTTCTTTAGCGCCTTGGACAAAGCATCTGTCTAGGAGGTCAATTCAGAACCTTACGATAACTCAGTTGTTTACCGATTCGATTTATATCGTACGATTTCTTTTAATTTTTTTCACAACATCCGAATCGAACGCCAAACTGTCGCATTCGAAACCGAACCGAAATGACGTCACACTCGTACGATTACTCGAACTTCTCGACCGGCAAAGGCTACCAAAACACAGTTATCGAATTAAAGTTACCGAACGTCCTATTGTTTACAAAACAAGAATGTAATATGGAAATCTCTAATCATTTGAAATGAAGTGTGGATTTTGTTCAATTTTATTAATTTATTTTAATGCAAAGCTAATGCATTCCTATATTTTAGGCCTTTAATCTTAAAAATGCATATAAAAGGATTTTCTTTTTTTTATAATCTATTTCACCGACTAACTCCGTAAACGCTGTTAGATAACGATATCATATCCGAATCCGAATCGAACGTTTAACTCGTTTAACTTCGATTCCACAACGATATCCAATCGAACGATTCGGTTGACATATCGAAGAGTTCTGAATCGGAGTCCAGGAATGACAGACAGGCAGCAATCAAATACTTACTAAAATATCTCCAAGTGATTCGAAAAATACATACTCAGTGTGTCCTTGAAAAACGGAGACGGAGTGTATTGGCTCGCGAAAGTCCCACAGGCGGAAGGTGGTGTCCCGTGAGGCTGTGACTACAAGCCGAGAACTGTGGTGCGCTGACGCGTGAGTCAGCTCGTGGTCGTGACCTGTATCGCACGGATTAGGGGACTTTGTAATGTATGTTTTCTACTCCTGTTGTTACTGTACTTAACCTGTCAATTATAATTTTTTTCTGACCTAAAGTGGATTCTTCCGTTGTCATAAGCAAAAAAACAAAATAGAATAGGTATTATGGGGTAAGTAGACCGCAGCCGGTTAGAACATCCTTCGCGCAAAGATTTCTCTATTTTAAGACGCTGAATACCGTCAATTACGCTTCACTATAAAGTATTTATAGCAAGATCTGTTCAACCTGTGACAGTGTAAAAATGTGTATTACTTTTTATCACATTATCTAAAATGTTGTTTTTCCAAAACACGATTTTACAATATTTTATAGAAATAAAAATATTTCAAAGTTAGTACTTATTCTACGCTTTCAACGCACATATATACGTAATATTATAGCAAAGAAATTTATAACATTTTGAAGAATAAGGTATTATCCAATAATGAAACCCGTGGTTGTTTTATTTTTTCCATTTTGAACCTAATTTTGGAAATAAACTTTTTTTTGACACGCGTGCATGCTGTTGGTAGTTTCTTCTCTTTTACGCATACGAAGGTCGGTAGTGATAGCCGAGACGCGTTCCTGGATGAACCTATGTCACCCGTATTGCACCTAGCTAGCGATTTGATTTCATAATTGTAATATAGTGGGTGTGGCATAAAACATCGATCGCTCAAGGTTATCAACGCTTTTCAGCGTTTTAATGCTGGTAGGCCGTATAATGTATTAAATAAAAAAATTAATATTGCAAATAACAATAATATGAATTGAAAAATAAATTAATTGGTCACTTAAAAACTTTCAATCACATTGATACTGAAAATTTAATTGGAGTAGAAACATCGATGTGAAAAAACAAAACATGAAACAAACAACATCTTACACACACACACTTTCAAACACAAGTAAATACCTATACGTGCAATCATACATACACAAAAACACGTACACACAGCCACACACGACTGTTTTAAATACATGTTCCTTTATTTATTTTTGTTTATAGTATAGTTTAAAATTTTTACATTACATCACTGTTAGAATTGGTGTAAATTCAAATGGCATTGAGGTAGGGTGCTTGGAAGCCTAATACACAGATCTCTGAACTGGTTTAGATTCCAGTCTCCTACAAATTTGTAGAAAATAAGATCTGTTTCTGTGCCAAAAATTGTAACCAGTGGAGTGAAGTTATAAATTTATTATTATTATTATAAATTTCATAAACCTTAACGTTACGGGTCAAATCGGCGCGGCATAAAGGCGCTCTTTTTAGTTCTGAACCAAAATTCTATTGTCTATGGTATTCGCCACTGAGCTGAAAAATTTCATGAAAGTTTTGAATACAGAAATGTAATGAGTATTATAGTACCGTAAATAAACTGTAATAAGTTTCAAAAAAGGAACGCCGTATTTTTGCTTATTGAAATATAAAACATGACGCTATTTAAACGCTCGCAAAGGCATTAGCTTCTGATTGGTTACATTGGCCTAATGATCTTGCAACTGGGCCATAAAACTTCATAAAAAAAATGATTGGTTAAAATACAAGCGGTACTAGGCCACTTCTATTTTATCTCTTTGGTTTTTTTGTTTTGTAGGATTTGTTTAGCTTTCTTATAAATATATGAAGAGGCTGTACGGTGGCACCTTTGCCTACGCAAATAAATGGGTTGGGTATATTACTGGTTAAGTCCTATACTTAACTAGTAATATAATGCCTCCGTGGCCGAACGATTACCATGCTGGACTGCCATGCAGTGGTTCCGGAGTCGATTTCGGGCCGGGAGAAATATTTGTGTTGGTTTACATTTTCTCACGTGAGTTTGTGGGTATAACTTGTGGTTCTCTATGTGTGTGTCAATGCCACCCAGTTTAATACAAGGTTTCCCTAGTGCGGGTATATTAGTGTGTGCGTTATTATTATTATTAAAAGTTTTTGTTTTCTTCCAAATTAACACACCAGTAAGTATCTGTAAGCAATCTCCAGTCTCTACATCATAGAGATTAGCAGTGCGATCCCAAGATGCTGTGATGACATGATCACCACCAGTCAGCCAATCGGCTGCCACCACTACGCCTTGGTGCCCTGCGAGCTCGGTCAAAGGCGTACGTAGAACTTCGGGCCTTTCACCTCCCTCGCCTAAGCTTTCTTCGCCACCACCTTCTAATTCCTCTTCGGACGATTGGCCGCGCTAATGAAATAAAAAATATTTAATTTTTACCGCGTCTAAACCGTTGGACTTACTTTAGATTTAGTGTTTGTGATTTACAGACTAATGAAGTAAAACAATTGACATAATTCGTTAAAGAAAAAGGAACAAAGGTATAAAACAAGAATATAAAAAATACAACAAAAAATAAAAAAAACGCGACTGGGTCATTTTTAGATTAGTGTTCTCTATCTAATTTCGGTGGCAATTTTATTATTTAAGTATTCGAGTATATTACCACGTATTATTAAACAATATTTCAGAACACTACACTCGAATATTAAATAATACTTACTTGATGATAATATTCTAGAATACTTAAATTGCCACTGAAATCAGATTGAAAATTACACAACTATTCTCACACGTATTTACTATGGTACTGGTATACCACTTCTTAAGCGTATTTTAAAAGATTCATTTATAACTTTAAGCAATTATCTACTATGGGGTGTATATCAGTCGTTAAATTACATACCGGCAAATCCCAGTTAACAGCAGCCTGCCACACATGAGCAGTGTTGTCGCCACTACTGGTAAGCGCGATGTCGCGACTCGGGTGGAAACGGATGGAGTTCACTGACCCCGAATGTCCAGTGTACTGGAGGAAACACTTGCCCCAATCTACACTCCATATGCAGGCAGTATGATCTAAAGAAAGTGCAATTTGTATTTTGTTACTTCTATCCATAAAACTAGAATTTTATCAACAAAATGTTTAGTGTTTTCAAAGAAAACGGGATTGTTTCTTTTCGATAAAAGCATCGCTTAAGTTCTATCATATTTAAAACTGAATATGTAGTTTGATGACGTCATTTCATGCACCTAAATGATTACAAATTAGTGTGAATACACATGTCACGCAATGCGGCGTGTGCCACGTAAAGTAGGAAAAAATTTGTCCCAATTATGCATTATACATCGTTTGTACTACGTACATGGCGTTTCTTTTGTGTGCAGCTGTCGAAAGTGGGTATATCGACTATTTAGCAGTCCTATGCACACAAAAATCCATTGTCAGTGCAATAACACAGAAAAAAAAGGACAAAATAATAGCAAATGCATTACCAGCAGACGCGGTTCCAATAAGCGCTTGCCCAGGCCTCGCCGACGACACGTCCCAGATGCCATCCTTGTGTCCCATAAACTCCCGCACTAGCTGGCAATTGTATGTTGGCGCTTTGAAGCTGGACACAATCTTGCTTGTTTGCACGCGCAGCTTATGACTCGTTTTTACTTTTTGTGAGTTGCTCTGGGTTACTGTAGAGGGATATGTAAAGCGTTAAGTTGAAATTTGCTAGGTGCATTAATTTTTATTTAATATATGTATTATTTGTTGTGTAATAAAAATGTTTGTGCAAACAATATTTTGTTAATTTACAAATAATTTGTATGTGACTCCATAACAATAACAGTCGTAAGTAAATGTCAAGGCAAGCAAATTCAAATAACTTTGGCCTTTTTTTATATATAATAATTAAAATTTGTAATCATAAGGTTTGTTATGATACCAAGTGACGGGACGAAAAAATCGTGCAAGTGGCGGTAAGCGACACGCCTGTCCGTAACAGTTTATATAAATGTTTATGTTTTTTAGTGTTAAAATTCTAATTATCAAAGGATATTATTGTTTTAGTTGGTCAACCAACTACAGAATGCCACCTGTGTTTCATAAATAATGAAATTACTATCAAATTTTTTTAACCTTTCTGTTTTAAATTATAGATAAGTACAGCTAAAAAAAAGGAAAATAAATAAAACATCAAGAATGTCACAGTAAAACATTATCCAGATTAATAGGTTAATCTTGCTACAAAAATGTAGTCTTAAACAATAATAATCTCATATACAGCCTAACTTCACCCACTGCTGGGTATAGGCCTCGAAGTTTTTGTGCCACTCCTCATGGTCCCGTAATAAGTTCTAATAAATGAATTATTAAGTGATAGTAAACAGTATTTCATCATCAATTTACCTACCTAACATCAAAACAGTTACATGTACAAGACTCATACTCTACTGAAGCAGAAAGGAGATCTGTGTAACCATTGGATGGTTATTTGAATCAGTGGTAAATACACCAGTCAATGGAATTTATTTTGACCAAGCAATATGAAGATATCTCTTCCATTTTAGTAGATAACAAACTTCACAGTACATTAATTCCTATAATCTTAATATAAATGCCATAAGTTATTTTAAATTAGCAGATGAATATGAAATTGTTGCCCAATGCATATTGAATGGAAATATGCTGATTAGGAACAACAATTATTGGGCATTATTATTATTATTATCATTAGGGTGGTTTCATTCAGGGTCAATGCGGCCCCTCATCACTACAACCATTAGCTGACCTATTGTGATTAGTGATATAACCGAAGTGTTATAACGGAAACAGATGTCAGAAGTAAATCTTAGAGGAAACGGAAGCGGATGCAGAAACGGACGCGTAAATAATATAAAGAACTCAACAAAACAGTTCCCAACAGGGCTTCTGTTTTTGGTTTCATAATTTAAGTGCAATTATTACACAACACAAAACTACTAAAAAACGCGCACTCCACCACCAAGTAATCCGCACTATTGCCTGATTTGTCATAATCCTTGCAAACTTCCGTTATAAATGTTGCAGAAGCAGAAAAGGAAACAGATTCGAAATGGCGTGCGGAACTTCTGCAGTTGCGGAAGCAGAAGCAGAGGTCTGTTACATCACTAATTGTGATCACTACTGATTACAGTTCAGAGCCAAGGTCATCAGTATTAAAGAACTGAAGGACTTTCCAGGCTCTGACAGTTTTTACATCCTCTGCTCAGAGGGCAGCACTGGGTGAGAAGATGCACAGGAGTTTCATCCGCCACATAGCTGAATCTACACTCTCTATTTTCTCTCTGACCAATTAATCTCATTAGGCAAAATGATTACATTTGCGTTTCTTTATTAAAATATTTAATACATAAATTTCCATTTATGTATTAAATATTTTAATAAATTCAAAATTCAAAATCATTTATTTCAGACTACAATGGAGTCCATAGTTCTAAGTTAACAAATTATAATTCAGTTTCGTCAAGAATATACAATAAAAATAAGTCAAAAATAACAAGATATACGTATGTAAATTATTTAGTTAGCTCTATTAGTATTCATAAAACTAACTAAACAATTCACATAGTCATATGTAGGCCAATCAAATGACAAATGATTGGGCAATCAACCCGCGCAGCCACACAGCGAAGAATGTCATTGGTGCTGCCAAGGACACGGCTTAGCATCGAGGCAGCTCTCTTCCTGAGAATGGCATGGAAGCCATCCATATGAGCAGCCGCGAACATACCTGATGCACTGCAGTACCGTGGCCACCCCAGCAACATCCTAAACGCGTTGTTGTACTGAACGCGCAGGGCGTTGACTGTCTTCTGTGAATAGCAAACCCACAGATTGCACGTATAAAAGGATTGGCAAAATGCCTTAAAAAGTGTCACCTTAACGGGTTCTGTGCAACGTGCGAATCTGCGCGCCAACATATTACTTCTGACAGCCAACGCCCTACGCTCTCTCTCTATATCCTCATTGTCTGTGAGATCCTCGGAGACCCAGTGGCCCAATAAAGAAAGTTTCCACTTTTTATCAATATGAAAGTTACATAATGTAGATGTTAACTGCGTAAAACAGTTGTGTAAAGTTCTGGCTACTTTATTGTGAGTAATCATACGTCTAGAAGACTAAGCTCTACGCCAGAACATCAGCATAATACAAGAACAGATGTGCTGTAAATCATTTATCTAATCTGAACCTTGTGTGCTATATAGTACTTTATGAGAGTTATCTATGCTGTATTTAATACCCTTCAATACTTACATTTGACTTTAGAGTTCTTGCCTGATGTTTCAAACTCAATATATTCCACATTTGGACGGTCGCCAATGAAACTTTCTCTTTCCAATTTTTCGCTCAGAATGTCAATTTTTTCTTGTACTGAAACAAAAACATCTTTTATTTTTTTCATAATGCCAAATGACGAGATGAACAAGTCGTGAGCCTGGTGATAAGCAACACGCTTATCCATAACAATTACAGTGCCTCTCAGAGCTTTAAATTGCAAACATCTCAAGGTCACCGCCACTTCGACCGTCACCCTGAGACATAAGTTGACAAGTTCCATGTGCCTGTAATTTTACCAGAACCACTAATAATACTCACACAGTAATACTCACATTACTGCTTGGCGTCAGAAATAAGTAAGATGGCAGTATTTCCCTGGACAAACTCTTTCACAAGGAACTTTGCTATTATATAATATTTTGTTTATGTATGTAAAAGTAGTATTTCTGCCAAGCAGTGGGCCAGGCAGTGTTCTCTCTTCATGCAAAGCTAGGCTGGGGAGGTTCTAGTAGGTACTGCCCAGCGCATTTCTGCTACAAAGCAATGTTGTTGTGTTCCTTTACTGATGGTAAGAAGTGTCAGTGCAATTAGAGCCACAAGAAATTTATTATCTACCTACAATAAAAAGTGACAGAATGTATAATTTGTAAGTACAACAAGCAGAAGCTGCGTCTTCATCTTAGTCAGACATATACTTCGCGAATTTCAGAAGCCTCGTCATCAAGAAGTATCATTATGTAATTGCCAGAAGAATAAGAAGGGAATCGAAGCCTAACAGTACATTGTATAGATGTTGAAAAGTCCAAATTACTTACGGTTTAGATTTTCAGTGTAGAGAAGGTCAAATTCCTTCTCTATCTGTGAAAACAATTCATGTAGACGTGATCTGAATACTGGTGGTATTGATGTTTCCGAATCTTCCATCTTAAGAAAGTTGGGCATTCCATCGGAACTCTCTGTGAGCGCCTGAAGACGTCGTTTGCTGGATTTCATGGTCAAAAGCGCCTGACGGATTTTGATGCTCTTAATTCACATCACATATGACAAGTGTATCCATTAATTTTAACACCTAAAACAATAGTTCACACAAGAAATAGTGACTTAACTATGATTTATGCGCTCAAACTGTATTTATCCATTGAATTTTTCAAAATATATACACAAGAGAAATTCCAATACCACCACGACATTTGACACAAACATGTGACATTTGAATACAAGATTGCCAAATTTTATATTGATCACTAAAAAATTTAACTAGAGATGAGCTGAATATGTTCAGTGTTCGGTGATAGTAAGTATTAGGGCGCGTTCCCACAATGTCGTCACGTTTTATTATCGTTGGACGACTGTCGTGTCTAGCCTGTTCCCATATTACGACTATCTGTCGTAGACGATTTTTCATCATTGTTACGATTGTCGTGACTAGCTGTTCCGACTAGATCGTGACGACAATTTATCGTTTCAAGACAGCCTCCTTGCCCATCTCTGGCTACGACCCAACGCTACTGCAAAGCGAGCAGAGGGCACGGGGTATGAGAGGAGAGGGCAGGGAGCAGAATACATGCGGATAGCGATAAATAAAACGTGACGACAATAGGAGGTGACGTTTTTTTCTCGTCTGACGACTGTCGTTCTAGTTATTCCCACTGTGACAATTTGTCGTTGTAACGATAAAAAATCGTGAACGACAGTTAATCGTGTCGTGACATATGTGAACAACTTCATTTAAATATTCAAGTCACGACACTATAAACTGCACGACAATCTGTCGTCACGACATAGTGGAAACGCGCCCTTACACTGCGCTACTGTTGGGTAATTTTCCGAAGAATTTCAAATAATCATAGATAGCATGTAGTCAAATAATTGAAAAGTTTCCGGAAAAATTCCCGTCAAATTGAAAAAATTTAATTTGGAAGGTTCACAGTATTAGATTCTACGTTTAAAAATATATTTTAAAATTTTATTTAGCGTGAAATAAAAAATAAATTTGTAACTTGTTGGGTAAAAGCCATATAAAGAAAAAATCTTCTCTGGTAAAAGAAAAATGTTGGAAAAATATCCGGAAAAATATTTATTTCTGTGTAAAAATACGATTAGAAAAAAATTTAAACTTTTTCATGACCCAAGACTACACTGCACTATTCAAATAAATTTTGATAAAAATAAAATACAATTAATATATAAAAAATATATAAAAAAAAAAAAGTACATTATAAAAAATCATTTCATGATATTGTAAAGTATGTTATTCCTTAAGGTATACATTATACGAGTGTTTTATTGTATTATTATCTATGTTAGTCTATAAGGTATGTATTTACGGGTTTTTGTAACCTGAACACAAATAAATAAAAAAAATTAAGAAAAATACTTTATCGTATAGTCAAAACGCAAAGTCACGCTATAAAAAATAAAGGCACAATATTGTCCAAACGAATTCTTCTATACCAGGGGTTCCCAAACTTATTTTGTCTACTGCTCACTTTGAGAATAAATTATTTTTTAGCGCCTCCATTTTTTCACATATATAAAAACCACTATAACTTCAAATTAAATTAATTATTGTGAGCTTTACTTTTTGCGAGATTTTTACTATAACCCGCAAGAGTGAACTTGGGACCTGAGCGCAGTAGGTAGTACACAACAGTGCTCAGGTCTCAAGTTAACTCTTACGGGCTACACCTGCCTATGAGAACGATTATTGAAACGCAACTTTGTAAACTTGAAATAGTCAAAATAATAACAATAAAATAATAAAAACCTGTTCGTGAATTATTTTAATAACAGAATATCGATAATATGTACGCTTCCAAGAACAACATTATCTCAAAATAATCGTTAACAACAATCATCAAAATATACAAACAAAGAGGCAATCTAAAGAAATCAAAGCATTATTTTTACTATTTCAAGTTTACCAACAAATCAAAAAGAAAACAGATAGGTTGGAAATCATACATTGAATCAAAGACCATCTTCATTTATTCGCTTCATTTTGAAGAGTCAAATTTTAACATAACTTTGAATGTAACTAGATTATATGATAATGCAATTCCATTATTAGGTTTATTGGTAAATAATTTTATATTCAATTTAGATTAAACACAACTCATTTACTATTCTTTTACATTTTTCGTTCCTGAAAACAAAATTATCCTCTCAATTCCGATTTTTTCCCACTTACAACTCTAACTACTAAAAATTCTTATTTTATAAAGCCAGCAATACAAAGACCATGTTGGTCTAGCGCTGCCGGGTGAAGGCCAATACCAACGTATAGACAGCCTATTTGCCTTGCCATCGTTCGGTGTCACTCGCCTAGCTGACCGAGTGAAGGCGAGCGCTAACGTGTATAGATCTTACTATGGAAACTAAAGTACACGTTACGTTTACATATACAAATCAGACGTTATATGTATATGATGCATTTCGATGTTGAAAACACAAAACATGTTATTGTCTTTGTTTAACTATTACGTGCCGTCTGAAGCCAAAAGAGATAGCATTACATTTGTCTGTGTCAAACATGGGAATCGAAAATACGTAACGTCATCTTAAATGCCAACCGTGTCCATTTCGCAGTACATGAGGTACATGATACCGTTGTCAAAGGGAAGTACATACAAGGTTGGAAATGTATAGGACTTACATTTCAAAGTTTTGTCTTTTATATATAGGTACTCTCAAATTACAAATATTATTTTTTTCTGTGCAAATTCTTTTTTTTTTTAGTTACTTTTCGCAACATTTGAGTATTTGTAAATGCAAAACAATAAATTCAAAATTTCATGTGACACTCCCGATTATTCTCATAATAACCTAAAATATCCCAATTGGATATTGATACATTTTAATTAAATGTTTGCATGTCGATAATGACTTATCGATAGATTATGATATGACACTAAAGAAATCCGCCATTTGTTCGTTCAATTTTTGTTTAAGTATTAGGTATTAGCACAAACTAATAAGAGATACTACGTAGGTATTAGGTACACGTTCATTCCGTAGTTAGGACAGCTTCTTTCTTTTATTTTTTTCCATCCTCTAAGGTATATAGTATAACTTTCACATTTATTTCTAGATTTTCGAAGTCTCAGTCACTGATTACTTAATATGTAAATACATAATATTTTTATTGTTTTTCGTAAGACAAATAAAAAATATGATTTTATGTAACAATAATACTTGCAGTTTTCACGTTGTGTAGGTATTATGTACACTTGCTTATTATTGTTTTATTAAGAGTGTCATCTTATTCAAAGGATTTAACAAAATATATTTTGGCAACACTGTTTTATAGACGATTTCGTCTATGGTTGAAAAAATGGCCGGTGAGTAGGTTTCCGTAAAAAAACTGCCAACGTACGACTACTTTTTAGTAGGTTTTATTTCAAATAATGTCGTTTTCAGATTTATACGCTAAATATAATTGTAATTACTGTCAAGAGGAAATAAACGGAATTCGTGTGAGATGTGCTGAGTGTATAGATTTTGATATTTGTTTGCAGGTAAAGTAGCGTTGGTGCCATTTTTGTTTATAGTTTTGGCGCAAATTTTGAACACTATTGTTGTAAACTCGTGTTATTTTTCAGTGTTTTTCTCTTGGTGCTGAAATAGGCTCACATAAAAATGACCATTCCTATCAGTTTATGGTAAGTAATCTTCTCGCAAGAAAATACATTGATTTATTTCCTTAATCAGTAAACAAAAACGGATTAAAATTTCATATAATTTATATTTTTGCAGGACTCGGGAGCATTTGGCATTTTCCTTGGCCGAAGTAGTTGGTCGGCGAATGAAGAAGTTAGATTATTAGACGCAATAGAACAATTTGGATTTGGCAATTGGGAGGATATAGCTAAGCATATAGAGACTCGATCACCCGAAGGTAAAGTATTGGGTCTAAAATTAATCCAAATTCATCCATATGTTGTAGAAAATAAGAACTTTGTCAGGGATCAAGTTGTAGATAATTAATCGTTAGTAAATAGTCATCTGCGAAGTCCTCTAGAGAGAGAGACCCACATTTCTAGTTATACTCAAGAATAAATACCTTGCCTCAGCTTTTGCAACTTTCGCTTGAAGGTTGATACAATCGAATTAGACTGTGGGCAACTGCACTAGTAATTTTTCAATTACAGAGGCAAAGGATGAGTATATTACAAGGTACCTTGAAGGCAGCATTGGTCGAGCAACATGGGGAAATGTAGAGAGCACCTCTCGTCCATCTCTCCACTGTGCGGACAGGGATGAAGGGCCCCTGGGTCCTAGTGCGGTCTCTCGACTACCATCACTTGCCGTTAGCTCTGATGAGTCAGCTCAATTGGGATACATGCCCAATAGGGATGATTTTGAAAGGGTAACTAACTTTATTTACTATCTTGATTTTAGTGACATGATGGATGTCTGTGGTGAGGTGAGACAAGTAATGAATTGTGTATGGCAAAATTTCAATCTCTCTAAGTGTATCTCTGGTCGTAATAGTCTGAATTGACGAAGACGAGAATTTAAATATTTGTTGGTGTAATATTGAACTATATTGCTGCCTACCAGTGGCGAGGCATCCACATAACACAATTCCAAGCAGCTTGCCTAAAATTTTCTGCACATTACCAAACGATTACTAAACAGTGCGCTTACCCCACCACTTAACCATAAAAATATATATATGTACCATTATTTAAACAAGATTATTACGCTAAATAAAATAGGTCAGTCCAGATAATATTGTTTAACACCATTAGAGCATATTTTTAAATTAATTCTACACTTAATGGTTATTGCAAAATAATAATGGCTTTGTGTCATTAATCGTTCTTAATTCTATAACCACAATTGTAATAAGTATGTTCCGTTTTATGAATTATGTGAAAAACAGTCATAGACCAGGGGACTATAGATGTAACATTTATAACCATTTCAGGAGCATGATCATGAAGCTGAACAGTTGATATCTACACTATCTCTTAATCCAGAAGATGATGAATTAGATGTTGGTAAGTTTAAAAATATGTTTTCTCTGCACACATATCAAGATTTTTCACTACATAATCAACATTTTTTATTCTGCAATCAACTTCTCAAACTTGTATTTATGTATCTAACTCAACAACCTATCTAAGTAAACAATATTATTTTTGGTGCTGACTGTACCCGAATGAACTCCAACGTGACGCGTATAAGTTGTATTGAAATGGCAAACAAAAATGAAGAACCTTGCATACAAAGTACTGCTATCGATAATAAACTTGATCCTTTTTATTTTTACATTTATTTTGACAAAGACTTGTTGGCAATTATACTTGATTATTTTTGAAAGTACTGTAATTGCAAGTAAGTATTTTTTTCATACCATGTTATTTAAGGTGTTGTTTAAGGTGTCAATTTTCTCCTAGCCCATCTTCGGTGTAAATGGTCTGGTCAATCC